TGCTTCCATGTTAATTGTCAGTCATGGTTGTCGATGGGTGAAACCGTGTTGTTCTAATTATGAGCCACAGATGTAGTCTTAGCATTAACTTCTCAGATCATCCTGTTCCAGATGGCTATGGGTGTGATATTTCTACGACCTTGTGAAATGAACTTTATAGTTGGTACTTTCTTCCCCATTTTTAAAATGCCAGCTGCTTGGGTAAACATTCTGCTTCCCAACTATGTAATCTCTCTTTTTCCATGCCCACTACGAACGGATGTACTCTTTTATCATGTTGTTGGTTCTCTTGCCAGCAAATAAATAAATTCTGGCATATGCTGAAGAGTGACCTAAGACATTTCCTATTTTAACATGTCCATCATGAGACAACAGTTTCAGAAAACATTTTCACTTACTGTATGTGGTGCATGATGATACTTTTTTTTCTTGTATCTAATTTATTTTTAAAAAATTACCACTCAGCACCCACCATAGTGACTCCATGACCCAGGGGTATTCTCGGAACTATAGTCTGAAAACGACTGCACTAAATTTCTCAAAACAGATGACAGATTTATTATTTCAAAATGTATATGGGATATCTGGCAAAGATTTGACTTGGAATGGGGTGAAAAGGCAAGTACTTTCAAAATGTGAGACATAGCTTTAAATGTTTCTGGGAGTGGCGTCTTAAAGCTTCTCTTTTTGTATGAGTAAGAAGAAATATGTAATTGACCAAGAGTTAGCAAGGCTGCCAGCCTGAGGAAGCAGAATTGGAGGGGGGCAGTGCTAACTGGGAAAGGGTGCTGGAGAGCAAAGAAAGGTAAGCCCAGGAGGTTTCGCAGTCTAACAGGCGCCACAGGAGTCAAAGGAGCAGCAGAAGCTACCAGAGGCACAGCTAGAGGGGACAGCACTCAAAAGCTGAGAAATGCAGAAATGGGCCAATGCAGGAGACAAAAAGTAAATAAAAATGCTAAACAGGGCAAAACTTATGCAGCGGAGGTTTTATGGGGGAAAGCCTAAGGCTCTTCTTAGAGAGCAAAGCAATAAAAGGAATTCTGTCATAGGAAGTTCCTCTGTAAAAGTCTGTAGTGACCAACTGCTCCATTTTTAAAAGCTTGACCTCTCTTCAAGACATGCCACGAATCTGAATCACTGTTCAATCTCCAAGAGTTCAAGGACTGATATTGAACTTGCTCCCCAACACTTGCATGCCCTTCAGTTAGCTCTATTGCAAATGTGTAGCCATGCATATGGACATAGATATCGAAAAAGGAAAAGATAATAAATATTAAAATAAGGAGTTACATGTGTGATACAAATTTGTAAATAACATTGAAGGCAAACTAAGGTTTTTTTTCGCCAATTTGCTATGAACTTTAATTTTGCTGCTTAGACAGTTTCCTCTCTTTTCTGCACAAGGTAGGTAGGTAGCTAAACAATCTATAAAGAGATATTGTTGCTAATCTTTAAAAGGTGCTTTTAAATAATGTTTAGCAAGTATATTACATAAATATTTGAAGTTGTCAAACTTTAAAACAGCAAAATAATTTGATATAATAAATGACAACTACTATTTATTGAGGTTAGGTGTTTACACAGTTATCTCAAAATACAGATGAAGGTAACCATGCTACAGAAAAGTTAACTGATATACTGAAGTGCAAAAAAATTGTTAAGTGACAGAGCTGGAATTCAAATCGAGGCCATTTGGCTCCAGACTCTGTGTTCTAAACCATTACACTAATGTGAGCAAAATAAATAAATAATTATTCCCAGTCAAACTGCGTAAAGACAAAGAGAATATTCAACAGCAACCAATGAAGTAAGTCAGAATACTTTTAAAGCAACAACAGTTTGATTCTCAACAGCAGCAATATAAAAGAGTAGATGACATTTTCTATATACTGAAATAAATTAATTTCCAATCTTGAATTCTTTATTCTATAAAAACTTATTTCACAAATAAATGTAAAACAATAACATTTACCAGGCAAACAAAAATTGAGAGTGTTTGCCTTCAGAAGAGCCCAGCCAAAGAACATTCCACAGTACATACTTCTACAAAATTAAGAAAAAAGATCCTAAATGGAATGTCTAAAATGCAAGGAAACGTAAAAAAAAAAAACACCAAAGCAAATAATGAATATGTAGAAAAATATATAAGAAACCAACTTGTATAAAACAACTTCAAAATAATATTATTTGGGCTTTAAAATGCACAGTAATATCATATAAGCCATTAGAGGGGTAAAAACATTTATTAACTTTCGACTATGTTATGTATGTTGTCCTGACAGTACCCACTATAAGCACGGAAAAGGGTGAATAATTTCAAAACTCACATAGAAACAAATTAATGATAAAAGATAATCAATCCAAAAGAAAGTAACAAAATTAAAAACAGAAAAGCTAAGACAAGTAAAAACACAAAGTAACATTGTAGCTTTAAAATATTAGTATTTACATTAAATGTAAATGTATTAAATTCTCCAGTCAAAATAAAAAATTGTTAAACTGTCTTTAAAACTATCCAATGCATACCTTTTATTTAAAAACAAAATTAAAACACAAGTACACAAAAGGGTTGAAAGTAAAAGGCTGGAAAAAGATACATTGAAAATAGCTCCACAAGAAAGCTATTTTCCTCCAATAACATCAAATAAAACAGAGGTTATGAGGAAAGATCCACATTATTACAAAAAGCCTATGAATCACTTCACAATGATAACATTCTCAATTCACCAAGAAGATAACAGTTAGCAATCAGATTGCGCCTAAGAATACACCCTCAGATGGTGTAAAGCAAAATTTGACAGAACTACAAGGGAACAGTAGATGACAACAATCACTGTGAGAGACTTAAACATAATTCTTTCAGCAATTGATTAAAAAAAAGGCAAACAAAAATATAAAAATCAGCAAGAATACAAAATATTTGAATAAGACTAGCCAAACTGACCTTTGAGACATATATAAACAACTGCCTCAACAACTGAGGAGTACACATTCTTTTTAAGAGAAATGGGATATTTAGATAACAAACTTTTTCCTGGAGGAAAAAACAAGTTTCAACAAATATTAATCATACAGAGCATTTTTTATTACCTCAGAGCAACATAATCTAGGAAAAAATAAAAACGATAACTAGAAACACCCCATATAGTTCAGAATTTAAGAAACACATGTTGAAATGGCTCATGAGTTGAAGAAGAAATCATAGAAATTGAAAGACGATTTTTAACTGAATCATGATATTACTATTAAAAAATATGTAGGATGAAGCCAAAGCAATGTTTAGAGAGAAATGTATGGCCTTAAAATGCATATATTAGGAAAGAAAGGACTGAATATTGAGCTAAACAGCTATCTCAAGAAGCCAGTAGCTAGGAAGGTAAAGTAGAAGTATATAATGATTAATGAAATAAAACTAACCAATAAGAAACCTTTGGTGACAATGATCAAGAAAAAGTACACAAATAAGAAATGAAAAGGGGCACTTCACTACAAATATAGCAGATTAAAAGTGAAAAAATTTTTAAATAAAATGGGAAAATTCCTGGAAAAAGCAACTTAAATAAAACTGACTCAGAAGAAATAGAAAACCTCAATGTTCTATAGAGTTTTGGCATAGTTACTATTAGAACAGATATTGTCCCAAAAAGAACTGTTATCAACTCCGAACCAGTACATTAGTAAAGACTAGTGCTTAACAACTACCTCTAACTATTGAGAATTATATCACAAATCTTATATTTTCTCACATGCACACACACACACACACACACACACACACACACACACACATGCCGGAGACCAATTCCAGCATGACAGCAGGGCTGCATCTGGGAGTGGCTGAAGTCATTTCCCCAAACCTGAATAGGATACATTAAATTGATTCTTGGCTGCCAGACAAAAGGCATCTTAATCTACATGTTATTGCCTCCTACTGGCCAAACACCTGTACAGCTGTAGGCTAATTCTTCCATTCTGACAATGGACTCTGTACCAAACCCTGACACTTTGAAGTGTATATCTCTGCCTCGCCTCAGGAAAAGTTGTGTTAATAAAAAGCATGGGGTCCTGGGGACGAAGAGAACCTAAGACCTGAGAACCTAAGGCCTTAGAAAACTGACTCAGAAGAAATAGAAAACCTCAATGTTCTATAGAGTTTTGGCATAGTTACTATTAGAACAGATATTGTCCCAAAAAGTATTAGTCTCTGGATTACTATTTAATCTATGCACAGCCTTTTCCAGATTCCTGAACCCTTCTTGATGCTGGTATCACACACACACACACACACACACACACACACACACACACACACGCAGCTAAGAACAGATGGCTTTACTGATGAGCTCTTACCAAATATTTGAAGAAAAAGGTTACTACAAATTTCACCAGAAGAGAAAAATATGATTATATTTATCAACTCATTTTATGAGTCTAGCAAAAGCTTGAAACAAAATAATATCTCACAAGGACTGTATGAAAAGGAAAATTTATAGCCCAATATTACTCTCGAAAGCAGTGGCGAAAGTCTAATACAAAACATAGCAAACTGAATACAGGAAAATTAATACATTATGACCAATTCGAGTTTATCTCAGAAACACAGGGTTGATTTAACATTTAAAAAATACATGAACATATTAAAAGACAAAAATCATAAAGTCATCTTAATAGAAACAGTAAAATATTCATGATAAAAATTCTTAGCAAAGTGGCAGTAGAAAAAAATACTTCCTTAAATGTGATAAAGAGTAATTACAAAGAAAAAAAAAGTCGAACATATGTAATGGTGACACCTTGGAAAATTTCCCTTTAAGATTAGGGAAAAGGAAAATGATCTCAGCTTGAAGACTTTCCTAGGATTTTCTTGGTCAGATTTATTCTATTAGACAACATAGTTTCTATATTGCTGTATTTTTTGTCTCTATAAAAGGATGTTCTCTACTCTGAAAGTTAAACATTATCTCTAATATAAGATTCAGCTTTGTAATTATGTTTCATACCATAGGTTCTACTTCCATTGGAGGTCTTTCCAGGGGAGGGATGTACCATTGAAAGCAAAGTTCTTTGTTTAAAGCTTGTATTGCCATATCTGATGAAACCGACTCAACAGTACTTTGGCTGGAAATCAACTTTAATGATAAAATGGAATGTACGGAACTGTCACGAGGTCCCTGGGGAACAAACCAAAACATCAGTTTAATTGCTGGTAATGAATTCATTCAATATTGCAAACATTTATTTGATATACAGTCAACATGGGCTACATTGGATAAATCTGGAAATTGTTTCAGCTTGTGTTATGGATGTGGATCTTAACACTTTCCCTGATTACCACAGAGAGGATTCTCTTACAGAAAAGTATGCTATGAAACCCAGAGGACTCAATAAATGTTTTCCACTTTGGTGAGTATCCCAAATTAAAGATCTAGAAGTGAAAATGTCCATGCAATCATTTCACTCTCAAGGTCACCATGGATTCTAAGAACATCCTCTCCTACATTTTTCTGATTTACTTAGTGGCAAATCTACTGAGAGTATGGTCATAATTTTTTGCAGTGCCATAAGCAAAATAAGATACAGCATTTGCTCTAAAATGTTAAAATCCATTGTTCTCATTTCCTTTGTAAATCTGGGCTCAGCTTCTTTGATGAAACTTTGTCCCTGAATCAAAAGTTTTTAAGAATCATAAGAGCTAGAATTTCACAAATTATTTACTTAGTTTTTTAAGTTGATTGATATCAACAAAATAAGGCTAGCCAGAGAGATAATAGTAGTGTTAATATCTGAAGCCTAAAAAGGACCTTCTTCAATGGGGTGTGAACTAATTTCAAAATTAACTTCTTGTTATTCCCAATATTACATCATGGTGGCTGGGAAGCAATTCTACTACGCTCTTGACATCTAAGTTATCTCAAGGCTCGGTGACCAAGGAGACCATGTCAGTGGCCAGAAAGAAAGGCCTGTTGTTTCTATAAGGCTTTATACCTCCCCTTATTTCTGAGCCTATTCAAGATAAAATATAAGGCTGTCAATGCAAGTCTTCAACATAAAAGAAAAAGAAAGACATTGACCTTTCAAGTTGTCTACTGACACAAGAAAAAAATGTGTCTTGACGGAAAGGTAGAATTAAAGGTGAAAACTTCAAAAATGTCAAGAAACTATCATGAAAGGATATGATAAGCCAGAATCCTCACTTGATAGCACTATGATACTAAAAGCACAACCAAAATGTACAATAATCGAAACTATCAGAGTTAAGTAATCATATTAAAGTGCTTAATTAAGATTAAGTCTGCCCAGTTGGTGTGGCAGTGGTTGAGCCTTGACCAATGAACCAGGAGGACATGGTTTGATTTGGCTCAGGGCACATGCCTGGGTTGCAGGCTCGATCCCCAATGTGGGACATGCAGGAGGCAGCTGATCAATGATTCTTCCTCATCATTGATGTTTCTATCTCTCCTTCTCCCTTCTTAAAAAAAATTAATTCTATGTCAGGCAGTTCACCAAAAAAATCAGATGAACAATTAATTCACAAAAATAATTTATCATATTTTTCATATCTGCATGTCTTTCAGGGGTCTGATAACTCTTTCAGCAAAGAATTTATCCTATATAATAAAGAGCTAATATGCTAATTAGACTGAACAGCAGAATGACCTTCCAGACGACCCTCTGGACAAAGCTGGGGCTGCAAGGGCCGGCCGGGGCCTCTTGTACGAATTTTGTGCAACAGGCCTCTAGTATTTAATAACTAGCTCAATGTAGAAAATAATCAAATAGTTTCTCTTTAATATATACAGTGTTTATTAGCATTGGCATGATGGTCTAGCAATGGTGAATTTTAACAGAAGTCATTATCAAAATAGGCATGTAATTTTCCATTATCTTTAAAAACATTATCTAGCTGCTAATGCGATTAATTACATCTGCTAATTGATGGGATATACTATATATACTGAGTACTTTGATATGTTTGACTTATTCTTTGAAAGGAATGAAATCCAGGCCTGCCAGGAAAACTGTTGTTTGCCACAGTTCCATAAACAAGTCACTCTGCACAAATATTTGGCCTTCCACAGACTGTCACAGGCATAGTCTAAACATGGATAATTCAGCATTGTGCACAATTTTAATCATATCCTTCTGGGTGGGGGGACTTTTAGCCTGCTTTGTGTGGCACCTTTGTTTGGCCATCACACAGACCCACGAAACTGAGGAACAGGACACACAGTCAGGACAGTTCTGGTATGGCATCTACTCCTTTTGCGGGGGGGCGGGGAGCAGGTTTAAGTAGCAAATCATGGAAGGAGTTTGCTTGAAACAGTCTCCAGAGTGATTAAAGGCTCAAAAAAATGTCATTATAAAAATCAACCAAGCTTGGAGTTTATTTTTTAAAAAATCCAAAAGGCTTTATGCGTGTTAGCTGTCTCCCCCAGTGAAACAAACACATGATTAGGTGGCTTACACCTGTCAGCCAGGAAGCAGTGATCCCCAGAGCTGACTATCCTTGGCGAGTGTTACACTAATTATATCCAAAAAAAAGAGCAAACAGGGTGAAACAACCCTTCGATAACATTGCTGCCACTAGAGATGTCACATGTAGCTACAACACATTCAGGGCTGTACATTGGAGCACTGTCCTGAGGAACAGGGTAAGGATAGGCTGCCCTTAATATGAAAATACCCAAGCAGAGCTCCTTTGAGAACAGTGTTGAAGAAGTCACACATACTAGTTTCCAAACTCCTGTGCAATATTCACACGAATGCACCTGTTTACACTACGGTTCTGTGCCTTCCCATTCTCTGGCCCCTACTCCAAATGCCTGAGGCACCTGGACACTAGAATCCTCAAAGGCAGTCTCAGTTCCCAGGGGTTGGGGAGTGAATCAGAATCTGGTGTTCGCTGGAAACTATTTCATCCCACTATCTACTGCTTCCATCCCTGGGGAAGGCCAGGCATTAACATCACATTCCTGCCTTTCCCATCTTCTCTCACTCATCTCCCTGGGAGAGAGTTACTTGATTGGTGAATTTGGAGAAAAGAATTTTGGATATGCATAGTTCGGCTCTTATGTCTTAGGAGCGAATGATTTGTAGGGAGTGAATATTCTATGCGCCTTCATATGACATATTTTAAAGGGGACTGTGTCCCCACAGATTTTAAGGAGGCCTGTAGTGACCAAAACCAAAACAAAACAACAACACAACACATGGCTGGATTGGTAAATCTGTCCACTTTGCTACTGACTACTAGGAAGCCCATTTTCCAGTATATATAACTATATCCTAAAATGTCAACTTTATGATTCATAAAGGCAAGCATGTTTGAATCCCAATCTGTCTTACTCTTTTATTTCTCAAATTATTTAGAATCTGGGCAGGAAATGACAATGCTGCCAATACCCCAGTATCTAGGAAATAATTTGAAAAATTCTCCCATGTGGATTCCAATACATTGTCCTGGGGACAACTCCTTAACCCCAACTGACAATCACTGCTTTAACTGAATTCTTAAATATTCCTTGGTGGGTCTTCCCACTACTTTTTAAAAACTACAGTTTATAAACAGTCATTTAAAAAAATCATTATGTATTAACAGTCACCCCCACTCTCACTCAAAACAGTGATTAAAAAAAAGTATTATCTACCTAAAACATAAGTTTACTAGTAGGATATAGGTTATCATTTTCTAATAGGACAAGATGAGCAAAGGTTCTCAATTTGGAACAAGCCAGTTTTCAGGTCACTTCTCTGAGATGGTTGACAATAGAAATGTGGTCAGGTCCGGCATGGGCAAGACTATAATTGCAAAAATTAAAGTGCTATAATGGTGAAGTCCAAAGTCAAAATAATTCAAAATAAATGAGTAATTTTTTTTCTAGTTTTGAAACAATTCTATGCAATTAATTTGATTTATTCATTTCACAAATACCTATTAGAAACTTACAATACACTATGTCCACTTGAGTTTTCTATTAGAATCTCAAACTCTATCTACAGAGCAGAATAAACCAGCCTCCACCACACATGTTCTCATTCTCCGGCTTTTGCTATATCTGCTAATGGTGTTACCATGCCCTGAGGATCATAGACAGAAGTTCCAATGTTGGAATAGACTGAGAATTTCCTCTTCTTTACTTTCTGTCTTCATAGGGACACTAAGGTGTTTTGTTTCCAATTTTACTTAAGCAATATCTTTTACATGTACCCTTTCCTTCCCATTTCTGAGATCATACACTTCATTACCTCATCATCTCTCTCTTGGATAACTCCCTTTCATCTATCCTTTGCCAATGAGCCCTTACCCACTATTCAAAAAATAACTAATAGATTTAAATTGTTACATCCTATCTGCTACTAACCCTGCCATTTTCTCTTTTTAAAAAATCTATGAAGTTCTGTGATTTTCTTCTGCTCTAACTCTACCATGTTTCTCTGCTACCACAACAAACAATGTACAAGGAGGAGGCCTTATCGATTTCTTTTTCTCTGCCAACTAAGAGTATCTGGTATACTGTTAGTATTCAACATATATTTGTCGAAGATACCAAACTGCAAAATGTTGAAGACACACATTTCTATGTTCAATATGACCCTTTACTTTTCAGTATCTTCCAATCTATCTTTTTTGGTAGCTTATTGAAACATTACTAGTATTCAAGACCCTAGTCGCTTTAAAAAAAACTTCATTTATACTACCTCTTTTTATTTCTCTTCAATAGGTAACTTAAAAGAAGTTCCCACATTACATATTTTGGGAAAGTCCATCCAATATAATAACATTTTGAAAAACAAACTTCAAACTTTTAATTTATTTAACATTTTTACCCTACTTATTCACATGTATGATTCTAAAAAAATACACACAATGAATGATTTGAAAAATACATGCAAAATGACTGCCAGAGAGATGTTATTTGGAGGAATAAAGAAAATTCTGAGGCATCCTGAAGATTTATGAGAGCAGCCATAACCTTTGAAATATGAACTTTCCTAAAAATCAGGATGTTTGGTTGGCTTCTCGATATGGCAAAACAGAAAGGAGCCGCCCCGGGAACTCTGAGGGAACCTAGAAATCTTCGTGCCAGCATTGAGATTCACGTGCTCCCTTCAGAAACATAAGGATGGCTTTAGAAGTTTTATGACAATCTCTGATGTTTTAAAACATTACCTTGGCTGATGATTCAAATAAGAATTTTTCTAAACAACATTGGTTTTCCAATTCTTGAAATAGTTCTCTTGGAAAATCATCAATACAAGAGGAAGAATACAGAAGTAAAAATTTTTTAAGGAAGTTATGCATTTCTTTTTGGCGCAAAATCAACCCAGAGTTGAAAAGGGACGTGAGAAGTGTATCATCTGGTAAAGAAATTCCAGAACCTGGCTTTGGAGATGCTGAAGGAAGAAAAATACCTTAATTTAGAGTTATATTAGATAGCAGAACGGTCTCAATATTATTGGGTTTTATTCACTAACCACTGTCCTGTACCTCCCACCTCAGCTCCCAACAACCGTCCTCCATTTTTAGAGCTTATATGCTAATGGAATTGCCTCTTGCCACAGAAAGGAAAGAAAATCTCAGAAGCATGTAAGGATGTTAATTCAGGCTCCAAGATTTAAAAATGTAAAATATTCTATCTTGTTTGAGGCTCTTCCCCCTCCCCCAAAGATCTTAAAGCAAGAATTTAGGTGCAGGTAACTTATTTGAAGTGATCTAAGGAGCACAAGTGAGGGAATCGGCAAAGTGTGACAGAGGAAAGGAAAGAGCCAATTAGAGTGAGGTAATGAATGGGCTACAACTATGAACAATGAAGGCTCAGTCCTGACGGGGACCTTCGGAGAAAAGAACTGTCCATCACAGGACAGGGAAGCTGGAAGGTTAACCTCGCAGTTCCCCGCTTCATTCGCCGAAGGCTACTCCCGGATGTGTGGAATCCTGGTAGATGGTCCTTTCTTTGGGCCTCAGTAAGAGAAAACTCAGAGCAGAAAAGCAGTACACTGTGGGCGCCTGACATGGGAAGTGCCAGCAGGTGAATTCAGAGGTGAGCTGAGTTGATATGGGGCAGGGTCTCCTGCACTGGCTCATGTCCGCTTCCTTCGCCACTGAACTTCTATTGTTCTCACACCTACTGCAATGCACCTTTTACCCCTGATGCCTTCTGAGTGCCTGTTTCAGAAGTTAGCAAACTCCTGATAACTATGCTTAGCCACTCTGCGACTATTAGCCCTGCTGGCTTCTCTATCACTAGGACCTGGGGTGGGTCTAATTGAATCACCAAGTTCATGGGCACAGATTAAAAACAATAATATACATTGTCATGAAACCACAAAAGGGACTGATGTAAAGAAGATGTTACCAGTTTTTCTGGATATTCTTTAGATACATCAATGATAAAATAAAAAACTTAACAAAACAACTCCATGGAGTTAAATATCCTATCTGAAGTCATACATTTCTTCTCCTTTACATACTGGATACTAAAAGATTCTCTCCTTAAAGCCAAACTTTCACCTTGTTCATTTTATAAGCTTGTCAAATTATGATCACTTTGGTTCTTTTGTGCTGTTAACCCTCACCCGAGGATACGTTTCCATTGATTTTTTGAGAGAGTGGAAGGGAGAGGGAGAGGCAGAGAGTAAGAAACATCAATGTGAGAGAGACACACATTGATTGGTTGCCTCCTGCATGCACCCCAACCAGGGCTGGGGATCAAGCCTACAACCGAGGTACCTGCCCTTGACTGGAATCAAACAGGGGACCCTTCAGTCCAAGGGCCAATGCTCTATCCACTGAGCCAAACCAATTAGGGCGATCATTCTGGTTCTTAACTGTTTCAAGCCATGGGTCAATTTGGCAATCAATAATATTTTTAAGTGCATGAAATAAAACATATAAAATATCAAAGGAAATCAATTCTATTGGAATATTATTGTATTCAAAGGTCTGTGTGTCTCAGGTTAAGAACCTCTGAAATTTTTGTTTTCTGATGAGAATTCACTCAGAAAGATATCAAAAGTATTTTATAATTCTAAATAAGAAACATGACCTAAACAGAAATAGGAAGGACATATGTTCTTTCTTAACACATCAAAAACTTACCTAGCAGCTTGCTCATGTTATTAATCCTTTGCAAGTGAATGTAGTAGCGTAGTAGAAGGATCCATGTAATATCTACTTTAGTCGGAGTCTTTTTTATAGCATCTGTGTCCTCAGGTTTGTCATCAGTTTGGTTAAAAAATGGATAACCAGTCTGGAAGGCAACTTGGTACTTATCTGAAAGTTAAAAAATAACAACATATATGCTTTTCTTGAAAAATAACAACATGAAAAAAGTCAATTTATAAAGGAAAGACCAACACATATGACTACATTTGATTTTTAAAAAAAATTGTGCCACAAAAAATAATAAACACGAAGTTAAAAGATAAACCATAGACCTAGAAAAGATATTTAAAGCACATGTAAAGTGATTCTCTCTAATATATATAACCCTTGCATCAATCAATAAGAAAAATCAAACAGTCCAATAGAAAAATCAAACAGTCGAAAGACCTGGTTGGTGTGGCTCAGTGGTTGAGAGTTGACCCAGGAACCAGGAGGTCACAGTTTGATTCCCAGTCAGAACACATGCCCAGTTGTGCCTCCATCCCCAGTGTGGGGCATACACAGGAGGCAGCCAATCAATGATTCTCTCTCATCATTGATGTTTCTATCTCTCCCTCTTCCTTCCTTTCTGAAATCAATAAAAATATTATTCTAACTGGACAGAGAATTTCAACAGGAAACTCATAGAAAAGAAAACCCAAATGGCCAAAATTTTTAGCATCACTGAAAATCAGAGAAATGCAAATTAAAATCAAATATCATTTCACTTGCCCAAGGAATTGACAGGCACTAAAATCTGAAAATGATAAGTATTGACAATAATACAAAGAAATCAGAATTCATATCCACTCAAACATACCAAGCAAATAATCTGTGTATGAAGACAAAAGGTCCACGGTGGCAAATTCCGGGATGCTAAGTAATGCCGCTTGACTGACTTGGTCAGTCCTAACGTTCTTCTTTCCAATAAGCAAGTTAATTGCCAGCACAGCTTTACTGACCTTAAATAAATGCATAATTAGAATTAGTAAATGTAAGCTTTCTGATTCATAGATCACTCATTACGTAAACAATGTGAAGGAGAGAATTCATAAAATAGCATTCAACATACATGGAAGACAATACAAAGACAACCTCAAAAATAATGTTTTCCCCAACATGCGTAATACATCATAGTCAAATAAATTATCACTGTTGGCAATTTAATTAATGTATAAATCACTTTAAATAGGCTACCTCACCTAGCTATGACAGATATTTGCCAAAATGTCAAATATGTGCACGTGTGTATCTGCCAATATCTTCTTTAAAGAAAAGTTGAAACAAACAAAGCCAGGTCTGGCTAACAGTGATTAAAAACACTATCTATATTAATGGACGGGATGAGGACACAGTTGTAATACCTTAACTAATAAAGAATTTAAAGATAAAAAAAACCCCACACTATCTATATTAAAAGTATAAATCTTCCCAAAGAAACCTCATTGGCCCAAAGGACATGAAAACGTCCTTTCTCTTATACAAATACATTGTGTTACCTTAACAGCTGGAAGGTGAAAAATACCGATATTACAATAAAAAGAAGATTAAATAAATATCACACCAACCTGTGCAGCAGCTCTTATCGCAATCCAGGCCAGTGAACTGTATATTTCAAATCTGTTTACTGTTGGTTCTTTAATAGAACTATGCCTTCTGGTAAAAGCCTAAAAAATGTGGGAAATATTTCATGATAAAGACATATATAAAGATATCATAAAGTTTCCTGATCAATTTTCTCATCTTCTGAAGATGACAAGTTAGTAGAATACTATGTAGCCATTAAGAATAACAATGTCTATGTATCTATTGACATGAAAAGATGTTAAAAGTATATTGGGGCAGAAAAGTGTAGGTTACAATATACGATGCAAAATATGATCCCATTTTAGTAAAGATATGTACATAAATATATCACCTGTATATACAAGCAGGGAAAATTAACAGTGTTTCCCAGGTTTTAAGGGTGATTGAATTATTTCTTACCATATTTTTTTCTGATTTTCTATAATGAGCTTGCATTATCTGAATAATAACAAAATGAACACCAATGGCATCTTGAATAATGTGTTTACTTAAAATTATATTTACTATTTTAATAGAAAATCTATAAATTTGAATCTATTACTTGTAATGATGTCAGAAATAAGAATACTACTTAAAGATTTTTATAGGTATTTGCTTATCATATTTCTAAATAGGAAACTATTAAAGGGATGATGGTATCATAAAATTCCATAGAATAGCAAAAAGTAACAATGAATGAAGATATGTTTTACATTGAGTGTGTGCCTGTGTGTTCTGTTTTTAAACGTAAGAAAATCAATGCTACAGAAACAGAAAGAAAAGAACTCCACCCACCATATAAAATCTTAAAAATTTTTAAAGATAACTAAAATAAGCATTAATAGTCAATTTTATTTATCATTGTTATTATTTAGAAAGTGTATAGAGAGGGAAAGACAGAGAAAAACATCTATGTGAGAGAAACACATCAATTGGTTGCCCAACCCGGGCCAGGGAAGAGCCTGCAACCGAGGTACATGCCCTTGACTGGAATCAAACCTGGGACCTTTTAGTCCACAGGCTGACGCTCTATCCATTGAGCCAAACAGGAGCAGTAGTCGGCAAACTGCGGCTCACGAGTCACATGCAGCTCTTTGGCCCCTTGAGTTTGGCTCTTCCACAAAATACCGACTTCTGCGCATGGGCCAAGAAGTTTCAATCGCACTGTATGTTGCGCGCCCGCACATGGTATTTTGTGGAAGAGTCACACTCAAGGGGCCAAAGAGCCCCATGTGGCTCGCGAGCCGCAGTTTGTCGACCACGGGCTAGGGCAATAGTCAAATTTTAAGATTTAACTAATCAGGGCAAAACTATCAGACTGTTTGGTTCTAATTTTTGGATGCTCATATTTTGGCCAATTCTCTAATCAACAAAACCACAGAATAAAATAAATAACAAAAATATTTTTCTTTTACTGCTGGCTACAAGACTTCCAAGGAAAGGAAAAGGCAAAGAATAATGCTGATGCCAAAGCAGGAAATGCAATGTACAAATGTGGCCTGTCTTCAAATGATAGCTGCAGAGATCTGCCCATGGGGACCTAAGCAATACAGCCCTGCCCCCAAAATGTGTAGACCGTAGTAATTAACCAGAACGAAAATATTTGGGCTCGGGGTTGTCTTGTCAGTATACTGGCTACATAAGGTTGAACATTTTACCAACTTAAATTCTGGAAGCAAGACTAATAGGCATTAAATGAAGAATGCAGAATAACATTAAATGACTATAATGTAAGAACAGTTACTGATGCAGACATTTTAAAAGGAAAAAAATCATTTTGAATGGAGAAGAAAGCTTTATTGAGGAAGTCAGGCTTGAGCTCAGAATAGAAAAATTTGGACTAGGAAAATTATATGGTGGGCATTTTTTAATGGGGGAGATGCTCGCATTGCCTAGGAGATTCTAGCCCATGAAAACAAGCAAGAAAAAGAAAAAATACATCTAGATTGGAAGTAAAGAAGTAAAATTGTCTTTGTTTGAAGAAGACATGATCCTTTATGTAGAAAATCCCAACATACACTCACATGCCTAGAATTAATAAATGTTTTTGGCAAAGTCACAGGACATAGCAATGGACAATCTGAAAATGAGATTAAGAAAAATTCCATTCACAATAAAAATAAATGTAACAAAAAGGTACAAAATTTGTACACTAAAAGTAAAACATATTGTTTGAGAAAAATAAGCTAATATCTAAATAAATGAAGAAACCATTCATATTAAAAATTAGAAGATTCAATATTTAAGATGGCAATTATCCCCTAATTGATGTGTAGATTCAACAGTCTCTACCAAAATACTTAGTTTTCTACAGAAATTTACAAGCAGATCCTAAAATGTATATGAAAATGCAAAAAGACTCAAAATAGCCAGAAGAATTTTAAAAAGTAAAAACATAGTTGGAGGGCATATACTTCCCAATTTTAAAACTTACTAAAATCTATAATAACCAAGACAGAGTACACTCATGGAAAGGCAGACTTATAGATCAGTCGAATAGTACTGGAAGTCTATGATCTATATTTACATTTATGATCCACTAATTTTGACAAAAGTGCCAAGGAAATTCAATGGTGCTGGGACTACTGGAACTCTGTGCAAAATGATGAGTTTAAATACCTCATATTTTACACAAATATTTATTCAAAAATAGAGCACAAACTTAAAAGCTAAAATTATAAAAATTCTAGAAGAAAACATAGGTAAAAAGCTTCAACATCTTGGGGTTAAGCAAAGAGTTCTTAAATATACCACCAAAAGCACAATATATGTAAAAAATGATAAAATGAACTTCATTAAATTAAAAACTTGTCTCTAAAAACACCATAAGCAATATGGAAAGAAACACTGATGTGAGAGAGAACATCAATTGGTTGTCTTCCATACATGCCCCGACCAGGGATCATACCCACAACCTTTCAATATATGGGATGAGGATCCAACCAACTGAGCCACAGTGGCCAGGGCACATTAGTCCCTACTTTGCTCCACTTCCCTGCCTTTACATGTCTTGATTATAGTTCTCATTATATTGTGATACAATTATTTTTCTTCCTTGCTAGACTCTGTGCTCCTTAGGAAAAGAGAGCAACATGCCAGGCATACATTAAGCACTCAATTCGTGTTTGGTTAATAGATGAATAAATAAATGAATGTTCAAGAAAATCAACTCAACTTAGCTAACAAATAATTATTGAATAATTACTATGTACAAAATACTTTAGATTGTAAATGTTTAACTGAAATTACATAGTGATGGAAAACAGTTCCCTTGAGTACCTATTACACGCCAAGCCCATTACATTAATTCTCCTAGTCAGTCTAAGAGGTATCACAGAACCATTTCACCAGATGAGAAAACTAAGCTTAGAAAAGGCTCCAATTATACTGCTAGCATGCCATGAAGCTCAGATTCAAATCAAAACCAGTGCTATGCTCACTCTGCTATACGGATTGCATAAAAGTGAAACAATAATGCTTTCTTAAAGGTTTACAAAGCATTGACTGCATGTAGACAATTGTCAAATATTATATTTCAATGGTCTGAATGTGCTCAGATGAAATTTTTCATTTATTTTGGCTGCTTTCTGTGTTTCTAGTAATTATATGAATTGCTAAAATATTTATACTGTGTAAAGATATACAGAAAATAATGATCATATTGTATGGAATTATAATATTCTTCTCATTCAAATCCTGACTTGTTCAAGCTCTTAATTAAAAACACTTCTCTAGTAAAGGCCAAAAAGGTGTTATGTTATTATCCTATATCCTATTAATTTGTATTGCTACTTGCAATGGAAACAAACATTTTTGTTTTCTCTTACTGGAAATAAACATGTTTATTACACCACAAAAAGTAACTTCTCTATGTAAGTATAGATTTTTTATAGGAAAAAGAAAATTAGTTGCTACCCACCAAAGGCAGCTACCATATGAATAACTCAACTGTCTGAAAGCCCATTTGCCTAATGGTTTAATATCATGTTTATGCTCTCAAAAATTAGAGATTTGATACTAAAATTTTCTGAAAATATCTCTTGGAGGGTCTATGAGAATAAGAACAGAGTTTGGCTTGGACACTGCTTAATCACTTTCCAGAATACTGCCTGGGTCATGTAGGTGCTTGACAGATGTGTGGTGAGTGAATTAATGACTCTATCACAAGGGGATCTATTTGTAGCCACATCAGTAATGAGAACCTTACCTGTCCATCACTGAAGCTATATTTCGTTTCCTGCAATTTCCTGATCAATACTAATGACTTAGAGTACATACATGTACCTACACTTCATGGATAACATTTTTAACAGACAAAAATGTCTAAATGAAGCCTATTCCCAGAGCTTTACATAAAATATTGAAAGAGACACTTAAACATGAGTATGACTACAAAGTACTAAATTAATTTCTCTAAGTCACACAGGAAAATCAGTCTCATTATTTCAATAGCACAGTAACATAACAAGCTCAAAAGGTAATTAACTTAAAATTTCTAATAAAAGTTTATTACCTTAGGTGTTAATGGTGCTGATGAAAGTTTGTGCTTTGCCTTTCTCATATGTAGATATACTAGGGCAAGCTCTAGGTAGGAGTCCCTTATCAACCTAAAATGATATATAGCATTGTACTTAATAAATAGCTTCACCACTCATAATTACTTCCCATTATTTGCCAATAATTTCTGAGCAAATGAAAGGTTAAAAATAGACAAAACCAGCATCTGTCCCAAACTATGACCTTCTTCTCACAGCACTTTTGGCATAGACACTAGCATCTGCCTCCCTACTGAAATGAGGAGCTCTAGAAGAGAGCTGAGCATTGTACCTTGTCCTTACCGGCAACACTCCGTAACATCAAGGCCAGTCTAGAATAATCCAACCAACTAGGCAGTAAAGAGATGAAGGTCAAGTCTGGAGGAACCTGCCTTAAAAACCAAGCCTCAGCCTGGCCAGGTTGCTCAGTGGGTTAAAGTGTTGTCCGGATACATCAAGGTTGAGGGTTTGATCAGGGCTCATATAAGAAACAACCAATGAATGCATCAATAAGTGGAACAACAATTCAATCTCTCTCTCTCTCTCTCTCTCTCTCTCTCTCTCTCTCTCTCTCTCATCAATAAAAAATAAAAATAAAAAAACAAGCCTCTTTCAACCCTCCTACACTAATATCAAAAGAGACACCTAGAGTTATGCAGAAAGCAGGGATTTGGTATGGGTCAGGTCTTTGTGCTCATTATGAAACTTGTCAGTCAGGGCCATTTAGATCAGTGTCATTGTAATAATGGCGGCTTCCTTTGAATCCTTATTTTTACAGAATTAAGTTGGCCAGCCCTGGTACTGCTTATCAGAGTGAATATCCACATAGTTCCCTTCTAGATACAATTTCACATCCAGGGAGGCCCCTGGAATCCTAGGACTGACAGGAGATTGATCTGAGTACAGGGAGTCACAGTCCAGTGTGCCACTGTGATAATCACTGTGACCACCTTGGGTCAGAGCCAAGAACAACAAGCTTGAAAAGGAAATTGGTAAACCTGATGGACAATGGACGACAGTAAACTAGCCCTACTGTGGGCAGTACAATACAGTGTCTTACCAGAACACAGGGCTCAAACCACAACACACACATCGTTTCAATAGTGGAAAGAGATTGTCTTTACCCTGAGTTTTGATCATGGCTCAAGCTTATTTGTATAGCTTCATATAAACTCTCAAGTTGCAAATTTGGAGATTTCTCCTCCACCAACAGTTGACATTCTATTTTGCCTGAAAGAAGAAAAAAGATGGACAAAGATGGGTTTTCTTTTTTCTATCACTTAGAACTTCAGGACAAATATTTCATGCGGGAAATTCAGAAAACAGGGCATGCTGTCCTTTTCATTCATCCGTTGTTTCTTGATGGAAGAGAAGCCAATGGGGAAAGAGCTTTTGTTTTCTTCCCCAGGAAACTCAAGACTCCTCCGACTTCAGGTAGCAACACTGCATCAAAGCCTCCATTGGCTTTCTAGATATGACTGCTTCTATCATCTTCCTTTTCTCTCTTTTTACTTTGTGCTTGCCCTTCCTTCTTGGGCACTCATTCCCTTTTTCTATACCCATCTTCCTCTTTCCTCTGTCTTCATCACAGATACCATAGAAAACATCTCTGAAAATAAAAAGTCCTTAAAAGTCAGCAAAATCTTGAAAAGCACCATGGATGATGGAAATGCTCCAGTTCTCATTCAGCTCCCAGCCTTCAGGGTGAGCTGCAGCTGTCAAAGGTAGGTGCTGGAATGACACTTTTGTAACAAACAGGGCAGAAAAGGGAAATCTTATAATTACTCTAAAAAGGATCCACAGTTTCCGCGCAGCATGTGGACGGGGCACAGAGCCACCCCGTGTTAAGTCCACATCTGGGCACTATCATTTAGGAGCTGCTGATTTCTGAAAAGTTACTTAACCAGACTGCTCCACATTCTCCTCATCTGTCAACCAGGAATAGCCATGCCTACCTTGTGGAGCTGCTGTAAGAATCAGCAATATGAGACGTGAGACACTGCCTAGAGTGCCTAGCATCTATTAGATGCTTAAAAGGAGAGCACTCACAACTATCATCATTTTTCTCATGGCTAAAAAGGCCACAATAAAATCATCCTATCTAATAATAGACAAACATGGTAATTGACTGTACCTTCGCTACGCCTCTCATTGGCTACTCAGTGCAATATGCAAATTAACCCAACCAAGATGGTGGCCGCCAGCCACGCAGCTGAAGCAAGCAGGAGGCTTGCTTGCTCCAGTGATGGAGGAAGCCAAGGTTCCCCGCCTGCTGCGGCCTGGCTCTTGGCTCCGAAAGCAACAAAGTTTCAATTATAGAGGCTAAACAAACCCCAGATACCTGCTTTCAGCAGGCTGTGGCCTCAGAGCTGGAGCGAGCAGGAGCCGGCTCTCAGCTCCAGTGACAACAACAAAGTTTCAATTATAGAAGGTAAATAAATCCCAGAATTAAAAAAAAAAAAGAAAAAAAGGAGAGGCTGGGAGCTTCAGTCGCCGGCAAGCCTGAAAACGGCCCTCAGCCCCTCACCCAGACTGGCCAGGCATCCCAGTGGGGATCCCCCACCCTAAAGGGGGTGTGGCCAGCCTGAAAACAGCCATCAGCCCATCATCCAGGCTGGCCAGGCACCCCAGTGGGGACCCCCACCCTGAAGGGGGTGTGACCAGCTGCAAACAGCCATTAGCCCCTCACCCAGGCTGGCCAGGCACCAAAGTGGGACCCCCACCCTGATCCGGGACACCCTTCAGGGCAGACCAGCCGGCCCCCACCCGTGCACCAGGCCTCTATCCTATATAGTAAAAGGGTTATATGCAAACTGACCCTAACAGCAGAAGGACTGGGAATGACTGGTCACTATGACACACACTGACCACCAGGGGGCAGACGCTCAATGCAGGAGCTGCCCTCTGGTGGTCAGTGTGCTCCCACATGGGAGGAGCTCTGCTCATCCACAAGCCAGGCTGATGGCTGCCAGTACAGTGGTGGTGGTGGGAGCCTCTTCTGCCTCCTCAGCAGCGCTAAGGATGTCTGACTGCAGCTTAGGTCTGCTCCCTGCTGGCAAGTGGACATCCCCCAAGGGCTGCCGGGCTGCCAGAGGGATGTCTGATTGCCAGTTTAGGCCCAATCCCCCAGGGAGCAGGCCTAAGCCAGCAGGTGGTCACCCCCCGAGGGGTCCCAGACTGCAAGAGGGCACAGGCCGGGCTGTGCGACACCCCCCCGAATGCACAAATTTTTGTGCACCAGGCCTCTAGTATGGACATATTAGGCAAATATGTGTTGTATAAAAGTTATAAATATAAGTATGCCATAGCACTTTAATTTAAATGAGTGAGGTTTTTTTTGTAAATACTAACTAAAGTGTTCAGCTATGTAATGAAATGATGTATCTTCCAAGCATTATTTAAGGAACTTATTTATAGTTAAATGGCTGATGCTGACATTTTTTAGTCAAACATGAAACCAATGAAAGGTAATTGTGATTATAAAAGAAACTAAGGAGTAACTTTTTTCTTTCTAGATATAAACTGAAGATAAGTAGGGTTCTCTTTATCTAAAACTTAGTTTGTACCAATGTGTTTGTCATCACCAAGCCCTTAGTAAAAATCTGGATTTTTTTTATACTAACTGACTAGATTTTCAAGAAGCCTACTGTTAATAGGAACAAAACAAAACAAAACAAAAACAAACGAACAAAAAAACTCCACAAACTTTATCCTAGTTCTGACCCCACATACATCTTACCTTTCTGAAAAAGGATTTCAGCTTCCACCTCATATTCCTCTGTTGCTGAGATCTTACAGAGATTCAATGATGTTTCAAAAAGTTGAAGAGCAGGTGACCACTTTAAGGAATCCTTCTTTTTACTGGTATAGGAGACTTGCTTGGCTACTTTATGTCCTAAAGAAAGACAGTGGATAGGAAAGGTAAAACAAACTATATAGTGTCAAAATAAGTTACTAGACTTCTCTCACATTAAGGCATCTTCTAAGAACCTGGTGGTCTTTAGTTTTTAGTATCTAAGAAAATTTTTTAAAGAAACTCAATATCCAAATATTTCAATGAACTATAGCAATAGTCCTTTGAAACTTTATTTTTTTTTAAATTTCCATTCTCATTTTTAAAAGGAAGAGTAATCTCTAAAATCTCTCTTTCAGTTGTAAAATTTTATAATGCTCTGGAGAACAAGTTCTCATGTTCCTAAGATGAGGTTGTAGTAGGGAAACATCTGGAAGTTTTAAAGTTTTATGCTTTTTCCAATAAAACATGCATATATTAATAGGCAGTAATTTTGCTTCTACTCAGCTCTGTAGTGGCTGCTTGCTATGCATATTTTGTCATCCTAACTAGATAGTAACCCATTATGGATGAGGGCCACATGCTACACTTCTGTGTGGTCCCATCATTACTTACCATAAGGAAGGGTTGCTGTATGGGAGAGGCATTAGATTTAATCTGTGTGGCCTCAAAGAGAGACAGATATTATTCAAAAATATTTTCTGAGTGCTTAGGCACGAGATAAAAATGAGAAAGGACATTAAGGTTTATTAAGTGCTTCCTACATGCCAGGCATCACCCCAGGTACTTAATGAGCATTATCTCATGTAATCCTCCCAACTCCAACTCCAACTCCAACTCCAACTGGATGCCATTATGCAGAGGAGTAAGCCATGGCATAGTGAAGTCCAAAGAACTTGCCAAGGTCAACTAGTAAGTAGCAGGACCATAATCTGAGCCTATGTAGTCAGGCCCCAGGGCCCACACACTAAACTATGACACTGTAAGTCTCCTTGAGAGAGAGGTCATGGAACTTAGTGTTTAATGGGGAACACTGATGGCCAGACAGGTGAGTAAAATACTGTGTGGTCAATTGCATGGCGGGGAAAGCAAGGGCACTGTGGTAGCAGGAGAACTGGTGTAACTATGCAGAAACTTTATTTCTTTAATTTGATCTTTTCTTCTTTGCTTCCTTTGGATTCAAACTGGCCTCATCCAGCACACTGACTCACCCGTCTCCCTCTCCCCTTGCATGTCCACTCCCTTCATCATTAAGCCCTCAGGACAATGAGGCGCTGGCCAGCATTACACAATCTTAGGAACAAAGCCATGGGTCATTGCCACAGAGACAGAGTTGCAATCAAACTATAGGTAGCATCTAGCTAGGGCTCAGATGAGTTTTAGCTCCAGACCCAGAGAAGTGGAATGACCCCACCAACCATCTTTGGAAAACCAGACAAAGCAATGCCATGGCTGATATCAGCACCAGATGCACTGATCAACTACCTCCTACCTTAGTGCCAACCAATCAGTAGAGACCGTGATCCTGACCAGGACCTAACTCCCTTCATCTCCTATATAACCCATCCCCTAGGAGCCATTGGAGAGCCAGGTCTCTGACAACTGGCTTACCTGTGACTCTGGGCTTGATGCCATTTCTCCAACTAATAAACCCTTACCTTCTTGGCTGCAAACTCCTGTTTGTGTTTGATTGGGCTTTGATGTGTGCTGGCAAATGGACCCCTTTAGTCCAGTCACACTGGCCCAGACCTGGGAAAGGTCAGGAAGCCTTCTCAGAGAATGTGGCTGTCGAAGCCAACAGTTGATGGCCGCCTTGAATTTGGTAATTTTAAAGAAGAAAAATTTTGGGATAAAGAGTAGAAGGCAACTGGAAGAAAAACTACATTGATAGGGCAGTTTACCATATGCAATAAAGGGATATAAACAGAAAGGCAATGTAGGATTGCAGAATGAAACAGTTGCTGAATCCCAGCTAAATTATTGGTTCAGGCCAGTCATTGGTATTACCATGTTATTAGAGCCTTTGAACAAACCCCTACAAGTCTCTGGGCCTTGAGTGTCTTTCACTCAAAAATGAACCAGCAGAACTGGAAAAATCTGAGGTCTCCAGATTCTGAAAATTTTCAGTTCCAGAATGCGATGGCCTACAAAGGGCTTTCAAGAACCTAGGACTTTTTGTAAATGTTTAGTTCAGGAATCTGCTATTCAGCGGTTCTCAACCTGTGGGCTGCGACCTCTTTGGGGGTCGAACGACCCTTTCACAGGGGTCGCCTAAGACCATGGGAAAACACATATATAATTACATATTGTTTTTGTGATTAATCACTATGCTTTAATTATGTTCAATTTGTAACAATGAAATTGGGGGTCACCACAACAGGAGGAACAGTATTAAAGGGTTGCGGCATTAGGAAGATTGAGAACCACTGTAGCTATATGAAGAATAGGATGGTGGAAAACCATGCCTCTCTCCCTCTTTCTTATCCAGGGAGAAGTTACTTCAAATGATACAGGATGGCAGCAAACTGCTGAGAATATGGAAATGAAAAAACAAACAAACAGCGCTTGCTCCCAGCTCCCAGGAGCATAAAGCAGCCAGGCATGGAATAATGAGAATAGCTAACACCCACAAAGCCCTTAGAACAAAGTCGATGCCCTTCTAAACTTGTTACGCTTTCCACTTGCTTCACCCCACGACAGCCAGTGAGATTGATACATACTTTTCTTATCCAGATGTTATGGGAGAGGAAACTGAAACATAGAGAAGTTAAATGACTTGCTCGTGGAAATCAGACCAGAATTCCTTCTCTAGTGACTATTCTCAACAATTACCAACTTTGTTTACAGATCCCAGGCAAGAAGGATATGCAAATATCCTTTGTCTAATATAACCTCATGTTTCAATATATCTCCCATTTTATAGGTTTCACTATTGTTTCAAATTATACCATAACACTGTTTATTAATAATTATACTATAACACTTTATTAATCTTCATGTCATCAGGGCACTTAAATATATGAACTATATATATCTACCCTATATAATATTGTACTATATAACATAGGACTAACTCATAATAATAGTATTTAAATTGTCTTCTAGAGTTTTGTTAAAATTAGGAAAAAACTGTATAGAAATTATTGACTGTTTTCTCTTTCTAACTAGAATATAGGCTTTTTAAGGGCAGATGGTGTCTGGCTTGGTTCCCCATTGTATTCTCACTCCCCAGCATCATTCTTGCAACTTTCTTCACTCCTATTATAAAGTCAATAATTGAGTTTTTAAAAAATCTAATAAGAAAGATCGAGGTGCAGTTAGTGGAAAATAAATAACCATGATGCTTATTTTTTGTTTTATAAAAATAATCTCAAAATGCCTCTTTCTGTGTGAGGCTTTCACAAGAAAACATAATTGTTAAGTGTCTCTATTCTTGACATGCAGTCTTTGCTATCACTATACAGGCAGACTGCCGAGAAAGCATTAAGTCAGATTATATTATGCTTCATAATACTGAAATGTTCCTTTTTCCAATAAACATCAATTCTGTGGGGGGAAAAAGTTGTGAAACTGACATTGTTTTGACAGAAAAGCTGCTTTGGTTTTGTTTCTTAAGTCTGTGTTTAATGTAATATAACAGAAAGCAAGCTGTTCTACTTCAAGTGAGTCTAAGAAACAGAACCAGTATTGCCAGTGAGTAGTGACACATCTTCAAGATTACTGAGGCAGGAAAGCAGAGAATACACTGGATTTAAAAAACCTGTACAGTGTAGCACAACCTGTATTTAAGCTCTTGTAGAAATCAAACATACTAATAATATAACAAACTGTGGACTAAAGATGCAGAAAAATAGCTCTCACGGGATCAGACTGCAGGAAGGAATTCTAGAGGTCAGCTAGGCCAGCCTAAGTTTATAAATAAGGAAACTCAACAATATAGAGAGAAGTGAAGCAATTTACCTGTGGTAATAAAATTCACATCTGATGATGAGGCTGACGATCATCATATAATAATAAGGATCAACACTAATCATGAGGAGGAGGAGCAGAAGGGAAATAGTGGAAAGGTTCTGGAAAGGTGATGGCGTGAGCACCACTGCTGCCCTCCCTTCTCCATTCTAGTCCCACCACCAACCTCTCTGAGCTGAGCACCAGCTGGTGCAGGAGGCAAATGGGTCCCCAGAGGCGGATGGGTCCCAGGAGGCAGGGGTAATGTTTAAAATGTCGATTTCATTATTATTCAGGTATGGATGAGGTTAACAGGGCAGGAGACAATTGCCATGGAAAAGACAGTGTATTGCAGGTCCCCAAAAAGAAGAGCCACAGCACCCCACGCAGGGCCACATGGGGAAGCACCAGGGTTGGTCAGAGGTGGAGGGAGCAAGGGGAAAAGTGGACAAGAGCCTTCGTTGTGGTTCTTATGGGACAGAATGGAGGGGTAGGGTAAGCAGACTCAGCTGGCTTAGGATTGGCTGGTTTAAAGCATTTCAGTGGGCTCTCTGGTAGTCTGGTAGCTGTGCCTGGGGTGATGAAGGTAGGGGAAGAGTGGCCCAGAGTGCAAGAACCCAGCAAAGGACAATAAAGGAGCTGGTTAGGGTTTGGGTTGTGGACCCTGGATGGCATGTTCAATGAAAAGTGATTTGCTAATCTCTAGAAGTTTAGGGCTAATTTCTCCCTAAACAGCAAGGCGCCAGATGTCAAAGCATCAGAAACGCAGAAAACAAAAGGGCCTGGTCAAATACAGGTTAGAACAGAGAGTTGGTACAAGACTTTCGTCGTCTGAGCTGGATGAGAGCCTGGGAGCTAGAGGCAGGCTTCCTTGGGTCAAACACAGAGGGGTGTCCTGGAGAGAGCTGGAAACAACATGCCTGCGTTCCTCCCGGGTTTCTGAGGAGCTGTGAGCTTTCTGCTGACTGGTCCACTTACTCTAATCAGGTCAACTCTTGGTTGGCTCCAACCTGTTCTTCCCCCGCATCCAGGACTGTATTTTAAAACGTAACCATCCCAGCTTAGCTCTTCCCATCGGGTGGCCAGCCCACTCTGTTCGGGCTGTCCTTGTGTCCCTACAGTTCCTGAACATGTCCAGCTCGTCCTGACCTCAGAGCCTATAGCTCACTGCTCCTTCTGCCTCTACAATGCACACTTAGTGACTCACATTTAAGGTTTGGGGTTAAATGCCACCTCCGTGGAGAGGCCTTCCCTATTGACTTAAATGGGCAGCCATCTCTTCCCTGTTCTTTATCAACAGATCTTATCCACGTCTTTCATAACACTAACAATTCATAATTATACGTATACATATACTTAACTCATTACCATATATTAGCTTTATATATCCTTGCTGATTTCCTGTCTAATTGTTATCGAATACATATTTTATTTTATACAATATTTATTTTATTACATTTTATAAATATTAAAAATATTTATTTTCTACAATATTTATATGATATGATTCATGATATAATACGCACTCCTATATGGTTTGTTTACATGTTTATTTCTGTCTCCCACACTAAGATGAGGGATTACATCTGTTTTGATCTAAAATAACCTCCCAGGTCCTCACACAGAGTCTGGCACGCAGTAAATAATCAAAATCTATTTGTTAAATAAATTGAGCCTGAGTATTCATAAATATTGCCCCATAAACTAGCAAGTGTACTTAGGTAATAGCGTGCCTGAAAATAACTTTAAATTTTTCACCAATGGCTTGAGTGTAATATATGTTTGTGTTCTTACCAATTCTCATTTTTGTTTTGGCCAATAACATGATATGAGGAAGATAGACATTTTTCAAAGGCTGTAATGGACTTGCATAGTCAGTGTTTGATGAAGGAAACTCAATTGTTTCTCCAAAAGTTAGCATCTGTAAAAGAAACATTGTAATGAGTAATTAGCTAAAGTCATTTGGAATAAAGAAAAAAAGAAACAGAACAACAAGTTTCTAAATCTTGGGAACTCAAAAGCACTCTCACCTGTTCAATAAGAATGTTGTGAGACTGAGTCAACAAATTTAATTTTTCTGTTTTTGTATGCAAAAGTTCCTTGAATTTCTCTGCACTTGTTAAGTCATCCAGCAAAAGCAAGCTTCTCGCCAGAGTTAAATAAGATCGCGGAGAAATAAACTCACTTCCTTCAAGCAAACGTATGATGGCCTATTAAAATAAAATTATTCCTTTGATTGTATTGTTTGCAATTCCCTGAAACAAGAGCTGGCCATATTGACTGTCACGCATTCAGTACCTAATGGAATATAAAATTCTCTCTTTTTATTCTACACTGAGTCCTTTGGTAAATATCAACGTGAATGAAGTTTCCTTCCTACCTGAAGGTTTGTTATGATGTCTGCCTTTAAATGCTTTTCTTGTAGGCCAATGATTACAGCTTGCATCAAGAATTCAGCCTGTAGCTCCCTGTCGCCTGCACTTTCTGCCTCCAAACACACTTCATTGATGAGGCTAACGTAATCTGTCATATCATTTTCTAAAATAAACAAATGTAGTTATTTACAATGCACTGAGAAAAGTAACAAAATATATACACATAATATGCCCCACGTCCATCACAGGAATATTGTGTAATACAGAACAAGAAGATACAAAGAGACAGAAAACAGACTACATGAGACAGTGAAAATAAATGTGTTGCAATTTGTGGGGAGGCACTTTGCGGTATCCAAACGCTGCAAAACTAATAATAACATTGCATGAGATAATTTAATTTGGGAGATTGATAGAGATGGTGGATAAATAGGTTTGCAAGTAGATAATTATTCATCACTGTAAGAATTAACATTCCTATGTGCCAGCCTGTGTGGTCTAAGAACTTTATATGTGTAACCCATTCAATTTCAACAAGAATCCTATGAAACAAGTACACTTGTCTCTATTGTATAGAGAAGGAAGTCAGGCATCGGTGGGTTGAGAGACTTGGTCAAGGGTCACACAGCGAGGAAGTGGTAGTCCGAGCATTGGAACCGAAGGCACCTGGCTCCAGAACCTGTGCTTCGGACCCCTCACCCTACGCTGCCTGCTTTGCATACAGCAGTAACATATATGCATTTTCAGTGATACAAGGGACTATTGAAAGTGATTATTCTTACTTAAGAACCTGAATTATTTTTATTCTGGAAACAAATTAAGCTAGAGAGTTATAAAATATATCCCAATAAAACCTCTGTTACCTACATGAAATCACTTTTTATAAAACCTTTGATTAAGAAAATAGGATATTTGTACCTTTCACGATTCCAATGCCACGGATCTGTGCAACCAGCGCAGTCACCAATGCTAAGCGGCACGTCAACCACAGATGAATGTTGAAATATTCTCGAGAATTTAGGGAGATAGGATCTAAAAATTCATTCTCATCTTTCTTTTCAATGACCTAAAACAATATTAAAATCATGGTAATCTTCACATTAATAGTGGCAAAGTTCTAGTCTAATGCTAAATGTAAAAGAAGCATCCGATATCATTTAATAGTATTAAATTTTAAATTTTAGAAATTATTCCTGTACATTCTAAAAAACATAAAAAATACACACACAAAAACAAACAAATAAAAGCACCCGTAATCCCACAATCCTCTATTAATATTCTTGTCTACTGTTTTTCAGCTTTTCTTTTTCTTTCTATACCCATTGTTGACAAACAGTTTTGCAGTCTGAATTTATCACCGCAAATGATAGTATCCGTAGTTTCCATGTCCTCAAAATTTTTGTAAACATCATCTGAAAGGCGGAATAATAATAAATAATACTGGCTAATATCTCTTGAATGCTCCTCATGTGTCAGGCACTGTGTTACATGCTTTATACACATTATTTCATTTAATTCTCTTGACAAGCCCAAGAGGAGTTATTATTTGTTTTACCTATGGGAGACCTGAAACTTTGAAAGGTTATCTATTTGCTTAAACTTCATCATGTTTTGGCAAAGGTGAGACTCAAGAATATAACTTGTGTCTTTCTGAATTGAGAGCCCACAGTCTTAATCTCCTCTGCTATATCACTGTATTCTGCTCACATCCCAAAAATATATCATTGATCTACCATCCTTATTATTACATTTTTCAAAGGGTGCTCCATGACCAGAGCTACTGGGAGGGAGGCACAAAGGGAGCTTTTTCCAGGGAAAGTTCCCAAATTTCTAAATATATTTCCATCTTATTTAGAAATTTGGGAACTTCAAAGTCATTCAGACCAACAGCCATTTGTTCTAGGAATTCCCTGCTTTGCATCTCTGACAGCTCACCATCTCCCACCAATTAGCAGCACCTGCTATCAAGGAGCAGCTCTGGAGACAGGCAGGGGGCTGGAGTCTGGATAGACAGGTGAGAAGCTCAGAAGAGGAGGTGAGCTGTTCCCAGAAACAGTAAGAAGTGAACAACCGAGGCCTGGAGGCAGAATGGTGACCACAAGGGCACAACAAGTAATGGAAGAGTCTAGTTGGATTAGCATCTACATACCTTAAACTCTCAGTGCCTACATTTCCTGTTACTGTCCAAAAGCCAAATCTCAATTAAACCAGGGTTTCTCAGCCTTGACACTACTGGCACTATGTGGCAGACCATTGTTGTGGGAAACTGTCCTGTGCATTGTAGGATGTTGAGTAACATAGCCGACCTCTATGCACTATATGCCAGTAGCGCCCCCTCTAGGTGTGACAACCAAAACGTCTCCAGACATTGCCAAATATCTCTTGGGCAGGCAAAATAGCCCCCAATGAACAACCATTCCTCTAAGTCAATTTTCAGAATTACATTGCTTTTTAGAACTTTTATTACTTTTAATACAGTTAGAAATGAGTCTCTACTTAGGACAATTAGTGTTACTTGTAATGACAGTGGATATTAGCAGTTTTATTCATAATATCCTATCTAATAAAAGGCTAATATGCAAATTGTCCCCTCGACCAGGAGTTTGGGAGTTTGACCAGGGGGTGGGGTCAGCTGGCTAACTACCTGTGGCTCCTCCTCCCGGCCAGCCCTGCCCCTTACTCCTCCCCCACCCTATGGCCCCTCCCCTTGAGGCAGGCTGGCTGGACCCCACCCATGCATGAATTTGTGCACTGGGCCTCTAGTTTAAAATAATGAGCAAAGATTCTATATGATGAATCTTTATATTTCAAACAATGCTATCTTATTAAATTACTTGATCTCATAAAAATCCAAAAAAATTTCAAATACTTTGCAACACCAGTTGTCAAAATTATTTGAGAGCTTAAATGGGGAAGAATATAACTATGAGAAATTGAAAGTAGGAAATAGCATAGGTGTCATACTGATAATGCTAAAGTAACAAAAACATGAGATGAAGAGAAAAATAAAGTGAAACAACTTTATTTACTAGTGAAATCAGACCTATAATTTTGTACTGACACATTTGGTGGAACTTCAGTGATTACTACATCCAATTCCAACAGTTCACAAATGAGATTTACATTTAAAAATGCTATAAAATTTAAGGGACTTGCCCAAGGTATGCCAGTTAATAAACAGCATAAACAGGGCTTAAACATAGATCTTTATACTCCATATTCAATGTTTTTTCTACTTTATCCCTTTGTTTTTATCCAACTAATTAATAAGATTAAGCATTAAATTCATACGTACAGAAGCTAGAGAGAGGGAACTCTCTGTGTCATCTTGTACCTCCTTCTTTTGAAAAAGTTTTGAATCCTGGATAAGTTTAAGTGTGGAAAATACTATTGCAACACTAAAACAAAGAATATATTTTAAATGTTATTAGCTTTACACTTGTGGCATTTGCATGTTACTTCCTCCAAAGCACCTACCCACTGCCCCATTCACCCCCAAAACTGTTACGTGCCCTTCTATTCACCCTAATAGTGCCGTGGTCTAACCATGTGTTCTGATTTATCACACTGTTTAATTGTGTGTAAACTGCTCTACAGCTCATCTGTCTCATTCTCTGTTGGAACCCAGAACCTAGTGCCTGGGACAGAATAGAACTGGAAAAATATTTTTAAATGAAAGTGAGTGAATACAAGAATGAATAAATAAAAGTTTCCAAGATTTAAAACAAAATTTACTGACAATATCACTATTAAAATGAACACATATGCATTTAAATAAATCAGAATGTGGTTCTCCAGCTTTTTGTGGTTATAGTATTGTTACTTAATGCTATCTACTTAGAAACTCTAAAGCTAAATTATTGTTTAATCAGTGTCTAGTCAGAAGGAAAATGTACTAAATTAAGAAAATGAAAACCAGGAAATATAAATTCTTATCACTCTATACATATATTTGTCTTCAGTTTAGACCATTACATCCTCCTCCCCTCCAGAATACTAAATTTATAATTGACATCACCCTTTTCAAAATATTTATATAATATATATCTAAAGAGGCTTCTCCTTTTGAAAATCTATCCCAAAACAAAATTTGAAATACAGAACAATCTGCCCGGCCAGGTGTGGCTTGGTAGTTGAGTGTTGACCTATGAACCAGGAGGTCACAGTTAGATTCCCAGTCAGGGTGCATACCTGGGTTAGGCTTGAACCCCAGGAGGGGGCATGTAGGAGGCAGCCAAATCAATGATTCTCATCATTGATGCTTCTATCTCTCCCTCCCTGTCTCGGAAATCAATAAAAATATGTTTTAAAAAAGAGAAAGAAATACAGAACAATCTAAATACCTGAAGATACTTACCATAGTGCTATTTATAACATGGAAAGATGGGGTGAAAGCCAAATGGACAATGCACCCACCTATCTAATTCTCCACTTGAAAAGTTAATTGACAATCACATTTAACAGGTGTTATAGGTTGAATTGTGTGCCGCCAGAAAGATATGTTGACATCCTAAGGGAAGAGGATGTGAACACACATGGGAAGAAGATGGTCATGTGACTGGAGTGATGCATCCATAAGCCAAGGATTGTTGGCAAACACCAGAAACTAGAAAAAGCAAGGCAGGGCTCTCCCTACCTGGAGCTGTCAGAAAGAACATGGCCATGCCAACACTTTGATTTTGGACTTCTACCCTCCAAAACTGTGAAACAATAAAATTCGATTGTTTGAAGTCACCCAGTTTTTGGTCCTTCGTTAAGGCAGCCCTAGGTAACTGGTAGAATAAATTAAAAGCAGCTCCCCTTGCTTCCACCTCCTCCATCAAATGCTGTCTGTCCTCCATCCCACAGGCAGAGCCCAGAATTACCATTGCTTCCTCTTTAATTCACATTCTATGTTCAACACACCAACAAGCTCTGTCAGCTTCAACTTTGAAATATGGACACCAGCCAGCAGCCCCTCACCTCACTTCCTCCGCAGCTGAGACCTCTGCCCAAACCATCATCATCTCCAGGCTGCAGGAGCTTCCTGACCAGACTCCCCTGGGCCTCTAGCCCCTGCAGTCATGGTCTCCAGATAGCAACCCCAGCAATCTCATCAAGATATAAATCAGACCATGACACTTTCCCCATACATGTTCCAGAGGCTTCCTGAGTCCCTGGTCTGTGGTCAGTACATCTCCTCATTCGGGTCAATCACTGAGGTTTCTGGCCTAGTATGTGATCAACTTTGTCACTGTCCACGCATGCTTGGGGGAAGGTATAGTCTCTGTTTGTAGGCTCCCAGAGTATTGAAATGGGATTATTATAAGGATTCAATGATGTATTCTTCCATTTGTTAAAACATATGTGTTGAGTACCTGCTACGGGCCAGGAACAAATCTAAGGTCTCTGGATCTGAGAAACTTTGTGCAATTATTGAATTTTAAATCCAAGGTTCTACTGAGTCATTAAAATGGCATAGATATTTGTAGACTAAGGTATTGTTTCTGATTATATAAACTTACTGGTTTTTATTTGAAGTAAAACTAAACAAGCAAGAAAAATGTAACACTGATTCATTATGCATAAAGGTATGAAAATTCCACTCCCCAACAACCTCCTCCCTCAAGGATCCACATGTGTTTCAATAGCATCTTGTTTTACTGGGTAGCTTCAGAGGTTAGCACAAGATGGCTAGGAGACCTTGTGGGGGAAAAGTGGTGCTCAACCCATGCTTCTGATTTAGAAGCCCAAATTTTGATATCAAGAGAAATGAGGGCCCTTGCTGGTTTGGCTCAGGGGATAGAGCGTTGGCCAAAAGACCAAGGGGTCCCGGGTTCAATTCCATTCAAGGGCACATGCCTGGGTTGCCAGCTCGATCCCCAGTAGGGGGCATGGAGGAGGCAGCCGATTGATGATTCTCTCTCATCATTGATGTTTCTCTCTTTCCCTCTCCCTTCCTCTCTGAAATCAATAAAAATATTTTTTTTTAAAAAAGAGAGAAATGAGGTATGAGGCTTCAAATCTTGCTGACCCCAAAACTTAATGAATAAAATATAAACATACTAGTATGTACTAATCCTCTTGGTATTAATATGGACTAATCCACCTGGCGCTACTTAGTTGCAAAATGGAAAATTTCTAGTTTCTCTTCTCCACATGAAGACAGAGTATGGGAGGATTACCCACTATAAACCGTCTAAAATCCCAAAGGAAGGAAGTTTCATTCTGACACAAAATTAAAAGGCTCAGATGTTATCCCATTTAGACAATAAATTAAATAGAAAGGAGGATAGACAGGAACACTTATTTAAAAAAAAAAGACAGGATTCTGAGAGGCAACCCTAACAAGTAGAAATATCATTTGAATAATTTTGATCCCATTTATTTCTTATTACTATTCATGGCAAAAGTGGTCAGTTTGTTCTCCTAAAATCCATGCGGCTCACTTTATCTGTCACCCTAGGGAGTGTGCCTTTCAATTTCCTTGACACATAATTATATTAGAAGTATCATGAAATGTCAAGCTAACCCTCATTTGGGAAAGAGACTGTCCAACACTTTCAGCAGCTCCTAAACAGAAGCTCATGGGGGGCAAAGTTCACCTAAGATAAACTCATTCATCCTGACAGTAGGCTTCCCCAAATGACGCCTCTGCTGCAAAAAAGGCAATAAATTAAAAGTTTTGTAGGTTTTGTCCCAAGGGCCATGTTGATGTATTTAAAATAGGAATGATTCTGTTACACTTGCACATTATTTGCATATTCTCTCTGGTCTTCAAATTAAAGTTCTATTGTAACACTCCTTTCAGTGGCCATTTGGTAATTATTAGTTTCTAATTTCCTTCTTCCCTAAAAAAAATCACTCATGTCCTCTATGCCAAAGGGTGTAAGACATGTAGAGAGCTGGGAAAAAATGGAAGGCTGCTGTTGCTCTGTGGGACACTGGGGAAGAAAAGAGTTCTATATATTCTATATGCTTCTACAGGAAATCATAGAATCATAAATTTTATTGTCATACATATCTGAAAACACATATTTAGATATGTTCAGATATCATATATTTTCTATAGGAAATTATATAGTAAAAGCTCTTTCTCGCTTCAAACTTCAAAGAAGAAAATAATATATTATAATGCAAGGCCTATTTTACCATCAATCAACTACCACAGTATTCATAAAGACAGGCATAGCCCAGCCTGCATGGCTCAGTGGTTGAGCATCGATCTATGAACCAGGAGGTCTTCATGGTTCGATTCCTGGTCAGGGCACATTCCCAGGATACAGGCTCAGTCTCCAGTGTTGGGCATGCAGGAGGAAGCCTATCAATGATTCTCTCTCATCATTGATGTTTCTATCTCTCTCCCCTTCTTCCTTTTTCTCTAAATTCTATATAATATATTTTTAATTTTTTTAAAGACAGGCATAAATGTAACAATACTTCCCAAGCTTTTTAAAAATCTCAGCACTCATTTATACCCTTAAAATTATTCGGAACCCCAAAGGGCTCCATCAATATTTACCATATTAGAACTTAAGCTGAGAAACTTTTTTTTTAATTTTTAAAATATATTTTTTTATTGATTTTAGAGAGGAAGGGAGAGGGATAGAGAGATAGAAACATCAATAATGAGAGAGAACCATTGATCGGCTGCCTCCTGCACGCCCCCTACTGGGGATGTAGCCTGCAACCCAGGCATGTGCCCTTGGCTAGAATCGAACCTGGGACCCTTCAGTCCGCAGGCTGATGCTCTATCCACTGAGCCAAACCAGCTAGGGCAAGCTGAGAAATTTTTAACTTCATGAGTGTTTATTAATTTGTTTTAAAATAAAAACAATAAACTCATTACATGCTAATATAATAATGCATTTTAATAAAAAACAACTGCCCTGGTTGGGTGGCTCAGTTGCTTGGTGCGTCGTCCTGTATACCAAAAGGTTCCATATTCAATTCCCAGTCAGGGCACATACCTAGGTTGCAGATTCAATCCCTGGTCAGATGTGTACAGGTGCCAATTGATTAATGTTTCTCTCTCATATGGATATTTCTCTCTCTCTCTCTCTCTCTCTCTCTCTCTCTCTCTCTCTTTCTTCTTTCTCTCTCTCCCCCCTTCCCCTCTCTCTAAAATCAATAAAAACATTTACTAGAGTGAGGATTACAAAAGAAAAGAAAAACAACTATCTTTTCCAAAACATCAAGAAAATTAGTGAGAATGCCATTGTTTTCACTTTTTTTTCAAATCTAATGTCTGGCATAAGAGAAAATCTTCTTAATAGGAGACTTTCTTATGTGCTTTTACTTTCAGTATGTTGTGACATACCGTTTTGGCTGAAATATATGAAGAAGACTTGGTTGCACAGATAGTCATTGGAAATGGGAGGAGTATTTTAATAGCTTCTTCAAATAGTTGTGAATATTATTCTTTGATGCTATACTAAAATGTGATAAGTGATAATTTCTTAAAAGTTTGCTACAATGTGGGATCTAATATCACACACTGATGAACTTTTCCTACTCCCTTATATCAAAACCTATTGGTCTATCTCAGCAACTGGTGTGCAGCAAGAATTTTTAAAATATGCAATACCTGACTATTTAGTCAGGGGTATTGACCTATTTTCTCTTGTCAAATAAAAAAATGACAACAGCCAACATAACAATAGCTGTCTGGTGTGAAATCCCTGTCTTGAACCATAAATATATAGGTCTTAATAGAGTTGTATCTTATTGGTCATGCTGCATAATAAGGATACATCTGATTGGTTAATTCTTTGTACCAAAAGTTCTTATATACAAGTATAGGAGAATCTCTAGGGGTGTTCCTAGATTTTTTTAGTCTCTTTGGAGCAAAAAGAGAAGTAACTACTATTTTTTTTAATCAATCAAAATTATAGCTAATTTTTTGTCAGATCAACAAAATATATGTGTGTTTTTTTGGTGTGCTGCAGAATTTTAGAAATTAGTTTATATGAGCCATGGGCAAAAGAAGGTTACAAATCACCGGTCTATCTTGTTAACCAGGATTTTGGAACATCATACACTGGTCATTTGGAAAACATTAACTTCTTGAGCATGAAGATCCCCTTAATGTTGAAACACTTCATTATACAATTTTAGAAATGATGCTTGTTAACATTACTACCAATCTCATCCAGAAAATCTAAGGATTACAAAACTGTCAAGTTCATGGTGGCAAGTACAAATTTTCCAAAATTCTAGTTTTCCTATGAAAGGTTAGATATTATAATTGGTAAAAAAAAATACTACTTATTAGTTGTTTTCCTAGAAGTAGCTTGTCCATTTTGCTCCGTTTCAATAAAATGACTGTCAAATACTCAAGTTTGAATAACCATATTTTGCAGGGTTTTTTTCCAAATAAAAAAATATTACATGAATAGAAGAACAGCTGGTTCAGCTTTCTCAAGACAATTATCAAACTTTGATGCACAATAAAAGTGCTCTAGGTGTATTTCCCATTTAACATTCCCACAGAATATTAAAAATAGATACAAGGATAGGGATTTATAAATGTAACAGATTATATTGCTTCACGAAAGGCATTCATAAGTGTAACTGGCCTTTTTTATACTTGATAACTACAAGTATGGCCATGGCTTTGATTCATGGTGAGATGCCAGAAGTTTTACCACTGTTGCTTTTGCATCTTCAGTGCAAATAACACACAAGAAGGCCAATAACATCTTAGTTTTACTATAAAAATAGTTTTAACCTTACAGATCCCTGAAAGGATTTTAGGGACACCCCTAGAGATCTGCAGACCACTCCTCCAAGAAGACTTTATGGATTTTCATCACTGCTTAGAGACCACAAAAATTACAAATTTCCAAAACCTAGACTGTCTCTAGCAGAAAATCAAATCTAGATGTGGTTAATCACAGAATGGCCTTCAGTCCAGGCTCACAGTGATGAGATGATTCTATGGTTCCAATCAAAACAAAAGGGATTTCTGCTGAATTGATTGCCTCTTTACAAAAGCTGCAGATGAACTTCTCCTTCATCATCATCATCATCATTATTATTGTTATTATACTCATCCGAGGACATTTTCCATTGATTTTAGAGAGAGGAAGGGAGAGAGAAAAAAACATCAAATGGTTGCCTCCTGTACCCACTCCAACTGGTACTGAACCCACAACCCAGTTATGTGCCCTTATCTGGAATTGAACCTGCGACCCTTTGGTGTATGGGATGACACTCCAACAGAGCCACATTGGCCAGGGCCTTCTCCTTTTTGAAGAGAATGTCCACCTAAAAATTAACTCCCCTTCCAAATTCTGAATCTAATTCATGGAGTTGAATGCATGGAATTTCAAGAAAGTTAAGGAGATTAAAAAACCCAAAATTGTAATCTGTAATTTTAAGAATAATAATGTTAAAACTACCTTGAAAAGTAAAAAATGAGTAGGCTCTATTAATCGAGGAACTTACAAAATTTAGATATATTTAACAGGTTATGGTGAAGAAGAAACTGCTCTGTGTACAGACTCACCTGTACGCCGCTCGGTGTCTCTGCAGGGCGATGGCGGCGAGCTGAAGCCGGGCCTGCACCACAATCTCCAGCTGACCCACAGAGCACTGGGCAAGGCCCTTCTGGCTGGCCTGCTCCATCTCTGACACCAGGGAGTTCAGCCTGTCTTCAGCTTCTGTCAGTAAAATTGACTAAAAAAGAAGAAGACCACATAATTACGTAAGTTCAGAAATATTACAAGTAATGTCTCATTATTATTCACCAAATATTTTTTGTGCTGAAGTAACTACTAATGGAAGACAGAAAAGGAAATTTGAACATCATCATCAATGAAGAGCACAAAAGCAACAGAGAATGAAAAGGCAGGTCATGGCAAGAGTAAACAAGTATAACTGTTACCCTTTGTTGTATGTACAACCTATCACATACATGATCATTTACAGTAGTTATGGTCAAGAAAGTTGCTGCAAACACTGAATTAGCAAATAACGAAAACCACCGTTCCTAGGGGAAATACGGGGATAGGTTCCTGGGAGCTTCTGGTCATGTTTTTGTCAACTGATCAATACATAACTTTGTTCAATGTGTGTTTACATTTAAACATACATTATTTAATATATATTATAGATCCATTAACCCTGAACACACAACCAATAGCTCTATAACTAATGCCTGACTGAAAACTTATTTTCTCCATAACACACATCACAGCCCTCTTGCACTTAGAAACACTAAACAGCACTTTAGGATTAGAGTTGTGGGTCATTTTAAATAATAAAATCAACAACTGAAAAGCACGAAAATTCCAAAGATGTGACCATAAATAGACCATGAAAGAGATATTTGCTTATAGTATGAGAATGGAAACAAAAACTCACAGCATTGCCTCGTTCGGCCCAGCTGGGAATGTGTGTGCTGGGCAAGTCACATTTCTCTATGCTCTGCCCATGTCCACAAACGACCACAAAAGAGCCATAACTACTGATTTGGGATTACAAATAAATTTTAGTATTGGCAAATTAGCAAATACTGAATCTGTGACTAATCGGAACCAACTGCATTTCAAGTTAAGTTGTGGTCACCTAACTGGCAATGTGAAGATAATGAGACTTTAGAATGGGCAATCCATAATAAATAGCAACCCGACATGGCAAAATAGGAAGGGACCAACCATGTTTTCAAGGAATGGGCCTCTAAAATCTTGTTTGTACAGAGCAGTAAATACTATACAAGTTCTAGGCCAATTTTTATGATGATGGTTAAGAACATGATCTGTATTTTATTAGCGGCATACTGTTAGTGAATTTTGAATGGTTTAAGCTTCAATGTTCTGATGGCTCAGCACAATATACTTCAAAAATGATTAATATCTACATGACAGAGCTGCTGTGAAAATAACCATGCAAAGTGTCTGTCATGTGGTAAGCACTGAATAAGTGGTAGTTGTTTTTGTTGCTGTTGTTGTCACTATTATTAATAGGAAATGAGAAACAGGGTATGGGCTACTCAAATCCTACCCAATAAAGAATCATATATTCTGCAGCACCTAATCGGGTTGTATAGTCAAAGTCTGACACCTCTGGGTATCTAACTTTTCTCATGGGGAAAAGTTTCTGCTTATGTGAGAAAAGCTACCTGGCCTCTTAACTGCAAGCACAACCCAGAAAGTGGGCCTGTGCATGGCTGAATAGTGAGCAACTTGGTAACTGATTTACTATGATTTGAAAACATTTTTAAACTTACCTTTAGTGTATTAAGAGTGAATTCATCTTTTAGTTTCTTAAGAAAACCAAATGTGCCTCCATCATCCTTTGTATATAGATCTTTAAGATACAAAATTTTAAAAGAAACAAGGATAGTTGTGGTTAGTTTAAATATTAATTCTAGTTAATAAAATTCATCATTAATTGGGAAACTACCCATAAAATTAATGCTAACAACCCCCGCAATGATAATTAGAAATATATGACTATATCAAATAGACTCTAAACATAATATATTAGAAGACTGAGGCTGATTCTTACAGCAAATGAGACAATTCAGTGATGTTATTCAAGTGATCAGATACTGGTTCCTCTCCTAGAATTCTAAAACCCCTTAACGTCCTCAAAGTATTCTGGGTCTTCCAGATATTTATGATATGTCAATAAGATCTTCTTGGAAGAATCATTTCTACTGATTTGCACAGGCTCTAAGACTGGAGAGTAACATCATTTTGAACAGCACAATTGAAAATCTTTAAACATCTCAAAATTCCCACCCACAAAACGAAGCTGGCCCTGATTCTGAGCCAGGGAGAATTCAGAGAATTTATGTAACAGACCTTGACTGCTGTGGTAAACCTGGCCTCTACACTACAGAAGAGAGAGGAAAACTATAAGTCACTGTCTTACTAGGAATTACTGCAAAAATTACCCACCTAAAGACACTAAGTGTAATAAGCAGGAAGAAAGAGCCTAGAATAACATGGAACTGAGCACACCTGACTTTCTCTCTTCTTCCTATCTGGCTCATCTCCTACTTTAGGAGGTTGTGGAGCTAGGGGTGTGCTGAGTATAAGGGAGGGTTTGAGCACTGGGAAAGGCCCAGCAGGACGATCTGGGACTGGGTCTTCTTCCCTAAGGAAGAAAGTGAGAGACAAAGATAGAAAACAAATGCCTGGAGCTTGGTATGAAGAACCCTGTAATGAGCATCCACATAAAATGAACATCAATCCAAAGAGGACCCACATTTTCCTCGCTGATCTCTCTGCCTCCTGTGTGGCTTTCCCTGTGTGGCCCTTCCATGTTGTGCCCCTTCTCTTGGGGGCTGTAAATAACAAACTGTGTTTTCAATGGCAGCCATCTCCTAATCTGTTGTCCTTACCATATCTGAATAATAATAAGACTTACATTTTAAAACAGAGGCCAATATTACTCTGATACCAAAACTAGACAAAGACACCACAAAAAAAGAAAACTACTTGCCAATATCTTTTATACATATGGATTCAAACATCTTCAATGGAACACTAGCAAACAGAAATCAGCAACACATTAAAAAAAAGTATATACCATGATCAAGTGGGATTTATCCCAAGAAAGCAAGGTTGGTTAAACACGTAAAAATCAAATAATAATGTAATACACCATGTTAATAGAATAAAAAACAAAAACCACAGAATATCTCAATATATGCAGAAAAGGCATTTAGTGACACTCTATCATGACAAAATTATTCAACAAACTAGGGATTTCTCTCTCTGATAAAAAGACATATATGAAAAACCCACAGTTAACATCAGACTTGATGGTGAAAACAATTCTTTTTATGGTGACATCTAATACATTTTCAAAATACATATACACAATGGCTCATAAATTCCATCCATGGGTGTCTTAACCCATAGAACATACACTATATCATATGGATAGGTAGTGCTTCAGCACTGTTCTCTAGAAACAAAGTGAATGAGCATCGATATGGGAATGATTGAACCACCATGGAACATTGACATCATAGAACACTGCACAGCCAGTATAGTGAACTAAAGCATAGCAGTTGACTTAGGAGCAGTTTTAGTGAAGATTTCCTGCATGAGAAAGGCATGATGCAGAAAAATATAAAAATATATCATTTATAAACAAATGTCAAATCCTACTGTGTATATGTGTGTGTGTGTATAAAATGTATGGATATGGAGATATATGGATAACTATGGATATGCCTGTACTTAAACATAAGCATATGTGTGTCATTAGTAAGCTTAGAGAAAATTTGGAGGAATAGATACTATATTGCTCATAGGGATTACTGGGGGTGGAGGGGGCAGAATTGGAGCAAGAGAGGAGAAAGAAAAGCAAGCAAACAATGAAACAAAAGATTACCTTTCAAGTTTGGAAAGTTCATTTTGCTCTTCTCTGAAACATATCCATGGGTCGTCTTTAATATATTTTCTGGAACGTAATTTATTGTTGCAGCCACACTTACTAACAAGTATGCTCTAACAAACGAAAACTTATTTATAAGATGTTGATGTCCAACTGTATGCAGAATTTGAGGCAAGCCTTTATTGATTAAGTCATCAAGTGCCTAAAAAAATGGGAAAAGAATTTATAAAGGCAAATAAGTAAAACATTATTTTATATACTATTGGCTTTCTGTCCCCTTTTGCATTCCTTATTTGATTTTGGGTGAAAGAATACAGGGACAGACACGAGGTACCGTGAATAGTAGGTCTATCAAGAGAAACATGTGATGTCAGAATCATCCAGGCTCCACAGCGCCTCTGCAGTTTCCCACCGATTTGCGACCTGCCCCAGGAGCCCCGCCCTGCCACATAATGAGAGAGAAACAGGGCTGAGAGCAAAAGAGGACACACTTTTGAAATAGAGAAACTGCAACAGCTCAGTAGCCATGCATGCTGACCATTCTGCTTTCAGGTGAGTAACTTAGAGCTATGAGAACAGGAATGGGGAGAATGGGGAGACAAGCCAGCTCCCTACCCAGCTTAGATCTGCGCTCAATCATCGGATCTCTGCCTGGTGAACACCCTCAACTCCCAGATCCCAATCTTGTGCATATGTACTTCCCTGGTAAAAACCAACATGAAACCATCTTGGAGGATGCACCCTGTACTTGAAGAAGGCCAGGGGAAATCATTCTGTCAGGATCAGTGGTCCCACTTTAAATTCCTGACCAAACCCAGTCCATTTATTCTCCCTCTCTCCTAGACAACCATTTCCATGCTTTCTTTGTTTCTAGATTTGAACTCTTCCTTCCCAATGTACCTCCCAAGTAATGACCTTGATTTCTCTACTTAAGTGAGAAAATTGAAGCAGTCAAGTAGCATCCACAGACCCCCCACAGTTCCATCATCTCTTCAGCCTATCCAAGCACCGCCTCAGCACGCTGCCTGCCTGCCTTCCTGCCACTAGGCCATGGAACCTATCCTCACTGGTCTACTCAACCATACTCCTCCATCATAGATATTCCCTTTCCAAGTGGCATTCCCATCAGCACACAGCCATGCTGTCTTCTCCATCTCAAAAAACAGAAACCCTATATCCTGACTTTCTCTCCAGCTACTCCCCCAATTCTTGCTCCCCTTTGCTGTGTGACCTAATGAGTTGTCAATATTCTAATCACTCTCCTTTATAAACCCACTGAAACCCTTTGGTTAACCTACATTGAAACCCTTTGGTTAACGTCACCAATGACCTACTATTGACCAAATCCAATGTTCAATTCTTAGTTCTCATATGTCATATTACTTATGATCTAAGTGATTTTCAACCAGTGTGCTGTGGCACAATGGTGTGCCACAAGAATTTTTAAAGCATGCAATACCTGACACGTAATGACCTCTTTTCCCTTAGATTGTCAAATAAAAAAGTGACAACAGCCAACACAACAATAGCTGTCTTGTGTGAATGAATAAAAATTATACCTTTTTTTTGTCAGATTGGCAAAAAACACATTTTTTGGTGTGCTGCAGGATTTTAGTAATTAGTTTCTGTGTGCCATGAGATTAAAAAGGTTGAAAATTGCTGATCTATAAAATTTTATCACATATGCCAATTAAACTGTCACATGGCCTCAACTGTAAAATTCATTCTAATTTCAGAGATGTTAAATGTGAAAAAAAATGCATGTTTAGGACTCAGTAAATTATGGTGCTTGATTCATCAGCAAAATTTGACACGATTAATCAGTCCCTTTTCTGAAAATAGTTCTCTTAGCTTTCAAGCCACTACAATCCCTTGATTTCTTTCCTATCCTACTGGCCACTCCTTGTCAGTCTTCCCTGCTGGTTCCTCTCCATCTCCTCCACCTCTTAGTGTCTCAAGGCTCAGTCCTCTTCGGCCTCCTCACTCCCTTCCTTTAGATCATCTTAATCATATTTTTAATTTCTTCTAATTGCTGATGAAATAAAAGATTTTCTCTGCAGCTCCAATCTATCTTCTGAACTCAAGGCACATATAACCAACTTCTGACTCAATACCTTCCCTTGAATATCTGAGAGATATCTCAAACTGAACATGTCCAAAAAGGTATTCTAGTCTCTCCCCCCTCCCCCCTCCCCACCCACAACCCTGCGCACTGACCTCCCTACACACACACACACACACACACACACACACACACACACACACACACACTGTGAGGGCTGGGAATTTGTATTGTTGGTTGACTGATGTGTTTGATTGACAGCATGAGAACAGTATGTAGTACAGAACAGGCTCAACAGATTAGCTAAAGTGATCCTTTTAAAATATAAGCAGATCAGGCCACACTTCTGTTTTAAACCCTCCAGTGGCTCCTCATTTTGTTTAGAGTAAGAACCTAATTTTCAAAGGCCCCATTTCAAACTGGTACCCTGTTACCTCTCTGACCGCATCTCCCACTGCTCTGCAATCATTCACACAGTTCTAGTAACACTGGCCAAGATGTTTCTTACCAAGCTAGGCAATCCTGCCCCCGGGCCTTTGCTCTCACTGTACACTCTTCTTAGATCACTCTTCCTCCATATTTCATATGCCTTGTGTTTTTAGTTGTTTCAAGTCTGTTCACAAATGTTTACTTATATGTTTATTACTAGTCTTGCCCACTAAAATATACATTTCCTGAGGGCTTGGAGTGTGTCCGTATTGTTGATTGATGTGTTTACTGGACAGCACCAGAGTAGTGCCTTGTGTACAATAGGCTCTTATTAAATATTTGTTGTATTAATATAAAATGCTGATGCTGGGGCTATCTATCCTAGAAAAGAGAGAACGTATTTATTTTATGTGAACATTGTTTGGATGAGTGGGAGGCCATGTTGTCAGTGGGGAGGACTGTTGCTATTGTCCATTCTTTCTTAACCGCTTCTGAAGGGTGGGAATGAGCACATACAGAAGAGCCAGCCTTGGAGCAGCACTGAAAATGAGCTGGCAACAAACTGTTGTACTAGGAAAACGGCTGATATCCCAGACCTAGGAAAAGAACGGGTTGTTTGAAGGTGAGAGTGGGGAGAGGAGTTTTCTCTTTTCTCTCCACAACAGTGATTTAATGAGTCTTGACGATTACACACAAACACTTGAGAATCAAAAGAAGATTAATTAGAAATGCTATTTAACACTTCTTTCTCTCACTCTACAAAAATGTAACCCATGTAAAGAGTAATCTGAAGAGTCTTAAGCGGACCAACAGTTCTGTTTTAATTAATTAGCTAATAGAAATCAGTTTTTCATTATCCTGTCAGTCTTTTGTTTAAAAAAATGATCAGGCAGACATTCCCTTTAGACCTCAAATCACTTTTTAAAGTAGTGTTTTTAGGATGCGTTGGCATTTATGACTAGAAAGAAATATTCTTAAACATCCAAGATCTTGGAACACTAAAATGAAATGTGAATATATATGTGTATCTTCTAATATCAGCGCTTTCATTTTATGCAACTTGCTTACTAGTTAAAATAAATTTTAAGGCCAAAACAATGAATCATCTGAAGCATAATTATATGTAAAGCTTGTGGAATAAAATAAACAATAATAAAAAAGTAATAAGATTATATTTATTTGATTATTATATTACATTTGATATATTCCTATCAAAATTAGGGAGAACAAAAATAAAGCAAGTTTGAAGTGTCTCTCAAAATTATTTAATAAAAATAAATACCTTACTTAATAAAACAGAATACTGTTTCCTAGCATTTAAAAAAAACAAAGCTATGTATATATATCCGTTTAAATGCATGAACTGTCACCTGGATGTAAGAGCCCCTTACCTGTCCATAACACCTTTGAATAATGATTGCACTACCACTTCTGTGCTCTAACACTTTCCAGTGGACAGACTACCAATAGTCCTAAAATCTTTAAAAATAATTATTTCAAGTTGTTTAAATGCTATGAGGTCATCAAAGCTTACATCCCAATCATTCAATTGACAAGAACAAACATATTGAAATGGACAGTTTAACCCTCTCTTTGTAAAGAATATGGTGGAAATTAGAGGAGTTGCTACCTCTATGGTGGTAATCATATTGTGATATGATTAAAATAACACATCGTGCACCTTAGACAATGTGATATGTTAATTATTTCTCAATAAAGAAAATTTTAATAAAAGAAGAAAACTTTCCAAACCATTGGCTGAGAGGCAGTCTCAAACTGGGGAGAAGGATATGAGTAAAAGCGAGATTGAACAAGTGGGCTATTGCAAAATATACGAAATCCTTTTCTTACATCAAAGTCAACCATTATTGTGTAGGTAATCCAGACAAATATCAAAGTTATATACTTGACATGGCTAGATGAACAAACTGAATGCATGTGTAAGTGAAAAGATTTAGAAGCAATAAGTGATATTTGCCCAATCTGAAAACCAGCTCAGTTTGGGTCCAATATTAGGTCTGGACCCAGGATTTTGAGAAATAGAAGAGCATATTACATAGAGTATTTTCTCAAATAGACTGAAATGAATCAAAACTTATCCACAGTATATATCCAATGTTTATATAAACTATTGTTATCCTTACCTGTATATTTTCTTTACTAGTAAGAGGTTTTCCCGAGTCAAATAATTGAAATGTCTGTCAACATACAAAGCATTAACATTAGAAACAAGAATATTGAATGTTCTTTTAGATAAAACTGTTAATAGTATTACATGCTCTAGTCAAAGACAAAAATAGTAGAAAGAAGAAAATAATAAATCACAGATAAACTTTTTTAGGTTGTCAATGTTAATATTTTGGTGTCTTTTCTTTTGGATATATTTTAAATTTTTATAAATGGATCTGTATTCCTTTTCACTAAACATTATATCATAATTACTTTCCCACACCATTAACTTATTTATAAGCTTCAGTCTAATAGCTAGGCAATGTTCTATCCTATGAATGTAGCAGGATAACCTCTTTCCTATTGTTAGACATCTAATGGGACCACTTCCCACCCTTACCTCACCATACAGCTCTATTTAAATAACATTAATGACTATTTTTGTATTTCCAATGATCACCTTTGAGTAGATACTCAGAAGCAGAATCACAGGCTCATAAGATAAGAAGACATTGAGAAAACTTACCAGTGCACAAATTTAATGTACTGGGCCTCTAGTGTTTTATGAAAATGCCAGGATTACTGCACTTTTAACAGCACTGAGTATTAGCCCTTAAAAATATCTTGGCCAGTTTGAGGTGGAATGGTGTTAAATGGTGTTAACTCTTCAGAATGACTCTTTTTATAGTTCTTTTCCTTCTTAGTGAATTACCTATTAATATGTTTGGCTCTAGCATTAGGAAATATTCAATTTATTTGCCACAGGAAATTGTGGTGTCATTGTGTTGGATGCATTTGTAGATGTCAATACTGATGTCCTGCTCATATCCCCTTGGTCACCTGGAAGTCACCAGCAGCTTTTGTGGACAGGCCGCCACCTATGGAAGGTATCCTACTTTTATCTGTGCCTCTCTGCTGGAGGGCAATCTGTGGCCACAAGAACATTCCAGAAGTATAGGGAACTGGTCTCTCAGAGAGTCTCAATTGCCCACAGCCGGGCCCTCCTTAATGCTCCATGGAATGGTTTTCCTCACTTCCCTCTCAGGCTTTCCCACTCGCTCACCATTCTTTCTGGAGCCACCTCCCAAACATACTACAGTATTTGCCCCCAAAATCTTTGTCTCAGAATCTGCTTTTGTGGGACCCATAAACCAAGATATCATATATAGCTCTTATTGAAAGAAAGTATTGGTAGTATTTAAAAATTTTTTGCTTTTTTGAAGATATTCTTTATCTCCTATAATACAATGAAAAGTGAGTGAATCCAGGGGGAGATCCTTGGTGATATAATTTCAAGAGAGCTGATGGGACTTTAGATTTGGTGATGAGAGCAGAATATCAATGAGTAGAATGTTAAAAGATATAATTTTTAAAAGCCTGTGAAAAATCCAATAATAATCTGTAAGACTTTTTCAGACACAGCAGGTACTCAAATAAATTCATTTCATTCAATGCCATTTCGTTAACATTGATGAGGGGAAAAATTGATCCCTAGTGGGGGTCATTGTCTATGTGGAGTTTGCACGTTCTCCCCATGTCTGTGTGGTTTTTTCTGGGGTCTCTGGGTTCCTCCCACATCCCAAAGATGTGCATATTGGGTTACTTAGCATGTCTAAATTGTCCCAGTCTGAGTGAGTGCACCCTGTGGTGGAAGGACATCCTGTCCAGGGTGGATTCCCATCTGGCACCTGAGCTGCCAGGATAGGCTCCGGCTACCCATGACCCTGAGCTGGAGTAAGCAGGTTGGAAAACCATTACTTTACTTCTTTTTATGAATCTTTCTTACATGCATGCATAGGTCACAATTATTTCAATGGCCAATATTAGAAGTGTTTTGGGTCTTTATTTAGAAGTTTGGTGATGTTGGTTTTTGTGACCAGAAATATGACATAGGAAAATTGATCTTCCTTATATCAATTTTCTTATGACAAAATTGGTTTCATGATACATCTTTGCACTTAAAGTTGCAATTTCCAAAAACCTCTTGATGACCTACTGTACTTTTATAACTGAAATCTAATTCATTAATTCTTTCTTTAAATAATAACATTGACACCTATTTTAATTATAAATCCTGAACACATTTCCTCTTTTAATTACACTTTTTAAATTCCCAATTCAACCTGCAAAACTGTGAACTAACTTTGAGAATACAAAATTTGAAATCCCAATACACTGGGAGACAATGTACCCACACTTTTGCCTTATGATAACTAGTTGATAAAAATGAAATTTACCTGTCAAAATTAGCTTCAGATTGTTTATTTATTTTGGTGAAAACAGTGACCATTGAAAATTTTCTCATTTCTCATTCCACCCAACTGGCTTCTTTCTCCTTCTCTTACTCCCGGATTCTAAATGTGGATGACCCCAAGGGTCATTTGTCTAACTCTTACTTTTTTCATCTGCCTCTGTCCCCAGCTGATTCTATCCATTCCCATTATTATAAATATACCAATGTTAATATTCCCAAATTTACCTGAACCCCCAACCTCTCCCCTGAATTTCAGATCATATATGCTCTGCACCTACCAACAATAGATCCGCTCCTGTATGTCGAGTTGGGATCTCATACTTACTGATCTACTCCTGCCATAGCAGTATTCCCCATCTCAGTTCATAAAAACTTCTTCCTACCAGTTTCTTACGTTGAACACTCTGCAATAATGCTTGATCCCTTCTCTTGTATCTCACATCTAAACCATCATCCACAAATGCTGTGAGCTCTACCATGGCAAACCCCAAAATTGGACCACTTTTCACTCCTTCCACCACTGTTACCCCAACCATTGTCATGTATCACTCAGATTATTTGCAAAGGCCTTCTAACTGGTTCCCCTATTTATACTCATGCTTATCCGCAGTCTAGTCCCCAAACAGCAAGCAAAGTGGTCATTTGACATTCAATTTCTATCTAGTCATTCCTCCATTCCAAGCTCTGCAAGGTTCATTCATAGTAAACTCCAGCCCTGACCAAGCCCTGTGAGGTCCCATAAGACCTAGCTCTTGTGTCACCCTCCTCTTTCCTCTTCCTCTCTATTCCAGCCTCACCTGTCTGCTTGGTTTTCCTCAACCACATCTTGCAGGAATCCTCCTCAGGGCCTTAGCTCCTCCTTCTTGGAAAGCTAGTCTCTCAAATCTTTCACCCTCAAAACTCTCTTATTAAGAGACTTCCCAAATCACCCTCAATAAAACAGCCACCTGCTGCTCTGGACACTCTGTCCTCCCAACTCAGTTTGCCTGTCCTCACAGCTCATCTCCACCTGACATATATGTATGCGCTTAATATGTTCATTGTCTTCCTCACTGGACTGTTCAAAAGTAGTATGCCTCCAGGAAGGCTCTAACTCTCTATTTGTCTTTTTACTGTTCTATCCTCATGCCTGGAATAGTGCCTGTATTCAGTAAACTCTCAATAAATATTTAACTAAATTAAAATATGATTTTAATAATAAAAATAAACTATTTACAATAGGGGAAGGCTGTTGACTGAGAAGCAAGCAAGAAAACACTCTAATTTTGTGAGGTAAGAAAATAATTGATTCATGCTACAGAAAATGAACAAAACCCAACTGATTCCTCAAAAGATAAATAGATCAATAAATGTACACACACACACACACACGCACACACAGACACACACGTATCCTATTGCCTACTGAATGTCCCTCTTAGGATTTTCTGTAGATAACTTCATACTTACCATATTACAGTAAATTATAATGCTGTAGCAGTCAGACTGAGAAATAATCAAATGCATTTTAGGGGAATAAGCCAAAGTAATGAATGTATTATATATAAATATAATGTGAGCTTAAACAAGTAATTTTCAAGACTTACAGCTTCTTTTAGGTCTTCCAAATTTGAATCCCACCAGCATGTATCTATCAGTCTCACTCCTCCCACATGCTGTCTCCCCCAGGAAACTGACTTGTGACCTCCTTCTATCTCCTTTATTGCTGGCCCACGAGAGTCCAAGCATCTCCCAAAACAAGATCACCCAGTGATTCCCAGATCACCATGAAAACTAAAGCAGAGGAAAGCAATAGTTCACTCTAATTTAAAATAAACACTAGTATACATTTTTAAGGATGCCTCAATTATCTGATTTACAAATACAAATTAAGCAAGCCAGGTAAAACAATTTCCCAAAGTCAAAAAGGAGCAGACATAATTGAGGACTGTCCTCTCCTCACAGAAATCAGAAGAAATTTGAAAAACATGTTTAACATTTTGGTATAAAGTACATAAGTCAAAAACATCCACACAAAAAAATGAGCAGAAACTGTTCCAAGAACATTAATCAGAAATTATAAGAGTACTAGAGGCCTGTTGCATGAAGAGATTCGTGCAATAGGCCTTCCCTTCCCTTGGCTGCTGGCAACGGTTTTCCTTCCGCACCGGGGACCCAGGCCTTCACTCTGACTGGGCTCCGGCCAGAGCCACCCCGGAGCCCTCAGGCTTCGCTGTTCGGTAGGCCCCGGGGCCGTGAGGCCTCACTGCTCTGCCTGGCGCCAGGGCCGTGTGGCCTCACTGCTCGCCTGGCGCCAGGGCCGTGTGGCCTCACTGCTCCACTGATCCCGGGGCCCTGTGGCCTCGCTGCTCCACCCATCCCAGGGCCGTGAGGCCTCACTGCTCTGCCGATCCAGGGGCTCTGTGGCTTCGCTGCCCCTCCTGGTGCCGGGGTTGTGAGGCTTCGCTGCTCCGCCTATCCCAGGGCCATGAGGCCTCGTTGCTCTGCCAACCCTGGGCCGTGATGCCTCGCTGCTCTGGCTGGCGCCGGGGCCGTGAGGCATCGCTGGTCCGCCTGGCACCAGGGTGTGAGGCCTCGCTGCTCTGGTCCTAGGTTGTCAGACTTCACTCCAGAGCTTGGAACCTAGTATGCAAATTAACTGCCATCTTTGTTGGCAGTTAATTTGCATATCGTGCTGATTAGCCAATAGGAGGCGTAGCAAAGGTATGGTCAATTACCATGTTTGTCTATTATTAGGTAAGATTCCCAAAAATCTAAGAGGTGGTGGCTGATAAGATGTGCTACTGAGACCATAATAACTATAATAGAGAATTTTATTGTACAAATGTACTCCAAGACCACATTCCCTCCCCCATGACACCCTTCCATTCCAGACAGATGAAAGCTGGTAAAAGCCCAACAACAGTGATAGCCAGGCTTAGCAGAGAGGTCTGTAGTGCCAGAGACTTATAAACATACTTTTGTGGAAGCATTCCCTGGATTTCAGGAAAGTAGCCTTCAAAAGGTAAAGAAATGTCTTTGAATCAAATCAATAGGCTTACCTTCACTTTCCCACAAGCTCTAGAACTGGTAGGTATGAAGGAAGGCATGTGCTTTCCACAAAAAATCTGGAATATCTCATGAAAGGCTTCGGAAAAGAAACTTAATTCTGTAAGGACTTCAATCTTTAAAGGAAAGAAAAAATGAGATTTGAAATTAAACAATTTGTTTTACTTAAAAAATAAAAATTTTTAGAAAAAAATTATCAATTGAGATCCAAAATTTGTACTTAATGTTCGTAATGTGTCAATGTTGGTAATGTGTTAATAAATTCATGTTTAGAAAACATGGGTGATGGATTTGCACGTGTTTGTGTGGAAGGCAGTTTACACAGGTGATAGACCAAGAAGCTAATAAACAACAGCAGGGGTCTATTCAAAACAATGGATGTTTTTCAAATGTGGCTCCTGCTTCATTAGAGGCAAACACATAAAAATATTATAGGCATGGAAGAGTTAAAAAAGAATTGGATTTATCTTTATGTTTCCATGGTGAAGTGTGGTTTAAAAGAAAAATAAAACAAAAACACTCCTGATATTCTCTCACACCCTGAGGAGAATCAAAGAAGCCCAGAGGTGAATGAACTCCACAACATAGAGACAACCCTCATTTTCTTACCCATAATTAATGGGCACTGTCGATTTTAAAGACATAAACTTAACAACAGTAATTGGTTGGTAACTATACATTGTACATGGTTTATTTTGAATATAATCTAGCAGACCTTTCCATCAGGGAACTATAAGAAGAAAAAAGTTATGATCAAATTTGTTCATTCATTTAACATGTTTATTGAGCACCTCTTATGCATCAAGCCCTCTTGGAGTTTACATCCCATCAGGATGTATATTTAGCTAAATGTAAGTGATACATAACGATAACAGAGCATGAGAAGGCATTGAGGGTACTGACAAAAATGCTATTTTCAATGCCTGGGTCAGGAAGAACTTCTCTGAGGAAAAGGTCTTTGAGAAAGGTTTGGGGATTATGTGAAGGAGAGAGACACATGAAAATGTGCTGAGGGGACCTCAAGCACAAAGGTAACAGGGGTCCTGGTGTGCTCAAGGAATAGCCTGTGTGGCAGGAGCTTAGGGAGAGAGGGGCAAAGGATTGGGAGATAGGTGTGAACGGTGGCCTGTGCACCAAAGTGGGGACTTGGGACATTTTTTCTGGCTGATAAGAAGCTATAGAAGAATTTGAACAGGGCAGGCCCTAACCTGACATGTTTTGAAAACAGCTAACACAGTCTCAGGAATCTGAAGAGCGAATAGATTTTAAAATAATAAAAAGAAGGTAAGTTAGGGGAAATTAGATGTGACAATAACATGAACATATAATCTAAAAGGTCAGGAGGATATTTTCTTTAAAAATTTTTAATAGATTTTTGTTGATTTCAGGGAGGAAGGAAGAAGGAGAGAGAGATAGAAACATCAATGATGAGAGAGAATCATTGATCGGCTGCCTCCTGCTCGCCCCACACTAGGGACTGAGCCCACAACCCAGGCATGTGCCCTGACTGAGAATCAAACCATGACCTCCTGATTCACAGATCAATGCTGAACCACTGAGCCATTCTGACTGGGCAGGAGGGCATTTTTAATGGAGAAAATTTCTCAGCTATTGGGTTGCATACTTTGGGTCTTGCCCAAGACACCTTGGGCTCTAATCTCCAGTGTCAAAGAACATCACAGTAGGCATTCAGGAGTCACCCCTCTCTGACTTATAGATGCATATTTTTCTCGTTGCCCCTTGGAGGGAACATTTCCTCATATCTGTGTGAAGGTACTCTTCTCTGGTCAGACTGCTGTACATGGACTACCAGTCTGACCACTCAAACACGCAATGGTGATAACAGTGGACATGTATTTGCAGAAATGACTAATACTGTGAACACAGCCAGATGGGGAAAAGACTACCCACAAATAAGCCCTTCACTCACACAAATACAGATCTAACAATACCCAACCCATGAATGTTGAGTGTGTTGAGAGTAAAAAATCTGTCAAGATGCTGGCAGTTCTAAAGTGGAGCCAGACTAGCTGATCATAAGGAGATCTCAGAGCTTTCCCTGAAAGACGGTGGTGTATTACAGAAACTTAACAGCATGATCTACTGCTGTTTGATGTGTCAAAAAGCAGCTAGCACAGTCTCAGGAATCTGAAGACAATTTCCTGAGACCCTTCCCACTCACTGACACATTTACTCAGAAAGACCAGGCAAACTCTGCACACACAGGCGGTCATTCCTTTCCTCTGTATGATGCAAGTTGCCCTTTTTCATTGCTTCTGTTAAAACCCTGGTCGGGTTTTTCAGTCCTACTATGCCAATAAGACCCACTTCCGTCTCACCCTGCTCCTCACACTGTTCCCAGATACATATGATCACGTCCTTCTCCTGACCACAATTCTATAATGAATTCCCCCTCCCACCCTGAGGCTCCAGAATGGAGTTCACAGTTCTTCACTGGTTTTGAAGCGACTCTAGTACAAAACGAGTAGTCCAGTGTCCTGTCAAGTTAACAATCCAATAAAAAATAATCATTTAACCAAAAACTTTGTTCTTTCAGTGCCTCTCTGCATCTCCTTCTGACATGTTAGTAATGGTCACTGCAACCCTTCCATGCCTGCCTCTTACCACAGACCAGGATAAAATGGTTAGCCCCATCTCCTCATTCCTCCTACTGCTCAGCCTCCACAGTATGTCCCAGTTGAACTCCAGCCTGGGCCCCCGGTTTGCTCCATGTCATGGACCTCTGGTACCCTCATGTTATTCTCTTCTCCAACCTCCCTACTCAGAACCTCCACTCCAGTCTAACTGAACCACCCTTGCGCCTAAGCAAGTCAAATACTTTCTCACCTCAACTTTTCACACTACTGTCTGCCAAGAATCTTCCCTTCTTCCTCTCTCCTGCTCAGTTAGATCTACTCTTTTCAAGCCTAAATCTTATCTACTTTGTGAAAGATAGAGATTCAAAACCATCTTCCCCTCTTTCAAGCTCCTGGAGAACAGTGCTCATCACACTCGGGAAATGGTCAGTGGAAGGTGCACACGTTACTGTTTTGTGTGTTATGTCCTGTCTCTCCGCCTTGTTTTTATGTCCCTATAAGCAAGGGCCATGGGGTTAAATTTCTTTGATTAGAGTTACTGATATGGTGCTTTTATATAAGAGGTACTCAATAAAGGTTGTTCCCCAGGTGAAGCAATAAATATTTACCAAGTACCTTCTAGGCGAGTTTCCACTAAACACTAAGGAGAGTTTGGCCAGTAGGCATTTGATAAATGTCTATAGATTTTAAATTCAATTAAATAATTAATTACTGAATATCAAGTATATGAATTTATTACTCAAGACATTATACAGGACTAAAAGGTGAATAAATACAGGCCCTAGCATTCAAAAATTTGGCAATCTTGAAGAGAACACTGTTTTTTAAAAAGAGAGAGAAAACTTGTATGCCAGGTTTTTTTAAAGTGTTACTGAAATTCAAAAGCAGGAGAACTCTTTAAGAGTTCAGTAACTCAGTAATGGTGATTCAGAAATTACCATGGCTAATAACGAATTATTTATTCCCAAATTAAAATAGATTATATTAATAAGCACCAGAATTCCTCTTAGGTAAGGTATTTCCTCTATTTAAAAACAGAATGTGATGAACTATTTGGGTCTGAAAACATAGGCCCAAGGGCAGGGTCTGGATGGAGAGAACAGTTTAAATAGAATTCTAATTTTCACTCAGAAAACAGGAAAAATTTGGGAAGAAGGATAGAGGGCATTTCCAAAGAAGGAGGAGGATTAAGCCAGTAGTATGTGGAGCCCACTCACTCCCAATTATAAAAGCTGACTGCATATCTTGTCCCAAATTCACATTCAGTAATGCCCAACTGGTAGGCTTACATCAGCTATAGTAACAGTACTTACACCGTGGAAATTTTAAATGCTACAAATCAGAGCTTTTTTTAGAGTGAGTTGTGAAACATTTACTGGCACAAAGCTGATCAAGTTATGGGCTCGGAGGCAAAAGAAAGAGATGTTGGCCAAAAAATATTGTAAGCTCCGCGATGTCAAATATTTTATTTCCAATTGTTTGTTTTGCCTCATCTTAAGTTTTCCTGTGTTTCCAATTTTCTGAAAAGTTCAATCCAATATAATAAAAGCCTAATATGCTAATATGCTATCATCCGTTCAACCAATCAAAGCGTAATATGCTAATGATATGCTAAAGCCGCTCAACCACTTGCTATGACATGCACTGACCACCAGGGGGCAGGCGCTCTAACCGGGAGGTGGGCTTGCTGCTGGGGTCCAACTGATCAGTGGGGTCCCTTGGCCTGGCCTGTGCCCTCTCGCAATCCAGGACCCCTTGAGGGATGTTGGAGAGCCAGTTTTGGCCTTATCCTGCAGTCCAGGCTGAGGGACCCCACTGGTGCACGAATTCATGCATGGGGCCTCTAGTATAGATATAAAGGCCTTAGGTGAAGTGTGTGTGTGTGACCTGGAATAGTGTTGAATTCCATATTAGAGATGAGGACATACAGAAGAGGGAGCAAATGTGCTGAATGTTGAGATAATCCATGTACAAAACAAATTCAACAAAAGTGGGAGCTTGTGACCATAGTTGACTGAGAAATGGGGCAGAGAGAATGAGGTGCTAGAGGTTCCCACTCCACATGGGGTTCAAGCCAACTGCACATGAACCTTGAAGGCAGAGAACCTCAGCAAACTCTAAGGTTCCATAGTTAATTGTAATTTAGTGCCTGTGTGTTTTGTCACTTCAAGTTTCTGAGCAATTAAAAATTCTGTGTACCATAACATACATAAAGATCCTTAGCAAAAGTTTCACAGAAACTTCAGAAAACTGACTTATTAGTCTCCATGCTTTCAGTAAACAAATGCTTCAGAAGTGGTGATCTCTAGACTGACTGGTTTTGGGCGAGCCTTGTCACCAAGTGTAGTTGTTCCTCACTGTACTGGGGCCCAAGCATAAAGTCATCTAAACCTTTATAACTGGCTCTTTCTCATACTTTATTATAATAATGGGCAAGTTTTTGTAATATCAGTAAGCCATATTATTATCAGCTTATTATTATGAGTATTAGAACCAAATTAATTCATGGCAATATCTTTAACAGTTCAAGAATATAAAATGTTTTAACATACCTTGAGGATTCTTACTTCTAGATTTCTGACCAAGTCTTGGCAAATTCCAGCAACAAAATATTGGTACAATGCAAGGAGAGGCAGAATCTACCAACAGAAAAACAAAACATGTTTTATCAAGTTAATAACCGACTAAAAAAATTTAGCCAAGTAATGTAGGAGATGTTGTGTAAAATAGTGATTGCTTTTTCCATGCAAGGAGACTATAATGTTTGGTGTAAGTAAAATGTTCTTTCTAGCATATGCTTCATAATTTTATCAGAACTTAAAATTCCAAGTACATGCTGCTTGGTACACAAACCCTAGGCTGCGCATCTTTTCCAAAAGTAAAAATGCAGTTAATTATCTTCCTTAAAAAATTAATTCAACATATATGTAGGAATCACTGAGGACTGTGGAAACATTCGAGATTTGTTAGACATACCAAATAAATACCAAATTTAAAGCAATGGAACTCACATCCATGGCCCCTGATAGCACCTACCTATTCATCTCAGTGTCAGCAGCTATTTGTCTTCTGATTAGAATATCTGTATCAAAAACTAATATTTATCACTTGCCTATTCTGTGGCAGGCACTGTTGAATAAGAAAAAAATCTAACACATCACTGCCCTCACAGAGTGTATAGTCTACTGATTAAAACCCAAGCTTACTCTTCACATAATGTTTTTATTTTCCTAGAATTAACCCCAAAGTTCAACTCTCTTCTTGAAATTTCACGGGTATACATACATGAAGGGTTCCAGACTTTCAATATTTATTTCTTTTTTTCAGACTATCAATATTTCAATTTACCTAGCCACTGCTAGACACTGGTGCTGAAGGGACAGTTTCGCCTAGACTTCGGAATAGCTCTTCCTGATCTCAACTCAAAACTGAAGCTCACCTGGGGTCCTACAACTTGGGTCCTGCCCACTAAAGGAAGACTGAGCAAGAAGATAATTAGGATGCCCATTAATTAGAAAACTATTTCCCATGAATCCACAACAATGGGTCCCAGAGCAAATTTTACAGTGACAGCAGGCTCCTTAGCTACCTAGCTTCTGGGGGGTAGTGTCACACAAAATGGAAACTGTTCACATCCTGGAAGTTCAGCTAAGACGATTCTGTCAGTCAACTGGCAGCTGCTAATAGCAACAGCTTTAAAAAAGATTAGAACTGATCTTAAACGTTTCAAACAGTATACAACACAATTTTCTACAATTATGCAATAAAAACAACACAATACCTTTTTTTCTACAATTAATGCAGCACAAAACAATGAGTTGGCTATTACCTCTGAGATTTTCTTTTCTTTAGTGAGAAATAAAACCACAACATGTTATTGCTGCCAATTGCTCAATTATTCAGAAAAATGTTCTCAATTTCTTAAGCTTCAGAGGGAAAAAAGTCTCATTTCTTTTCCAGTGCAGTGATATGTATTATATATGAGTATGACTAGACAGCTAAAGGTTACCCAGGGGATAGAACTGTTTTCTAAATCCAGAAATGAATCCCCTTAACAATGAGAAGAGCACCATTTTGTTATTTTTTTCTAATAAACAATTTCTTGCCAAATATGCCAAGTGTTAAAAGCATTTATCCACCTTTATACTTTAACACATGACTTTATAATTTAACAATTCATATCAGGGAGAAATAAATATTTTCAATACAAGGAGAGAGAGTGAATTTAGAAGAGAATAGAAAACAATACTTGAAAAAAAAGAAAGTAGGTATAAAAATTATGAAAGAAAAGGAAACAGAATAGATATTAAGAAGCAAACCAGGGGAAAGAAGAGATACAAAAGTAGAGGAAATAGCATATAGAAGGAAAATAGGAAAAATAAAATCAAGGAGGAAAATATAAAATGACCAACAATTAAAACATTCTAACTTGTTTTAAAAATGCAATCACCTTCAAATTTATGGTATATACATACTGTGGTTCCTTTCCCCAAAGGAAAAAAAGAGTTGTATTGGAATTTTTTTTAATTTCCTGGGATATTAAGAAATATCTGTCTTTTATTTCACAGTTAGAATAAGTTGTTTCCTTAGAATACACCCTTACCAGAGAAAAGACAAGTGACACAAAGCTAAATTTATCTCAATAAGTAAATAGCCTCATAATTTGGGTACTGATGTGATCTGCATGACAATGCATTAAGTTACATGTGCACTAGATTCTTCTGTTTGAGACTAGTGAAACATTCTAATCCAGCGGTTCTCAACCTGTGGGTCGCAACCCCTTTGGCGGTCGAACGACCCTTTCACAGGGGTCGCCTAAGACCATCCTGCATATCAGATATTTACATTACGATTCATAACAGTAGCAACATTACAGTTATGAAGTAGCAACGAAAATAATATTATAGTTGGGTCACAACATGGGGAACTGTATTTAAAGGGCCAGAAGGTTGAGAACCTCTGTAAATCAATTTCACCAAATATCTTAAGAAAAAAAAGGTAAACTAGAGTAAAAAGAGAACAAAATCAAACAGACATTGCTTTTGAATCCAAAAGCAATGCAAACAATGATGTCAAAGAATCTCAATTAATATATTTTATTTTGAAGTACAGATAAGAATCTTGAATATAGAGTTTAAAAGGTAAATAAGAGCTGACCAAAATATTAACAAATTTTGAAAAGAATAAGGTTAAGTGGGCAAAAAAATAAGGCCACAGCAAATTAAGATTTATTAATTTTACCAATTACTTACGATTATATTTTGCTTAGCAAAGTGCAGTTCGCGTATAACATAATACAGACTGGCAACTACAGAGCAAATGTTAGCCCGGTATATATCCGAGAAGAGCTCGATGCCTGGGAGAAGCTGAGTGATTTCATACTGAGCATAGCAACGTTCAGCTTTAGGATGTGGAAGTGTGGTTCTCAGCAAACCCTGAAGATGATAAAAGGTGAGACAAAAAGCTGTAAATAGCATTGACAATAATGACACAGAAGGACAAGGACATGTATTACTTCCTAAAGTGCTTAGCACATGCCTAGCACACTCTACCCTGTAATAAACAGTACTTATCATTAACATTATCAGCATCAGAGGTTCCAAATGCTTTTGATGTTGCCTTTGAAATCCCATGGTAACTGGATACATATTATTTTCAAGAGAAATTATCATTATACTGTTATCATTTGAGAGGGATGATTTTGCATTGGGCATTATGGCAAATTCTTTATAAACACTATCTCATTTAATCCTCATTTAACCAACCCCTAGCAGGATTATTATCTCACAAAGGAAACAACCGAGGCTTAAATAACTTATCTGAGGTCACACAGCTAGTGGTGGTAGAAAGAAGATTCAAAGTCATATCTATTTAACTAAAAAAAACAACAAAAAACGATGTTCTTTTTACTCTATCAACCTATAAGTAAAGGAGGCAACAGCTTATTTCAGAAGTCTAAATCAAGTAGAGGTAATTCTTAATTTTAACTGAATTAATTGAAAAAGTGATTTATTTTATTTGACCAGTATTTCTTAAGTAAGTTATTTGACCAACATTTTACTAGATGTTGAGAAAAAAGATGAATACACAAAATCAAATTTTATATTTAGGAGTGCTTCTTATATTAAAAAAAATTAAAACTTCTCAGTGACAAATGCATTTAAAATTATTTTATGCAAATATCGGAAAGAATTTTCATCAGATTACTCATTAAGGTTATAAGGTAACTACTCTAAAATGCTAGGTAGTTGTTTAAATTTTTAGTCTTATAAATTTGCTTTGAAAATATAAAAAGAATCAACAGGTTTTAAAAAATGAATCCTGCCACCTAATTTAGGTATAGTATTATTAAGAAATATGTTCACATTAAGCAAAAACTGACATTTATTTTTAAATTACAGTTGACCTTTGAATTGCATGTAGAGGGCTAACTACATGCACTGATGTACGCCATTTTATACAGGGGCTTGTGCACCCATAGAAGTTACTATCTGTGGGGGAACCAATCCCCCATGGATACGGAGGGGCAACTAAGTTTTGGGGAAGTAAGAACTTATACACACATTCTCGACTATGTAGGGTCAGCATGCCCCCAATGCTCCAGTTGTTCAAGGGTCAACTGTACTTATTTCCTATAACATAAACTGCATTATTTTCAAGAACAAGAGGTAGAGTAGGTAAAGGATGCAATATGTGGAGGTGGAATCAGGTTATTGTTCCCTTTACACCTTCGCCTCTTCCCCTTCTTCCCTTTGAAGCTCAGGCAAGAGGTGAATAGAACATAAGAAAATTGAAAAGTCTGGCCTTACAGCCAGAGAAACTTTCCCCAAAGATCTTATCTATACAGCTGTCATATCAGACTCCTGTGATACACAGAACAAGGCGCCCATACTTCAAAGTAAACAGAACCTTCAGTACACTGCAAAGGCCCCAGTGACATTCCTGAATCTGAAAATGTCTTGTATTTCAGATAAAAGCTCCTTTTTTCTCCAGTAAAGTCAAACCCCAATCCTAGGAACTGCAAACACTCCTCATACTTCTGTGGCCTTCAACCTACTTCTTGCTTTCATTACATAGCATTCTTGATATCTTGGAATCGAGCAAAACTTTATTTAGGGATGAGGTAATCTAAGGCAACCAGACCAACTTTGCTGCTCACAAGCAACATGATCTTACTAAGGACCGGAGTCTCAGTTTCCTTATCTGCAAAACTCCTTCTGGAATCCCAAGGGGAAAACAGACTCTGCTGGGCACTAAAGGTGAAAGTGGCGAATGGGGTTCAGCCACAGAAGGAAAGATGGGCTTATGATATGTAATCAATGTTCATGCTATTTTCCTATCTGGACATTTCATGAATATGATAAACTACTACCCTTATTTTTTTTTACTGAGTGAATGGTGATGCTACTGTAGAAAGATAGACATCAAATATTACCTGAAAGAGTAATGCAGACAAAATGCAACAGTTGGATCTCTTCTCAACGTCCAACACCTTAATAAATCTAAATAAGTATAAGAAAAAGAAACTGATTCATAGACTATTTCTCAAAAATATTTTATATAAATACATCTCTTATATTCACAGACTTTCCAGAATTAAAGTAGCCTTTGTTATTTTGAAGGTGCTACATATTCCTGTAAGATCTAAAACACTGAGAATGATAAAAAATAAAATTAAAAAAACACCCATAATCCTACCACCTAAACATTGATTAGTGGCAACTTTTTGGCCCATTTCCTTCCAGACATTTTTCTGGTTATAAACACACATATTAAGACTAGAATTATGCAATACATATAACTTTATAAACAAATTTTATGTTCATGGACATAATGAGCCACATTATTACTTTACAGAACTTTAGTATCTTTACCATATGAACATACCATAATATAAAAGCATTCATACCATTTTGATTTGTTCAATACTGAGGTAAACACTGGTATCTACATATTTGAGCACTTTTCCCATTAGTTCTACGGAATAAATCCCTAGAAGTGGAATTTTGGGGGGAAAGGGGGTGTATAATTTTAAAGTTTTTAATGAGTATCCTCCTATCTAATAATAGACAAACATGGTAATTGACCATACCTTCGATACGCCTCCCATTGGCTAATCAGCATGATATGCAAATTAACTGCCAACAAAGATGGCAGTTAATTTGCATATACCAGCTGGGAGCGAAGACTGAAGACAACATGGAAGCAAAGCGCTACAGAAGGGAGCAAAGTAGAGGCGGCAGAGACAGAAACAGAGCGAAGGCTGCAGAGGCGGGAGGCGGGAGGAGAAACCCAGCCGCAGCGGCTGGGAGTGGGAGAAAAAAAACCCAGCCACAGCAGCTGGGAGCGGGAGGGCAAACCCAGCCGCAGCAGCAGGGAGCAGGAGAAAATAACCCAGCCGCAGTGGCTGGGAGCGGGAGGGCAAACCCAGCCGCAGGAAGCCCTATTCTTGCAGGAATCTTCCTGTAATGGGCCTCTAGTGGTTACATAATCCTTCCAAAAACTGAAACAGTGTGTTTTCTCACCAGCAGTATATTATGGACACACTAGTAAGTCTCTCCACCAAAGATTACGGTAATGCCTCTGAATTTACTGCTGTCTCGTGTTAAGTCTAGTAGAAGAGTTGGAATTTCTTTTCATGTGGGTCTTAAAATTCACAGCTAAAGCTATAACCACATTACCTTCGTCTAAGTCTTATTTAGATAAAACCAGTTGGTTTCACCGTATCCTTACTAATAAAAGCCTAAGTAGTCGTCATGCCGTGATGCCCTCACGCCATCAGAAGATGGCTGCATGCACAGCAGGTGTGCAGGTGAGGGGGGGGCTGGGCTTGATGCTGCGAGCATGTCACGGAGCCTGCCTGGGGGTTCCGCCTCCTCCCGGCTTCGTGTGGCAAGGTTTGCCTGGGGGTTCTAGGGGTCACGCCTCCCGGCTCCACACAGCAGGAGGTGGGACCCCTGGCTCCAACCTACCTCTTTGGGGCAATCCATCGAGGATCCCTGGATGGGTGGGCGGGCCCTACCTCTTTGGGGTGATCGATCACAGGGCTCCTGCACTGTGACAGGGCACAGGCCAGGCTGGGGGACCCCCCTCTGAGTGCACGAATTTCATGCACTGGGCCTCTAGTTGACTATATTAATTAATTAACATCTATCTGAGTTCAGCTTCTCTATGTGGATATTTGGGTGTGGGGTTTGCCCTCTGAGCAGCAGGGAGAAGAGTTTCCTCTGGTCAGGGAACCTCTGAGAACAGCCAAGGCCCCTGGAGTATCATCTATCCTGTGGAAGGCAGACCTGCAGCTGGACAATCAGAAATGACTTCCTGTTGGTTGAAAATCAGTAGATAGTAACTTCAGGGGCTCAGAGAAGCTGAGGCGCCCAACGGCAGGAATGCTGCAGCAGTTCTTTTTCAAGCCGTGAACCTTTATCAACCTTTCTCTTCTCTGCTGTCAAGCTCTACTAAGTCACAGCTCAGACTTATGTGGGGATTGTGTGTGTGCATATGTGTGTGTGCATGTGTGTGTGTATGTGTGTGTATATGTGTGTGTATGAGTTCTTTCCCAGGAGTGCAAAACAATCAAACTTCACAACATTGTTAAAAATGTTTAATACTTTACTGTTTAATACTTTTTAACTAGGTAATTTCTTACCTCCCCTGCTAAAGGATGCTAATTTTCTTAAAACAATGTGATTATTAACTAGTTATTCTTTTAAAAAATTTGCTTTGCAGCTCAAAATGCTATGCAGGTTTTTGCCCACCACGTCACATCCTATAGGTAAGCAATAAATGTAATATAACTGGGAGGTGAAGGAAACATGTACCTATACCCCTCCATACTTTTTTAAAAATATGGAACACTCCTCGAACTTCCCTGTCATCCTTATGCAGGGGCCATGCTAACCTTCTGTATTGTTCCACTTTAGTATATGTGCTGCTGAAGTGAATACTGCTCCTTCTTTTTAAATTTTTCACATTAATCAAATATTTGAGACATTTTTGCCCAGCCGGTATGGCTCATGGTTGAACTTCTTCTATGAACCAGTAGGTCATGGTTCCATTTCTAGTCAGGGCACATGCCTGGGTTACAAGCTTAATCCCCAGTAGGGGGCGTGTAGGAGGCAGCCAATCGATGAATTCTCTCTCATCATTGATGTTTCTATCTCTCTACCTTCTCCCTTCCTCTCTGAGGTCAATATACCAGTAAATACATTTTTTTAAAAGAAAAAAAAAGCACTTCACAAAGTCTTGGGATATTGCTTTTTCGTGGATATACTGATATACTACCAACCAGAGAAACTGCTGAGTATCGTAAGGATATTTAAAAAAAAAAAAAGATAATTTGTGATGCTACCTAAGTATAAGGCATTGCAACAGACTTTCACATGTTATGTGATGATAAGCTGAATAATGGTCCCCATGTCCTAAGATATCCATGTCCTAATTCCCAAAACCTATCAACACATTACCTTACATGACAAAAACAATAAAAAGACTTTGTAGATGTGAATAAATTAAGAACCTTAAGATGAGGTTATCCTGGATTAATTAGAGGGAAGCTATTAGCTATCATGCAGATCATTCCATTGTCACACTCACTGAGCTATCTTTGCCGATATTTCCGCCCCTTGCAGACATCCCCAAATGCCAACTCTGGACAGGAATTCCTCACTGTAGTCTTTGGAACGTGGAGGTGAACAGCTGTTGGTGGCATTGGTGACCGTGGTGCCCAACTCTTTCCATGTATGCAGCACATCTTGTTTTCTGAATATGTCATCAAGAGCTTGACACCAGCATTTAAAAGCAGCCCTAGAACAGAAACAGAGCATCGAGCATTCCATTCTCCGAGACCTATATCATTAAATCTTTCCAAAAGGGAAGGTGAATACACCGAAGAAACATTTTAATTAAAACCTATACCAGCCCTAGCTGTTTGGCTCGTGGACAGAGCATCAGCCTGTGGACTGAAGGATCCCAGGTTCGATTCTGGTCAAGGGCACATGCCTGGGTTGCAGGCTCAATCCCCATTAGGGGGCATGCAGGAAGCAGCCAATCAATGATTCTCTCTCATCATTGATATTTCTATCTCTCTCTCCCTCTCTCTTCCTCTCTAAAATCAATAAAAATATTTTTTAAAACTATATCATTTGTATATTATATATGCATAACCATTTCTCTTAGGTAGAATTTGATGAATAAATGTAACAATGTAATATTATTGAAGAACTAGCAATTACAAAAGACAATATTTTTTCACAATTAAAAAAGTGTTCTGTAGACTCCTTAAAAAAAATCTACCTTTTCTTTCCTGCGAAGACAAGAAGACTTCCAAGTTGATGCAATGCCTGAACTTTAAGACTTCTTTGATTGCTGGCTTGGAGAACATCTGTATTTTAATCAAGTAAAAGAACAAAAATCAGTTCCTGAAAAAGATTTCCTTTCTATTTGCAAGAACACTTCAAACTGTATTATTCCTTAATTGTGTACGGTAGCAAACTGCACACTAGTAGGGCCTTCAAATGCCACGTGATATATATACAGAAAGAGAGTAGACGATGTTCTAGTTAAAGACTGTGGAGTGGGAGATTGGGTCTAACAACAGGTAAGAAACATGGAGAAAGTGAAAGAAAAATCACGCAGGTAGAAAGGCAGAAAAGGCATGCAAGGGAGAAAGGGCTGGGTATATATGAGATGACATGTGTGGCTGGAGCATGGTTTTCCTGGGAGGGTGAAGAAGAAGTCGTGGTAACATTACAGAGGCATCTGAATGCCTTGTGGAAAAAATGTGGATGTTATTCTATATTAGAAGAGAAACTTTGAGCAGGGATTTGACAAGATTACAGCATATCAGATTCTTCCTTTTATCCAAATGCACAAAAGCAAATTTTTTAATATCACCTGAATTTGGGGGGTGGGTGTAGGGGTTGAGGGGTTCTGATGAATGCATGCTTTCAAGAATATGTAGCTAAAATGCCCAACCGACATGGTAATGGTTTCTAATGAGGCTGTACTTCCCCCTAGAGGTATTTTGGAAGTCTTAGGAAGGGTTTTGTTAGTCGTCACTATGGGGCATCTCCTGGTATTTTGTAGGTGAAGACCAGAGACACTGGATGGCCTGCAACGCACAGAACCTTCACCCACAGTGAAGAAAAAGATGAGAAACCCGTTTGCAATATTCTTATTCTAACATCTAACTTCATTCTACACAAAAAAAGGGTATATGTGCATGTTTTCAAAATGCTCTGAATTTGCCAGAAATGCAACCACACACTGTGGTACTCTGTTTTGTTTAGAACTTTACCTAGATTTACTTGCTATTTTAGAAAATTATATCACCAAGATAAACACTGCTGATGCCACGTGTCACCAGTACAACAACGAACCACTTAGCATTCGGAGCTGTGACATCCTGGTATGAGCATCTGATTGCTTCACTGTGCCTTCCACTGCTTGAGTACTTACATACCAACAATAGCATTTATTGAAAAGTGACTTGAGTTTCACATTGATTTGGGGGGGAAATAATACATGTAGGAAGAATATATTTAATGTAAATTTTACTCCAGAGAGTAGAGGGGGAATTGCAGAATGACTGCTACAAAAAAAAAAAAAAATAGGAGATGTTGGGTCTACAACATGGGTTGAGTATCTACTGCTGAATTTATGAAAGACAAAGAAAGTAAAATCAGCTGGGGCAGAGCACAAGAACTTGACAGTGGCCACATCCCGACCAGCGGTTGAGAGATTAAGTTACTAAAGAGGGATGGTCAGAAGGCTGGCCTAAGATCTTGCAATGTGGCAGCCAGGCTGGGGGAAGTGGGCAACAGGAGGAGCTGGAAGCTTCTTGTCTCGACTCTGTTCTGTCACAGTCCGCAAGGTATGACAAATAGATTCTATTTTAGGCTCTTTCACCCCTTCTTTAATTCTATTTTTAAAAATAACATTTAAGCCTAGCCAGTGTGACTCAGTGGTTGAGCATCAACCTGTGAACCAGGAGAAAATGGTTCGATTCCCCGTCAGGGCACATGCCCGGGTTGTGGACTGGATTCCCATTCAGGGGTGTGTAGGAGGCAGCCAATCAATGATTCTCTCTCGTCGTTGATATTTCTATTGCTCTCTCCCTCTCCCTTCCTCTCTGAAATCAATAAAAATATATAATTTCAGGATTAAATGTAATACAGGTAATCATATTGAAAATAAAGACACAATGAGTAAATCTTACCAATAGTTTCATAATATGAAGAAATTACGAGTCCGAGCTGTGAATAGGGAAGTTTGCTTTTCTCCACTGAACTGAAAACTCTGAAGTGTTCCTGAGAAAGGTCGGGGGGTGTGGGCATGTGCATCTCTTCTGTCCCCAGGCAAAATTCCACCTTTCCAGCAGCAAATCTGGTGTTTATTCCTTTGTCTCCTATTCATGAAGAAAATGAATAAGAAATTTAAAATGGAAAAAAGGAGGGAAGTTCATGGTGAAGAAGAAGGTATAGAAATGGAAAGGGAGGAGAGAGGAACGATTTTGTATGTAGCTGAGACTTATTTGCAGTTTGGGGAACTTAGTTTCCTTAAACTTAGTATCTAGAATCATTTCTAAGAGCACGCATGTGTGTGGATTGGCTCTGTGCTCTAGCTATTTCACAGTTTCGCCAGAATGTAAATGTTGAGACAATGCTTTGCTTCTCTTGGGGATTGGTGGAAGTAAAACCACTGGGGTTTGCCTTTTTTTAAGAGCTTCCAAGAGTAAGATGTGAGTTTGCCTCTGGGCAGAGACCTCTATGATAAAAGCAACACTTAGGTAGTTTTGCTTAGCTCCTGTATACTCATACCTATGACTTCTTTTATGGAGTCAATCCATCTCATATTTGGTCTCCTCTTTTCCTTCTGTATTCTATTTTCCCAGCATAGTGTCTTTTCCAAAGAAGCCTATCTTTTCATGATGTGCTCTAAGTAGAACACTATTTATTTTATTTATTTTATTTTTTTGCCTCCAGCAACATTTCGGGCTTAATTTACTTTAGGCCCCACTGGTTCATCTTTCAGGCAGTCCAGGGTATCTATAGAGCTCTCCTTCAACACCATATTTCACATGAATATTTGATTCATATTTTAGTATTTCAAAAGAACATTTTGGTACCAGTTAAGATTCAGAGTGAGTTGATATAAACCATTCTTGGGAATTTTATTTCCTTTTTTATTACCTTAATCATTGTCAATGTATACCATAATTGAAAGAACTTTAAACATAATATGGAGAGTTAATTTAATGTAATATGAGTCTGTTAACAGTACAACCAAAATCTATGGATACGTATCATAGGTTTTTGCAGAGGGCAGCTGGCTTGGAGAACATCTGATCTTTATTATTTTCTTCCTTCTGTTTACAGTGGGCTTTTCTTGTTGCTCTCTTTCTAACTCTTTGAGTTGTAAGGTTAGATTATTTATTACAATGTTTTCTTGTTTTTTGAGGTAGGCCTGTAGAGCTATGAATGTCCCTCTCAAGACTGCTTTCACTGTGTTTCATAGATTTTGGATTGTTGTGTTTTCATTGTCATTTGTTGCCATTGTGCTTTTTATTTCTTCTTTTATCTCTTTGGTAGCACAATTATTGTTTAATAGCATGCTATTTAGCCACCAGGTGTTTGATTTTCTTCCATTGTTTTTATTGTAGTTGATTTCTAATTTTATGCCATTGTGATCTGAGAAGATGCTTGATATGATTTCTATCTTCTTGAATTTGAAGAGACTTTGCCTGTGTCCCAATATGTGGTCTATCTTTGAAAATGACCCACGTGCACTTAAGAATGTATATTCTGTGGCTTTGGGGTGGGATGTTCTCAATATGTCAATTACATCTGATCTTGTGAGTCATTTAGGATTGATGTTTCTTTGCTGATTTTTAGTTCAGAGGATTTGTCTAGTGGTGTTAGTGGGGTATTAAAGTCCCCTACTATGACTGTATTGCTGTTTATCATTTCCTTGATATCTTCCAAAAGTTTTTTTATGTATTTGAGTGCTCCTGTATTGGGTTCAAATATGTTTACCAGAGTTATATCTTCTTGTTGAATTGCTCCCTTTAGTATTAGGAAGTGGCCTTTCTTATCTCTTGTTATGGCCTTCACTTTGAGGTCTAATTTGTCAGATATAAGTATTGTTACCCCAGCTTTTTTTTTCACTTCCATTCACCTGAAAACCTTTTTTCTATCCCTTCACCATCAGTCTGTGTGAGTCCTTTGTTCTGAGGTGGGTCTCCTGTAGATACAGATATATGGGTCATGTTTTCTTATCCATTCAGCTACCCTATGTCTTTTGATTGGGGCATTTAATCCATTTGCATTTAAAGTTATTATTGATAGATACTTGTCTGTCACCATTTTTATTCTTTATGCCTGTATTCCTTCTTCCCTTCCTATTTCTTCTTTTCACAGCAGACCCTTTAGCATTTCTTGCATTGCTGGTTTGGTGGTAATAAACTCCCTTAGTACTTTTTTGTCTGTGAAGCTCCTGATTTCACCCTCAACTTTGATTGATAGCCTTGCTGGACACAGTATTCTTGGATTCAGACCCTTGCTTTGTATGACTTTGTATATTTCATTCCATTCCTTTCTGGCCTGATGTGTTTCTGTTGAGAAATCAGTTGATAGTCTGATGACAGATCCCTTGTAGGTAACTTTCTGTCTCTCTCTGGCAGCCTTTAAGATTCTTGCTTTGTCATTGGTGTTTGCAAATTTAATTATAATGTGTCTTGGTGTTGGCTTTTTTGGGGTTCATCTTGTTTGGGACTCTGTGAGCTTCTTGGACTTCTTCCCAATACCAGGGAAGTTTTCTGTCATTATTTCTTCAAATAGGTTTTCTAATCCTTGCTCAGTTTCCTCTCCTTCTGGCACCCCTATTATGCAGATGTTGTTTCATTTCATGGTGTCCCCAAAGTTCCCTTAGGCTCTCCTGTTTTTTAAGTATTTTTTTTTCCAGTTGTTGCTCTGCTTGGGTATTTTTTTTTCTACCTTATCTTCTAGCTCATTTACGTGGTCCTCCAATTATTCTAGTCTACTGTTGATGCTTTCTATTGTGTTCTTTATTGCAGTGATGTCATTCTTCATTTCTTCTTGGTCTTCTTCATTTCCTCTTGGTTCTTGCACATATTGTTGAATTTGTCTTCCATCCTTTTCAGTGTCCTTATGACCATTGCTCTGAATTCTTTCCCTGACATATTGCTTGCCTCTATTTCATTTACTTCCTTTCCATTGATTCCTCCTTTTCTTTCCTATGGGGACTGTTTCTTTGTCTCCCCATGTTCACTCCTTTCAGCGTGTCTGGTTATGTAGCTCCCTCTCTCTCCTGTGCTGACTCTCTTTAGGCCAGTGGTTCTCAACCTTGGCTGCACATTAGAATCACCTGGGAATCTTTTTAAAATCCTGATTTCTGGGCCTCATCCTCTGGGAATTCTGTTTCTTTGTTATGGGGTGGGCCACATCATTAGTAATAAAGAAACAGAATTTCCGGAGATGAGGCCCAGAAATCAGGATTTTAAAAAGATTCCCAGGTGATTCTAATGTGCAGCCAACATTGAGAACCACTGCTCTAGGTAATCTCTGACCTTTCCATCCACAGATTGCCTCACTAGCTGTGTCTAATTCACCAATTCTGGGTGGATGTTATTTGATTCAGTTGTTCCTTTTATCTGCTCTGTGAGAAGGCACAGGACCCATCCACGTATTTGGTCGCCACCTTGTCTCCCTGTGGACAAACTTTTTAGGCACCCACAGCCAGGGAGGCTGGAGTCTCAATGTTCGTGGGTTTACAGAGGTCCCTGGCTGTTGTGGTTGTAGGGTCCCAGGAGGTGTCCAAGGTCTCCCTGGTTGAAAGTAAGGATGGGCTTTTGATCACAGCCACTCTCCCCTTTAAAATGGCGTGGTCTCTGCAACAGAGCTGGCCACTCAGGGAGAGATTTCAGCAGTAGTAGAGGCTACCTGGCCAGGGGAGCCTGTCCACCAGTCCTCAACAGGCCTGTGGAATATACTGTCCCTCATTCACAAATACAGACACTCCATGCATGTCCATACACTCTCCTTTAGCTCTCTCAATCACACACTACCTTGCAGCCTGCCGTCCTGTCAGATGCCATCTTGGATCCATCAATGAGAAATATTAATGATGCTTATATTAAAACATATTCATTTCTTTGATACTGATAAAGTAATGTTTTGATAAAAAAATTCTAGTTAACTCAGTATGAATCAATTCACCTACTCATGAAAATTAAACAAGACTGTAGCACAATACTTGCATAGAAAATGGTAAGACCATAGATGTACAGAGTCAAAACATTAATAAATATTGGTATGGTAGTTTCACAGGAAGCATAAAAGCAGATGAGACAGTGCCTTGGTTGGAATAAAGTGAGAGATGATGTGATCCACTAGGCAGGAAGAAAGTGCAAGGCAGCAGTGAGTGGGCATGGAAGTCGGGGGAGGAGGCACCTGTGGCAGATAGATCTGCAGGTGGCATCCCCATCTAAGTAATGACTAAGGGATACAGAGCAAGTATTTTTACCTTGTGTCTGTGCAAGAAATAATGAAAGCAACTTTCTGCTGTGTCGGATTGATCTGTTATGATATCTGGACTTTTCCAAAGTCTCTCTAAAACATCTCAACGTATCTGTCACATCCACGGGCACAGAGAGGAGCCCTTTGGCATGGCTGTATTCTGAAAGGAAAAGGAAGAGTAACACTCAGGATGAAATGCGTCAGCAAGCAAACTAGTAGCAAAAGACTAATTCAGAGAATTTCTTGGTCCCAAATTAAAGCTGCTAAATTCAAAGCCTCCAGGTATGTAGCAGGTATTTCAATATTCAGGTAATTTTTTCTGTATGTTTGAAAGTTTGTTAAAAAAAAAAACACCTTAGAAAACTTTTGATTCTTATAAAATGCAAAAAAAACCCACAAAAACTCTAGATCTTGTCAATTTTTCTTATGAAGCCTACAAAAAAGAGAGAAAGCAAAAAAGTTTAGAGATGAGCAACTGCTCTCTTAATAAAAGGACACTCTCTAACAATAGAGCAGAGGCAAGGAAGATGGGGTCATAATAGAATATGAAACCAACAAACAGTCCTGATAAAAAAGAGTTGCTATAAGGTCTCTGGAGAGGAAATGACCATCCAAGAATTAGGGTGCAAAAAAGATGATCATGAAGCAGACACACACACACACACACAAAAACAACAACAACAAAACAAAACAAGAAATAAAGACTTCGAACAGAGTAACAAAGGAATTTACTTCTTTAACAAGTTAAATAGTCCGAATACTCCCTGCAAAATCTGAGGTCCTGAGAGTACTGCAACTTTTAGGGAATGCAGCTAAGAGGTTAAGAGGCAATACCCCTGCCCTCGAGAGTTTACAGGATAGCTGAAGAGATGAAACATCTGAAATAGGCATATTAAAATCACACTGGCAGAGTGTCTACTTACATGCTAAAACAAGGGAAACATTGAGGTGAGAGATCAGCATAGAGAGGAAAATGTGAGCTAGGAAGACTTCATGAGAGAGAAGGTATGCCAACTCTGTCTTAGAAGATGGGGAGGATTTGGTTAGGAAGAAAGAGGCAAGGGGGTTTAGATCCTTAGAATAAGAATAGCTGAAGTTGATTAAGCACTTACACTATACCAGATACCATCTATATATATAAAAGCCTAAGTGACCAGCAGACTGGTTGACCAGTAGCTATAATGTGCAACGACCACCAGGGGGCAGACGCTCTGACCAGTAGCTATGATGCACACTGACCACCAGGGGGCAGATACTCAACACAGGAGCTGCTGAGCTGTGGTGAGTTGGCAGCTGTGGTTCTCGGGTGACACACCCAGAACCAGAGAGGAGGGAGCCCAGTTGTGGGGTGTGTCACCCTAAAACCGCCCTCTCGCAATCTGGAACCCCTTGGGGGATGTCAGAGAGCTGGTTTCAGCCTGATCCCTGGAGGCCAGGCCAACGGACCCCACCATGCACTGGGCCTCTAGTTCTAAATAATTTACCTCGATAGTCTCATCAAACCCTAAACACAACTGTAAGAGGTAGGATGAGGAAAGAAGGCATAGAAAAGTCTGGTAGCTTCCCTCTAGTCACAGAACTAGCTGTGCAAGGAGCGGTATGGCAGCAGCAGTAAGGGTGGTCATTTGGTCACAGTGAGATGCCATGGCCAGTCCTCTTGAACAAAGAAGGGTTTGCCAGGGGCCTGAAGCCCCCACTGAGTGAATGCCCTTCATCCTCTTTACTGGGGAGCTGAGCCAGGGTTTTGAGAAGGACCCTGACAGGAAGAAAGTGATGTTTTAGGAAGAGTCAGCTGACAGTTGTATATCAGCTGACAGCAGACTTTAATAGAAGAAGGTTGGTGGCTGAGAGACTGACAGCATTGTGTGATTTGAACTTGACAAAGGCAGTAGCAATGTAAACAAGGGAGGGACACAGGGAACTTTCCATTGTTGAAGCAACAGGAAAAGTGGTTAAATTGGCTATGTGGGGGAAAACGAAAAAGGGGTGGGAATTACCTATTCCCTCTCCTGTCAGGGCCAATGATCTTGCTTCTTACCTCACTTGAAAAAACTTGAAGCAATCTAAAGGGATTTCCCACAAGCCCCCACCAGTATATCCACCCATGCCTATTTACATCTCAACATCATCCCTCCAGCAGTTCTCCTTTCCCCAAATCATTAATTTTCTCTGTGCTGAATATTTCCCAGCGGCACATTTTGCTGTTTGTTTTTTTTCCCTGATTTTAAAAAAATTGAAAATGTTATGTCCACTGCAGCATTATTTACAATAGACAAGACAGGGAAACAACTCAAATGTCCATCGGCAAATGAATGGAGAAGGGGAATGTGGTGTATATATACAGTGAAATAAGAAAGAAGGAAATCCTGCCATTTGTGACCACATGGATGGACCTTGAGGGTTTTATGGTAAGTGAAATAAGTCAGACAAAGAAAGGCATATGCTGTATGACCTCACATGTGGAATCTATATAAACCAAACACACAGATAGATAGAATAGACTGGTGATTGCCAGGGGTGGGGTGGGGATGGGCAAAATAGGTGAAGATGGTCAAAAGGTAAGATTTCCAGTTATAAGTTCTGGGACATGGTGACTATATTTGAACTTATAAAAAGTGAATACTTTAATTTAAAAAAGTAAAAATCCTTTCTCTTGACTCTACTTTCCCCTCAAGGTACCATTCTATTTCTCTGCACCATGTTTACAACAAAACGCATTAAAAAGTTCTGTATTCATTGTTTCCCATTCACTCTTGAACCCACTTAAATCAGACCTCCCCCTCCCCATCACTCCATCCCAAAGTTCTTCAATGTGGCTAAATGTAATGTTCAATTTTTAGACTTTACCTCACCTCTGACCCTTTACCTTACTACTCTCCACCATCCCTCTCCCACCAGGCACGCTACCAGGCCTGATCTTCATTGGTGCCCTTTCAGTTTAGACTCTCCTCTAACCTTATAGCACCCAAGAAAAAAATATGCTAGATATCAGTGGTCATGAGAAGATACTTTCTCCTGACTAATTGTGATAATATGGTAATTTTTAGATGATCCTGCATATTATAGGTTTCACACTGAGTTGTGATCATGAAAATCTTGGCATCCAGCTTAGAGCTCTTTATAAGACTCTTAGACCTCTTGGAGCAGTATCTTGGCCCACACTTTTAGGCTTATTTAGAAAGTTTTAGAATGGTGATTTTTTTTTCAGTGAAACTCAGATCATTAGCATGTTTCTAAGCATGGTGGGCCTTATGCGTGTCACCATGACATGTTTGCAAGCTGGTACTCCGTCCTGTCCCTGCCATCATGCTCCCTCAAGTCCCCTCTCCCCTAAGCATGCACGGTCCTGCATGATCCTGAACAAGGTATACTCCCACTCCTCCCACCGCCACCCTTATGCACACCACCCTGAAGATTATAAATTTCTGCTCTGTTTTTCTTGCAAGAATTCATGCACCTGGATTTTATCTGTTTCTCCTTAGAGAGTGAGATCAGGGAAAGAAGCCAGCAGAGGAACAGGAAGAAGCTGGAAGCCCTCACATATTAATATTTTGAGACAGTCAGTTACTTTCTCTAGGCCTTTGTTTCAAACATCTGTCAAAAGTGGGATGAAAAAAAAGTGGGGTAAATATTATTTACCTCTGAAGGTTACTTTTTTACCTGTGTGTGAAGTGTCAGCGTAGTGCCTGCCATAGAGTAAGCATTCAATAGATGGAGGCTCACATTATGACTGTGAGTCAGGTGGTTTTAAAATATATATTAACACGTACCAGTACCAGGCTAGGCACTGAGGAGGTGAACAAAGCAGACCCGCTCCCTGCTCTTACAGAGCTTGCATTCCACAACAGAAATCATAAAGGCATGCGGTGCCAAGAAGACAGGAAGAAGGGGAAGTGACTGCCATCGCTAAAATAGGGGTCAATAAAATTATCCTCCTGCTACTTTTATCAAATATCTACTCATAAATCATTCTTTTATTTTCTAAACTCTATTGTGCTATTTGATTTTCCTTTTTTTCAAGCCCTACTGTACCTTTTTCCTTATGGTCTAATTAGGGTTCTGTTTGGTGTTTTGTGGCTGCCTACATGAGATTTAAAAGAAAAAAAGCAATAAGGAAATATCAGCTTCAGAGGCCTTATCCTGACATCTGTCTCAAGGAGGTTCCTGTATGAAAATTCCCATGGATAATTCAAGAAGCTATTTCAAAGCCACAGCAGTTTGAAATAGGCGAGAAGAAGAAGACAAGGAGAAGTGGGAGGAGGAAGAAGGGAAGAAAAATGAAGAGAATCATTATGTCTCTCAGTGTACCAGTGGAGACATTAAAACTGAAATGCCAATCGCTCCTGGAATATGGGTCCACAAAGGAAAACTCCCAGGGAGTACACGAAATTTGTGCTGCTTTCTACACATTTGGTCACATCAGTCCAAATGTCCAGAGGCCGTAATAAAACACACCTGCCAAAGGGCTGAAAATTCCAACATACCTGAAGACTGAACAACCCTATCAGGAAACTTAACTACCAATAAGGTCAAGACTCAAGAATGAGGCTCCAGACAGAATGCAAACACAGCTCCAATAAGATACATAACCACAGAGTTCTCTCCCCTATGAAGCTTAACAAGCAGGCAAGTTACTCATCCATACAAATAATAATCAATAAAGCAGGGTATTCTCACTTCTCCAAATCCTACAGAGACCTTCCCAAATTACATATGCATTATTAAATAGTTAGAGGGAGAATGGAATGCTTTTAAATAATGAGAACACCAAATGTTTCTAGGCACTGGAGCATTACAACATCTGTTCCGGAGAAAGAAATGTATCAAACATTAGTAACAAATGCTGTTATGCCAAAAGGAAATATATGATGTTCGAAAGAAGCAATTTGGTGTGGAAAACATCAAGAATATGCTTGGTCTTTTAAAAGACTTGCAAACAAGTTGTGGTGACATATATAAGACCAACCATGATTATAAATATGTTAATGATCTGAGTTGAGTCCACTGAAAAAAATTCAGCATCCTAAATATTTGCCAAATAAGCCCAAAAGTGTGGGCCGAAATACTGCTCCAAGAGATCTGAGAGTCTTATAGAGCTATAATCTGAATGCCAAGATTTTCATGATAATAACTCAATGTGAAACCTATATTTAATATGCAGGATTATCTAAAAATTACCATACTATCATAATTAGTCAGAAGAAAGTATCTGTCTTCCCATGACCACTGATATCTATCATGTATTTTCTTGAGTGATATAAGGTTAGAGTAGAGTCTAACTTGAAGGGGCACAAATGAGGATCAGTGCTCAGTGGAGCACTTATGGGCTAAACAATCAGACCAGGGTTTGAATCACAATTACAGTACTTACTAGTAACATTTCATTCTCTCATCTGTAATGTAAGCATAAAAATACCTATTACTAAGATTGCAAAAATTAAAGCACCTAGTGGTTGCCAAGTGACAAATATAGTGCCTGCCACTATAATATTCTTTAAGTTTTTATCCATTCAAATATTCCTGCTCTAATCATTACTCAAACTGGCTTATACCTCCACCACCATTGAGATTCAACCCAGAAGATCCCTGTGGCCGGATTCCACCTGCCTTCCCGCCTGTCCACCACCTTGACTTTCCAAATGAGCTTTTAAAAACAGATAGGCACAGTGCTTTTCTGACATAATGCTTCTATCACCAATAAGCACCTACTGTCACACGGGTCTAGAATTTTACTAGGTATGTCTTTTCTATCCCTTCTATGGCAGTCATTATTTTGATAACCAGCATTTTGACACATTTTCTCACATCTGCCAGTCCCTTTTTAGGATGTAGGGGATAATATAAATCACATTCTGAGTTATGGATTCCAAATTTGGGGATCTCCAGAGTTTTAACAGACAAGATCAAGAAAAGGAGAACACACCCGGGAAGAATCACACTCTTTGACTGGAACTAGTCACATATTATGACCACATGAATCCTTCAACTGTTTATTGAATATGAGGGATACTTGGATTTATCCTGGACAGTAAAACCTAAACTTTATGGTCACCAACCTCCTTCTACTGGACCCTCTACAGTACTCTGCAGCCCTTCCGTCTTCCCTTCTCCTATTTACCTCAAGGGCCAGTCCACTCTTTCACATTCTGAAATCTCCTACCCTATCAGCCGTGGCTATGCTTTCAAACCCCTGCTTCATGAATAAAATCTTCAATACCCAGTGAGAATGCCTTCAACTGCTGCTCTTCCCACCTACCAACATTCCCACATGTGAACCTCTTCTCTTCTCCTCCCCTTCTGCCCGGGGTGTTCCACCCTCCTGTCCAAGGCCAGTTCCCCTGCAAACATTTTAATTATGGAAGACCTGTCAAGCAGAACGCAACAGCAAACCTTGCTTTAAAAGAGTTTCAAGGTAAACTGGTACTCACCTGAAAGGATGAGCTTTTGGAGGAAATCTGAGTCGTTTTCTGTGTCTATCAGTTGACTGGGGGGAGAATTAATCTTGATTTGCTTCCCAATAAAATTTCGGCAGGTTATCTTAAAAAGGAAAGATGAAAAAATATAACTTAGGTATTTATAGCCCAAAATTTGGCTTGCTTAAAATGTTTATCTTATTTTTCATTTGTCAAAAATAAAAAAGAGAGACAAAAGGGTGCTACAAATAAAAACTCGCAGAGACTTTTGGGGAAAAAAGCAGCCACATAATTTTTCGTATTTCTTTAGTACAGCACAGCTGGAAGAGCATTAGGCAAATTATGTAGAACAATTAGAATATAATTTTCAGATATTCTATAAATTTACAAGCCTGAATATATCTCCCATTATGTAAGTTGAGACATAGTTAAAATATAGGCTGCTTTTCCAATGACAGATTTTTCCACCCTACTCATAATTAACACAATTTAAACTTCCCTCATGAAGTTTTTCAAAACTAACTTCCCCTATAGTATTTTAAAAATTTATTTTCTAACAGATACTTGAGTGCTAAAATTATAAAGTATCTTAAAGTGAAACATTTTTAAACAGAAGGAAATTATTTTAAAAGGTCCAAGATCCTCTTCTCCCTGTTGCTCCCTTCTCACTCCTTGAGCTAACCTATTGCTCCAAATACAGCCCCCTTGCACCCTAGTCTGATTAGATGCTGCTGCTTGATTGTCCCCTGTAGGTACTTCTACTATGAGATGTAAATACAGCCTAATGAAATGCAAATTCCTTCCCAAGCCTTATATGGTCCTATTTGACCTAGTCCTTCCTACTTCTCCAGCTTCACTAACAAAATTTTATTGAACACTTATTATGTGCCAAGCTCAAGGACTATATAGCAGAGAACAAAGAAAACAAAAATTCCTGTTCTTATGAAACTTATTCTAGTGGAAGCAGAGAGATAATAAATAAAAGAGAAGTACATTATAGAGAATATTAAAGAGTTATAAATACTATACAGAGAAATTAAGCAAACAAGCACAAAATTTTTAATAGAGTAATGAAGAAAGTACTCACAGAGAATATGGCATTTAACAAAAATGCAAGAGAAAGGCAAGGGAAAAGTCAATATGGATATTGGGGAGGAGGATTCCAAGCAAGGGAACAGCAAAGGCAAAGACCCTGAGGCAGAACTGTCTTAAAGAACAGGGCAACCTGAGGAGGAGTCATAGGAGAGGAGTTACTGGGGGATACACGGGGATAAGTTATGTAGGGCATTAAGGCCATGATAGGATGTTCATTTTAACTCGGAAGCAGATGGGAAGTCGCTTTTGGGTTTAAAATGGGGTAATGACATGGTTGACTTAGGTTTTTAAAAGTTGTTCTATCTACTGCATTGAGACTAGACTGTGGGCTGGAGGCAGAGTTTCAAGGAGGTTGGAAGCAAGACCACTAATTAGGAAGTCATTGCATTGATCAAAGAAAATATAACTGTAGCTTGGATCAGAGCAGGGGTTGTGGAGGTAGCAAGATGTGGTAAGGTTCTGAATAAATTTTGAAGGTAGGGGATTTGGCAACCAATTTGAAGTGCAGTGTGAAAGCAAGAGAAGAATCAGGGGTGTCCCCTAGGTGTCTGGCCTGAGCAGCTAGGAGAGTGGTGTTGTTCAGTGGTTGAGCGTCAACCTATGAACCAGGAGGTCACAGTTCGATTCCTGGTCAGGGCACATGACCAGGTTGTGGGCTCTATCTCCAGTCGGGGGCATGCAGGAGGCAGCCAATCAATAATTCTCTCTCATCATTGATGTTTCTATCTCTCACTCTCCTTCTCCCTTCCTCTCTGAAATCAATAAAAATATATTTTGAAAATTAAAAAACAACAACAATGTGGAGGACTTGGCAGAACAGGTTTGTTTGAGATGAGCTAAATGTGAGAAGTGTATTAAATATCTAAGAGACAATGTTGATTGGGCAGTCTGGTATTTTGATGAGTCAATTTGGTTAGGCTAAACCATGAAGGCTAATGAAGGGAAGAATCTATTTTTTAACATACATAAACCTCAATCCAGTTATTCAATCAAACTGTAATCTAGGTGCTATTATGAAAGAATTTGGCAGATACTAATTAAAGTTCCTAATAAATTGACTTTAATTAGGGAGATTATCCTAGGTGGGCCTAACCCAATCAGGGAAGTCCTTGACAGTGCAGGTGATCTCCAGACTCCAAATTCCAACCAGCCTCCAGATCTAAAACTGTTCTGGACCCAGTGGATTCTCCCTGAGTGACTTCTTATGGATAACAACTTCTGGCCACACCTGTAGGGTCCCTTCCTGCTCTTGATCCTAACTGCCTACCCTACAGATTTTGGACTTGCTTAGTCAGCCCCCATGATCATATAAGCCAAATCCTTGTAATAAATCTAGAGAGATAGATGATAGGTAGGTAGGTAGATGATAGATAGATAGATAGATAGATAGATAGATAGATAGATGATAGATAGATAGATAGATAGATAGATAGATAGATAGATAGATAGATAGGTCTTACTAGTTATACTTCTCTTATTGAACCCTGACTGGTACAGGCAATTAGATATGTCAATACAGAATTCAGGAGAAAGGTCTAGAATGGAGATGTAATTTTGATAGTCATTATCATAAAGATGATACTCAGACCCAAGAGTGAATTAACTCACCATGTCAAAGAATGTGCACAGAGAAGACAGAGGACCAAGAACAGAGTCTTGGGACACACTTAACACTAAGATATTGGGGAGAATGGGAGTAAGCAACAAAGAAGACAGAAGAGGAACCCCTATCTCTCTTGTCTGCAACACTGCAGCCTGGGCCTTCTTTCTGTCCCATCTCAGGACCTCTGCCCTTCTTCCTTTGAACTGGAATGCTCTTTTTCAATGAATGGCTGGTGCCTTCCCACCAAAGGTTACCAGCTCCAAGAGGCCTTGCCAATCATGCTTGCTAAAGTCTCCACCTCCAACCACAGCCTATCTCTATTCTATTGACCTAGTTTGTTTCTTCAGAGAACTTCCACTGATTATAAATCTTTTAATACATCAGTTTACATGTTTATTATCTGATCTTCCTGCCACACCTCCAAAATTAAGCCCCATGAAGCAAGAACTCAGACTGTATTCTATCTACATAGAATATACAGGAGGAAAGGATATGCAAAGGCCATGGGGAAGCTTTGTGAAAAGAAGAAATGGAGTCCTTGCAGGGCAGCTGCAACACATAGGCACACAGACAGGTATAGGGGCAGGCACTGGATGTCAGCACCCACGGATGCCAGAGGCCCATGGGCAGGACTATATGAATGTAATGGCTCTGATACTGGCTCAAACACTGTCCTCAGTGTTGCTAATGGATAAATGAGCCCTGATAAGAACTTATTTTAGTTTACCCTGTTATAGAAAATACTGGCACACAGCTGGCTTTCAATAATGTTTGTTGATTTGAATGATAAATGCCTACATGAAACGTATAACACTTATCTAATTCCTAAATCTTTGTTACATGTGTACTAATAAGAAATCACAACTGCATAAATAATAGAGTCAACCCACCTTCTCATTATATTCGGCCTCATATCTTACACAAGGTTGTTGAGTAATATCTGGGCCCTCGAACTTGTATATTCTCAGAAGGAGCTGGCGCTGTGCATACACCAGGAGTGGTGTCACTTGCTCTGTGTATCTCTCACTAGACAGGGTAAAAATACATTAAAAAGCAAACATTAGTTAAAACATTTTTTTCAGTGAAGTCTATCACTTTTAATTGCCCTTACACCAGTACTTACTGTGAAATTATATTGAATTGAATGGCAAGTGCTACTAGTGTTTCCCATTTTTCTACTTGATACAAAAGTTCCAGAGATTTTAATACAAAATCATGGATCCATTTCAAATCAACCATATTTACATTATCCAAAGGATGCTCAAAAGTAAGGCTAGAACCACCATTATCATTTTTAATATTTCCATAGCAACTTGGTACACTGTATTCTCCTTTTTCTTCAATAATCTGCAGGAAGCACATTAAAAGTGTGATTCCAGATTTTATTACACATTTTTTGAAAGTTGAATGTGATATATAAAAATACAATATGGAAAAGACTGAACAGAAAAAATTCAGAATATTTTTATTACACAAATGAAACTTCATAACGCTACCTAATGTAATGTAACTTTTGTGATGATGGAAATGTGCTGTTACGTCTGTGTTGTTCTAAAGAGCAGCCACCCAGCACATGTGGGTACTGAGCTATTGAAGTGTGACTAGTGCAATGATAATTTCAATTTTATTTCATTTTCATTTATTTAGCCTTAAACTTAAATAGCCACATGTGGCCCTGGCCGGTGTGGCTCAGTTAGTTGAATCCCAGGTTTAGGATTCAACCCCCAGTGGGGCAAGTGTGGAAGGCAACTGATGGATGTTTCACTCTCACATCAATGTTCCTCTCTCTTCCTCTCTCTCTCTCTTCCTTCCTCTCTCTCTAAAAAAATAATAATAATGTTAAACAGCCACATATGGCTAGTCATTACTATATTAGCACAGACTAAAGTCTATACTTCTTGAGCATAGTCATTAAGTTAGGATATTGAACCTAATTTTTAAGGAAAAACAGGTTTTATTATATACAAATAATTAAGTTTCCCTAATACATTGGTTACATTCATCAGTTTGTAGAATAATATATGCAATTCCATGATGCAAAGGTCAAATCTATTGAGAAGGAAGTCTTCTAGAAGACTCTCTTTTAGCCTAAGTTAAAGCATTACTGTGCGAGTGTTGTGTTCCAAGCTTTGAGTGTCCAGAGTATATGTTGAATCTCTGTTATAAAGGTACATATATTTATGACTACTATGTTTTCCTGGTTAATAGAGCCTCTTCCCACAATGAAATGTCCCTTTTTATCTCTCAAGTGTTTCTTGATTTGAAGACTATTTTATTTAATATTAATATAGCCTCACCAGTTTTTTGTATACCTACTGTTTTTATGATATATCTCTTTCTACTGTTTTATTTTTAATCTATCTTTTTCTTTATATTCAGATTCTTATCTTGAGGACAAGTACAGGTGTCTTTCTTTTTAATCCAATCAGATAATCTCTGCCTTTTAATTGGGATGTTCAATCCACATATATTTAAAACTAGAGGCCTGGTGCACAAAATTTGTGCATGGGTAGGGTCCCTAGGCCTGGCCAGTGATCAGGGCTGATCAGGGCCTTCTGGCTGCTGGCCGGGGTCTCTCTTCTCCAGCTGCCAGCTGGGGCCTTCCTTTGTTCTGTGCCGCCCCTGGTGGTCAGCACATCATAGCAAGCGATAGAACTCCTGGTGTCCCAGTCAAACTACCACAGGGACACTTTGCATATTAGCCTTTTATATATATGTAGATGGTTATTGACATAATTTATTATTTTTCTTTGTTTTCTTTGTTTTCTATTTGTCCCATATGTTCCTTTTCCTTTTTTCCTTAATTAACTATTATTTAGTTTTCCATTTTACTACTTTGGCTTTTTAGCTATATTTCTTTTTTAGTAGTTACTCTAGAGATTATTAGATTATTAAACACATCCTTAACTTATTACCATCCACTTAGAGTTAATATTGTACCACTTTATAGCTATATAAAGTTTAATTTTATTTACCATCCCAGTCTTTTATGCTATTGTTGCCATATATTTAACATCTGGAATTACTCCATGACTCAATGTGTTTATGTGTTCACTAATTTTCATTGTGTTTAGGATATGGCATGTTTGAATTTTATCAATTTTACTTTCTTGCTTTAAAGCCTAATGTGTAAAATTTTAAATGTAAGTTCTATCAGATATGAAGTAACAGAACAGGCATAGAAAAAGCAGTGAAATAAAGATTAAAAAAACAAACTTTATGATCTCTTTTGGGATCTTTTTCTTTCTTTATCAAAATATTGCTATGAGGATTAAATGCACTAAGGTCAGTTTATGTAGAAGCTGGGGCTTAATAGATGTTACTTTCTGTTCCCTTTAAGAAATTAAATTTTCAGAGTAAGATATTTGTAATTAACAGCAATGCAAGATATATAGTGAACCAAATAATAATGAGAAGCAACTGAAATATAGACAAACCAACTAATAACTGAAGAAAAATATTAATTTCTACTTATCCCAAGCTGCATGGTACAAAAATATTTGTTAACTGAATACAATAAAAATAATTACCCAAACACTCTTACCTCAATAGAATTGGTATTTTGTAGTTCTATTAACATGTCAATAAGTAGGTCTGCTCCAAAATAGAATGGTAATACAGAGATAGAAAGGAAACCATCTCGACTAATAGGAAATACTTTACACAGGTCCACTGCTTGTTTAAGAAGGATCTGTAGCTCCTGAGAATAGTTCCAAAGGGCCCGACAGCAATTCTGAAGCAGAGTCCAAAAGCCGCCACGGTGAGCAAAAACCTGATACAAACACAACAATCAGAAGACCCCAAAGTTCCAAAAGTTACACATCTCTGAACAACTTCATCTTTCTGCAATATTTATGTCAATAATAAAAATAACACCATTTGTTCTGTGCCAATTACATGTGCTAGATATTGTGGTAAGACCTTTGTATGCAGTATCTTACCTCCTTCTTACAATAGCTCCTATGAAGTAAGTATGTACTAGTATTCAATTCAATTTACAGATAAGGAAATGGAGCTAAGATCATAAATCTACTAAATGGTGAGCTGAGGTTTGCACTTCGGTGGTCTGACTCCAACACTCCTAGGTGCTGGGAACGTGGCAGTGAGCAAGAAAAGAAAGGTCTGCTCTCATGCTGCCTCAATTTATTAGGGGAGACCAACACTAGAAAAGTAGACCAATAAAAATATAATTTCACAAATAGTAAGTTGTAAAGAAAAATAAAACAGAAATTAACTAGGACCTCACAAGGGTAAGAAAACATATCCTTTTAGACAGAGTGGTCAGGAGAGAAGTCCTCTCTGAGGAGGTGACTTCCTGAATGTTGAGTTGAACAAATCATGTGAAGGTGGTGATGGGGATGTTGAGTAGGGAGAGCAGTTGAGGCTGAGGGGACAGCAAGTTAAAAGCATGGAGGATGAACCAGAGGGCTGAGAAGCAAACAAGTTTACTGGTTTCAAGACCACTGAGGGGAGAGTGGACTCAACAAAAGCAAGAGGAGCTGAGTTCTGAGAGGTGAGCAAGACCCACACCTTCTAGGTCTTGAAGCTGGTGGAAAGGAAAGCAGGATGCAATGTCATGGTCAAGGAGATGATGTGGATTACTTTACAGTTTTAAAAAGCCACTCTCTCTACTCCACAGAGAATATGAGAACTTAAGTGTGTTTCTTTCTTGCATAGAAACGGTACATTTTCTCTCACCTCTTAAGAGGATTAAAGTATCTCCCTCCTTACGAAGAGAAAAAGGAAATTAATTTCTTTGTAGCAAATGACTCCAATTTGAGTTTCATAATCTACCATATAATATTTAAGAAGAAAAAGAGAACATTTGAAAAGAAACACAAGTGGCCTGTAGAACCAGAGGCCTGGGTCAGAGGCAGATCTTACCTGTGGTCTAGAAAGATCTTCCCCTGCTAGAGGAAAGAAAGGGGTCTATGGTGGCCCAGGAAGGATCACGTTTCCAGAGAGAAAACCCTGTGTCACCAGAGAAACCCATGTCCCAAGTTTGGCAAGAAAGCAGCAGAGGGGTGTGTGAATATCCATGAAGACTGTGTAAACAGGAACAAAGGCCACCTCTTCTCTAGGCGAATGGATGGCTGATGGTGAGAGGAGCTCACCCCTCTCCCTGACAACTTGACAATGTGTAAGACCTTATTACCATGGCAGGCAAACCTCAAAAATGACTGAAAGAAAACCCAACAAATTTAGTCTTAAAACTGAAACTAAAATTATACATAGTAAGCAAATAGATACATCTTACACACCCAAATTTATGGGTTGAGATTTGTGTCTACCACATTAGCAAAAATGAAAGACCACCTTACCATTGCTCTCCTACAATGTAAAAAGATTTTCATAAAATGGTCCAATAGACTCAAAGTTGCTGCTCTATCCTTTTCTCTAGCATTAAGAACTCCCTGAAAGTCAGGGTCATTAGCTGTTGGTATCTTAGAATCAGTTTCATCATTCATTTGGGAATCAATAAATATTGAAAACTCTTCAGCATCTACAGTACAAAAATAAAGGACAACGTTATTTGAAAACAGAGAGTTACGTTCCAGAGAACACAGTAGGTGGTAAGTATCAAATGAGTAATTCTGATAAGAATGGCTATATAATTTTGGAGAAAGGACAGGATTATCACAAACACAATGAATCAGGGAAGGTTTCTAAAGAAAGAAGCACTTAGTTTAGGTCTTAAAAGGTAGCATAATTCAGCTATGAGGGAAAACTATGGAGAAGAATATTCCAGGCAGGGATTATGGCCAAGGTATGTCTTGTGTTTTTTTTTAGGGAACAATGACAGGATCGCACTGTTTCTTAATTTACCCCAAAACTGGGCCATTCTCAGGATACATACACTAAAAGGGATTAGGCAGTGCAGCAACCCAGGCCACTCATTCTCCTGTTGGTGTGGTATAAAAACCACAGAGGATTTCTCCTGCCGCAAACCTCCTCTTACTAGTAGAACTCTGCATTAAATAGTAAGTCTCAATAGCAAAATATTCTATTGCTGACTTCATGGAGCTCTTAGATAGAGAGCTAGTTTTAACAAAAATCAAGAAACTGTATATTACAATCTACATACAAAACTCAGCTCTTTCTAGGCTAGGAAATTTACTCTCAAATACTTCAATATTCATAGTATGACATGCAGGTACTCGCTAAACTTAATCTACACCCTAGAAAAACTAGGAAGTACGTCAAGTACCTCAAATATGAATCAACTCTCCTGGGGCAGTGATCCAGCATATGAAGTAACTTTTTCAGCACTAAGTTACATAGTACTTAAAATACCATTATTAGAAATCAACGTAAGAGACTTTGTAACAGCATAAAAAATCTTATAATTTTTTATTTATGAAGTGAGTGGTATTCAAGGTAGGTGATTGTTCAGGTATCATGTCATCGGTGCCGATGGAGAGCCCTGCTCACTTGCATCTCTCCAACCTCTTAGAGGCCCCTGTCACCTGGCCTGGTGACAATATCGGTTGGTTCTGCCATCAGAATAGTATGGCAACCATCTTGGAGTAAGCTCTCATGGAAGTTGCTAGTTGGAGATCAAAAGGCAAGAGTAGACTGCCCGGAGGTAAAATCGGTTCGATTGAACAGCTAGCTATATGACTGTCTTCATGCCTGCCTGCATCACTATGTTTGGTGGAATTTATTCTAAAACTTACTTCCACTAAAATATAACCCCTTGACCACTGGGGGCTACCAACACTTCTAAAAGAACATTATATTTGCTAAACAACCAAACTGTTTTAAGTCAGAACGCATTATAGGTATTTCCAAATATATATGATACTACCATAAAAATTGAAATTTTTAAAAATAAGAGTCTCCTACAAAATATTACAATTCAACTAAATTCCTGGGTCATTGGGAAATGGTGCATGTAATTCTGTGTGTCTGCCCAGTGTGTGTGTGTGTGTGTGTGTGTGTGTGTTTGTGGGTCATTAGTGAATAAAAATCTAGAGGCAATTTGATAATATGTTTACTTATTTTACCTGATGGTAAATTGATCCTTCTTTTTTTAGCTGTATGAAGGAAATCAAGCATCACTTTATAGTTTTCTAGAGTCAATTTTCCTGTTGGTAATACTGTTCCTGAATTATATAATGAGAATATACTAGGATCACATGATCGGAAACTGCAAGAGGGAAAAAAATCTTATTGAAAAACATTATAAGTAAAATTGAATTAAATGTCAAATACAACCTACTTTAATGTTTTAAATATTTGTGAGTTAGTGTTCTGTATGTTGCTGCCAGAGAAATTTCTTATCACACCCTGCTCAAAAACTCTTAATGATCTCCCACTGTATATAAATTAAAGTCCAGACTTAATAGACTGTTAAGACTCCATGACCTGGAACTGACCTACTTTGCAAATTATCTTATACCACTCTCTATCATATACCCTAGATTCGGGTTAGACCATTTGGGGTTCTTATCCTCTGTTTTTCCTACCTGGGCTCTAACTCCTGTTTTCCACCCACCTGGAATGCCTATTTCTCTAACCATACATTTCTAAATCTTGCCTATCTATCAAGAGACAGGCCAAGTGGCCCTCCCACATTAAATCTTTCCTGTTAGTCTCAGCCAGAGTAAAGTGAACTTTCCTGGGAACAAAGAAGACTTTATGAGTACTTTGTCTGCTCCCATTATCTAGAATTATCCATGAACATTTGTGATCTACCCTACCAAATTCTAACTTTCATATCCTGTTCATGCTTGCATGCCCACTGCACCTATCTCAGGATCTTGTGTCTAACAGGTGCTCAACAAATCTTTTTAAATGACTCTACATCACGTTTTTAATGGCTGCATAGTATTCCATTTATGTATTTATCTTCTATTTTTATCTCCCATAACACTTCAGCCAAAGATATTCATTAAGAGCTCAAAAATGTCTTTTGAATTAATAAGAAAAACTCTATATGAGAATATATGATCTATGTTTATAGAGGCTTACAATATATATTCATGGAGGCTTAAAATATCTCTAAATGAAATAGAAATTTGCCTAACGCCCACTAATGTCTACAGTTATTATGCAATTAATATTAAATTCCTCTTGGAATTATATTTTCTCCTTTTACTAAAAGTTTTATTGAGAAACATAGTCAAGATATATGCAAATTAGTACTTCATAAGAGCTTATATCCATCACCTGTTTGGGAAAGATTCTAAGATAAGAAATATATCAATAGAAAAAAAAAGAAATGTATCAATTACCAAGTAAGACAGAAGCACTCTGTAAACCTCCTTAAGTTATTATCAACATTGAAGCACTGGACATACAAATACAATCCATGTTCTTGAAACCTCAAAAGTATTACTTATTGATAATATACTATACCTGACCATTGCATGTGAAATGCCAAATTTCATCTTCAGACGTTCCCCTAGCTTTATTAAAAGCATGTTGAAGTGTGCATTTGCCAGATACAGGTTCATCTGAGCCCTCCAGGGCATCTCTTCAAGCCACATTTGACGGAACCTCTTCTTTTTAATATAATTAAGTATTAAAGGATTCAAGTTATCTACCAGGAATCGATGTGCTATTTTTCTAACATCAAATCTCTTATTTCTGCCAAGGGACAAAGAAGTTTTGAAATTATACAAACTTTCAGATATTTGAAGAGAAATGATTCCAATTTGTACATAATCAAGAAGTCACTTGGCTGCCCTTATGCAAATGTAACAGGCTTATTTATCATTTACTTAGTACTAAAAATGTAAAATAGGACAATAAAGAAGGCACAAGAATGAGCACAAGGGACAAAGTCACTACATATTGTCTCCAATTCTCTCTGATGTCTATGTCCTAAGCTCAAACCAAACAGAGCCTTTCTTTTCTATAACCAAAAGGCCACCGAGATTAGACAAATAAATTATAACATAATTGTTCACATTCATCAATTAACTTAAATATTAAACAAGAAAATCATTTCTCTGTGTGGTTCCTTGAAAAATAATAAAGTAAAATTTTTTTTAACTTCAGCTAGACTGGAAGGAAATAAAACATCACTCATAATGATAAATAAAATAAGATCATAAAACCATACTCAATATGATCTGGAAAAAAACTAGTATTTCAAAAATTTTCTAGTTAGTACGTAATTTAAGTATAAAATACATTTGTTTAAAATTATTCCTATCAAAATCTCAAAATGCTCTTAGCTCTCTAGTTAAGCAGTACACCCCTAAAGCCCAAATAATGGGCTTCAAGTAAATGTTTACTGAATAAATTAAATAATAAATGAATACCTTTCACGTTCTGGCAATTCAGAAACATGTGGATTTTTGGATAAAAAGTCTCTTAGAGTTCCCTTTTTTTTACATTTTCTTTTTGGTATTTCTGTAGTCTTAATACAGGAGAAAACAAAAATTAAGTTCTGAATACAATATTATAATTAACTCACACTCTAATGTCTATCTATTGACATTAAAATACAGTGGTTTCTTTATACCCCCACTTAAAATTATTATCAAAAGTAACAAAAGTATCCCTGTAAACAAAAAAATATGATTACAAAAATATCCAAATGAGCCCTGATCGATATGGCTCAGCTGGTTGGAGTATAGTCCTGTATACCAGAAAGTGGCAAGTTCAATTCCTGGTCAGGGCACATACCCAGGTTGCAGGTTCAATCTCCCGTGGGGCACATGTAGGAGGCAACTGATCGATGTTTCTCTCTCGCATCAATGTTCTCTCTCTCAAATAAATTTTAAAAATTAAAAAATATATCCATTTGAAAACTTAAGAATTGTAATGTATAGTTATAAAATTATGCTTGTATTTCCTTCTGTTTCATGTTATAATAAATTATAATGCAGCCAATCGTCTGTAGATACATGTATCTCTTCATTTCATTTGCTCAAAACTCATGAAACTTACTTTCCCAATCTCCATTACTGCAGCTTTGTACTTCTTCACAGATTTATCCATTTTTTGACCCAAAATATTGTCCTTATGTTTAATTTTTTTCAATCCAAGTAAGGACTCATTTCTCCTAATACAAAAAAGGAAAAGTTTGTTAAATGAATCTGCAAGAATTTACAAAACTACCCCAAAGTAATAAATCTTTAATGAGTGTTGTCACTAAAATTATGCAAGAAGAATTTCCAAAATTGTTTGTGTCCTATGCATAGACTGTAATATTCCTGGTTATCAAGGAATAGTTGGCCTCTCAAAAGACCAAAATGTAAATAGTACCATAAAATTTGATTTAGAGCTGACGTGTGATGCAGAAAAAATGGAATTGCACCAAAAATAAAACATGAACATTTCATCATAAAACTGAGAAGATAACTACATAAAAGTGACCCTAGACAAGCTACCCTGCTTCCAACAGATTTGTCTTTTTGGTTCCATCATGTGCAAGCTTCCAGGCACTATCACCTTCTGGATACCATAAGAACCAAGCATTTTAGATTACTATGTACTAAACTCTCTCCCTTCCCCCAATCACCTATAGGGAATCTTAATCTTGTTTTTTGTTTGTTTGTTTGTTTGTTTTCTAAATCTGTCATGGATCCCCATAGCTCACTCTTCAAACACTATCAAGTCTCTCAATATCCCACCCTCTAATGATAATTATCACCTATTTTTCCTGAAATATCTATATTTTCTAAAATTTATATATTTTTTGGTAAGTACAGCAAAACCCTGCTGTAACATGATAAACAGGATCCAAAGCTTGAATTGAATAACATGTAGGGTCACATCGATGCAAGGCTAATGAAATGACCAGGTGAGTCTGGACAGCTAGTTCTAGGAGTTACAGTTCTAAATTCATCATGCTCCCATGGGTAGTTGGCCTCTTGCTTCAATTTTGATGATGATGAGCCTGGATCCTGTGGTTGGTTGGAGCTCCAGCCCAGCTACAGCAATTCCAAGAATCTCCAGTTAGTTCGGTATTCATTTTGGCAAATGTTTTGTCTGTCTGAACTGGGAAGGCTTGACCAGTGATGGATGGACTTGGAGATCCATCCTGCGTAACAGGCAACTTGAGACTGGTCTTTTCCTTACTTCCTCCCTACCGCACCCCATAGAATGCCTGAACTGGTTACTGTATCCCATGAAAAGACAGAAAGGAGGGAAATGAGGTCATGAATGTACACTTGGACTACTGTCTTCCCAATCCTCTCAGCATTCTCCTCCATGCTCAGCAGAACTCTCATCCACTGAATGAATTAAATGCTTCATAGAATGCTTCCTCCTAATTCTGGCTGCTTTTTGTTTATGCTGTATTATAAGAAAATAGCATTTATAAATTTTTATACAGTCAGAATTACTGATCTTTGATTTCATAGTTTATTCCTTATTTAATTACTTATATTAGTTCGTGTTTCTGACTCAAAACATTGAGTCACAATGGCTGTCTACCTATTATTTCAAAAAAACTTTATACTTTAGCTGATAGTATAAATTTCTCCTTTTACTTTTTAATTTTTCAAATATTATTATTCTAGCCTATTCCATATAAATTAATCTGATTGGAATTACATTAAACCTATAAATTAAATTGAAGATAATAGAAATCTTTACAATATTCCATCTGCCCATTGAGCAATATACTATGTATTTCCATTTATTCAAGTCATTCTTTTTAATATCTCTTAGTAAAGATATTTGGCCTTCTTTATATTAACCCAAGTCCTCTCACAACTCCTAATAAATTTAATCTTGTACTTCACAGAAATGGATAATTTTTCTATTGTACATTTTAATTGATATAGGAAAGCTATTGATTTTGCAGTTTTACATCTAGCCATCCTGTGGAATGCTATTATTAGTTCAGATAGGTTTCAGTTAATTAGCTTGTTAAGTTAAAAAATAATTATTTGTGCTCTTGCCTGGTGGCTCAGTTGGCTGGAACATCATCTTATACACCAAAATATTGAGGGTTCAATCCCTGGTCAGGGCACCTATGGAGGTAACTGATCAATGTTTATGTCTCAAATCAATGTTTTTTTCTCTCTCTCCCTTCCTCTCTCTTTCTAAAATAATTTTTTTTAAATACATCCTTGGGTGAGGATTTTTTAAAGTATTATTATTATTGGCAAATCTCAATCATTTTCTCTTCATTTTCAATGTACTTTATTGTAGGATTCATTTGACAAACATTTTGAGACCCTTTTATGTGATAATTACATAAATTGTCATTTCTATTTTAATGCATTGGCAAGAACTTTCAAAACAATGTTAAGTGATAGAAGGAATAATAGGTTTCTTTGCTGTAGAGCTTATTTTAACAGAAAATATTCTTCTAATCCTAATTTGCCAGGAGTGATTGCTAAATTTCACATGACTTTGAGCATCTACTAAAGATTCCTTTGAATACCAGTGATAACTATATATTTTTTTCTTTATTGATTAAGGTATTACATATGAGTCCTTATTCCCCTTTTGTCCCCAATGACCCCCCCGCCACTCATGCCCTCACCCCCCTGGTGTCTGTATCCATTGGTTAGGCTTATATGCATGCATATAAGTCCTTTGGTACTATATTTACAGATTTATTACTCCTATATTTGTATTGAGAATAAAATTTATATTTCATTGATGAATTAATAAGCTAGTATATTACTTTGGATTTTTGCTCCTATTTACTGCTAAGTAAAAACAACCCATAATTTTCTATTTGTATTGTCTTTTCATAAACTGTATCAGAGTCTGTTGTGATAAATTTAGCAGGAGACTTTCTACCCATATTCTGAAGTAGCTTTATGTAAAATAAAAATTATTTGTTTCTTTAAAAACTGAAAGAATGCCCAGCCATGGTGGCTCAGTGGTTGAGCATCGACCTGTGAACCAGGAGGTCATGATTCAATTCCCAGTCAGGGCATACGCCCGAGTTGCAGGCTCAATCCCCGATTGTGGGAGAGGCAGCCGATCAAGGATTCTCTCTCATCATTAATGTTTCTATCACCCTCTCCCTCGCCCTTCCTCTCTGAAATCAATAAAAATATATTTTAAAAAATAAAGAAATGAAATCTGAAAGAACTAGCCTAAAAATTTTTGAGCTATCCAATTTTTTTACAGCTTCAATAAATTCTAAATTAATTTTTTCTAGATAATTACCACTATCAGTTAGGTTTTCAAATTTATTCGTATGAAATTGTAATTCGTTAGTTAGCTGATGTTTCTTTAACCACTTCAAATTTATTATTATTTTCTCTTGGATTACTTGTATTTTGCTTTTTCTTATTATGCCAGCCAAAAATTTACATAATTTAGTTATAACTTCAGAGAACCAGCGCTAACAGTTCTCAATTGAACTAGTTTAAAACCAACTTATAATTGATTAATTTCAACTCCCATTTTCTCCTTTCTTAGATCTATTTTATTTTTCTAATTTTGTGAGTTCAATAAAAGTTCATTTAATTTTATTTTTCCTGTTTAGTAATAAAAGCGTCGAAAGCTAGAAATGTGTCTTTAACTGCTGCTTTGAGTACAACTGATAGGGTTTCTTATTATCATTGTTTTTAAAAGGCTCTATACCTTTAGGTAGATTTCTTTTTTTATACAATAATTTTATATGCCAGTAATTTATTTTGTTATGACATTTCAGTTTTATTGTACTATAAGAGAATGTGGTCTTTACAAATTTTAGTCTGAGTGATCTGAGTTTTGTTTTTTAGCATATTACTTTTTAAAAATTTAGTGAGTGCTTTAAATTAACTATATATATTAAATTATATAATTATATTCTTAATTAGGTATATTTTCTATATCCTTTTTATTCCTGTTTTAAAGTAGCATGTTATATTCTATGTTATTATGTTTCTGTCAAATAAGCCTGTCTTTTCAGCAGTTATTTCCATATACTTTGACTTTTTGTTATATAGAACTTAAAAGTTTATGAAATAGCTTCATTGTGATTTATAAGCATTATTAGTAAAATCATCCACTTTGAATGTGAAAAGATGGCATTAAAACTAATTAACAAAAAGCCACCCGAAGTGGAAAGGAGGAGGTAAAACTGTCATTCGCAGATGGCATGATATTATACATAGAAAACCCTAGGTATAAAACCCTATGTAAGTTCTTCCACATTGAACTTACAAAAAGACTCCATTAAAAACCTACTAGATTTAATAAATAAATTTGGCAATGCAGCAGGATATAATATTAACACCCAGAAATTGATGGTATTTTTATATATCAATAATGAACTCTCAGAAAGAGAAACTAAAAATACAATCCCGTTGCAACAACAACAAAAAATAAGATACTTAGGAATAAACTTAACTAAGGAATTAAAATACCTGTACTCAGAAAACTACAGGATATTGAAGAAAGAGACAGAGGAAGATATAAACAAGTAGAAGAATATACTGTGTTAATGGATTGGTAGAATCAACATAATTAAAATGTCCATACTACCCAAAACAATCTATAGATTCAATGCAATTTTTATTAAAATACCAATGCATATTTCACATATCTAGAATAAACACTCCAAAAATCTATATGGAACCAAAAAAGACCTCAAATAGCCAGAGCAAACTTGAGAAAGAACAAAGTTGGAGGACTCACAATATCAGATATCAAGCTATATTACCAAGGCACTATACTCAAACAGCCTGTTACTGGCACAAGAACAGGCATATAGACCAAGGGAACAGAACAGAGAACCCAGAAATCGAACCAAGCCATTACGCTTAATTAATATATGACAAAGGAGGCAAGAGCATACAATGGAGTCAAGACAGTCTCTTCAATAAATGGTGTTGGGAAAATTGGACAGGTACATGAAAAAAATGAAACTAGACCACCAACTTACACAAGAATAAACTCAAAATTGATAAAAACTTAATGTAAGTCGTGAAACCATAAAAATCTTGGAAGAAACCATAGGTAGCTGACGAATTTCAGAGGGAAAGCAGAGGGTGGAGAGGGTGGGAGGGAGCAATGAACCTGGGAACTCATATGCATATATGCATAGCCCATGGACACAGACAATAGTGTGGTGAAGGCCTAGGAGGGGGCCGGTGCAGGGTGGAGGGCGTCAATGGGGAAAAAAAAGGGGGACATCTGTAATACTTTCAACAATAAAGATAAATTACAAATTTTTTTAAAAAACTAACAAAAAGTATCATTCTTTAAATATTGCCAGGGACAATTGATAGAACTTTTAAGGGGTAAAAAACTAAAGTTTAATCTAAATTCCCATACCCAAAAAAAAAAATCCATATGGATTAACACATTAAATAGAAATCATAATATCATAAAGTTGGAAGTAAATACAGCTGCATATGTGTCTGTTGCAGTATGAGAAAATTTCTTTGTTAAAACTGTTAAGCATGTGAACACAAAAGAAGACAGATATTACTATCAAAGCAGAAATGGAGGTGTTGCATCTGCCCCTCCTCTACACTCCCTGACTTGACGAAGAGTGTCCTGAATCATCTGCTCAGCCTTAGAATGGAAATCTTTTTTTAAAAAAAATATATACTTTGTTGATTTTTTACAGAGAGGAAGGGAGAGGGATAGAGAGTTAGAAACATCCATGAGAGAGAAACATCAATGAGCTGCCTCCTGCACACCCTCTACTGGGGATGTGCCCGCAACCAAGGTGCATGCCCTTGACTAGAATCGAACCTGGGACCCTTCAGTCTGCAGGCTGACGCTCTATCCCCTGAGCCATACCGGTTAGGGCAGAACTGAAAGCTTTACCTTCAGTTGGAACATGCTTACACCTCTCAATTTTCAACCTCAGGTCTTTTATTATACCACTGGCCAATGCTTCTAAGCCACTTACTCTGTTTTCCTCTTTCAGAATATCTGCAGTATTTTGCTTAGATTGGACCTCCCTGGTCAGTCCTCCAAATTTCACTGCACACTGATAGTGTCTTCTAATTTTCTTTGGTATCAAGAATATTACTTACAGCTTCTAAACATCTAATTTGGGCTATGTTTTTCTTAATGTAATGGAACTTTCTAATTCTGACCAATGTTCTTATTACCAGAGCCTGCTTCATTTAATACAAGCAATTTCCTCTTTTGTGTCTTGAAAATATGAAGCACATATATTCCAAGCATTTGTTCCAAAAATAGAAGTGCCTATTTTAGGAAGACTATTTTCCTGTGTATTTTTATGATAATGTTTCTCTTCTGCTGCCATTTTTTAAATGGACTCCATGTTACTGATGCTTCCCATTACTAAAATGAGATAGATCTGGGCACAGCGGTGAAAGTAAAACCCAGCTGTTGGAACAAAAGTTGGGTTCATTTAGCATCTCTCATAACTGCATGAAACACTGTAATTTTATTTGTAGGCAAAGAGAATCATTCAGGCTCAGAGAACAAGGGGAAGAGCTTTAAGTTTAACTACTTCTATTTGAGGAACTCCTCATTCACATCTGTGAATGAAAACCCAAGGAATGGCTCTGCTTGCTAATGTAAAGGAATTAGAAGAGCATGTAAATGACCAGCACTGGACCTAGAAGCCTACATGACAGTGGTTCTCTACCTTCCTAATGCCAGGACCCTTTAATACGGGTACTCCTATGTGGGCGTATCTGCATGTGGGTGGACCCGCCTGGAGACAGACAGAGGAGCGGTGTCTCCGCTCCTAAGACCATCAAAAATATGTGTTTTCCGAAGGTCTTAGGCGACCCCCTGTGAAAGGGTCGTTCGACCCCCAAAGGGGTCGCGACCCACAGGCTGAGAACCGCTGCTATATGAGGAGCTGATGGCCCAGAGATGTTATTATCCATTTTGAATCAATAGCAAAAAGGCCTAATTTACTTCCTGCTGCAAACATAAACATACTCTAATCTTATTCCTTAGTTGGGTTGTATAAATAATTTTATGTTCACTTATTTGTTTTTTTACACACAGAGACATAAATCCTACCTCCCAGGTGGCTGTTTTAATTGTCTATAGCCTATACTCATTTTCATCTACCTTACATATCTTTATGTGACAATGTTACTCGTTTTTTTAAGTTGTTAGTAGCAATAAAACAGATATTACAAGTACCTTTTCAAGAAGTCAGTGATAGGATTTGTGATCTCCACCATAAGGGAAAATTTTTCATCATTTATACATTTTAGCATAATCTGGGTAAAAAATTCCAGGAATCTAGGTCTCTGTTTAAATTTCATAACTGTGAAAATAAGGAAGTTCATACATATATAGTTACCAATACACTCAGTTATTAGTGCTGAATGGTTATTATTACTAATACTCATTTCATTCTAACAGAAACATTTATTAACCTGTTTTTTTAGATTTCTCACTTTTAAAAAATATGTAGAATAAATGTGGTGAGAACTACTGTTTTCTAAAATCAAATAATCCTTTACAATCTATATTTCATTTATTTTCCAAATAACTCAATGTTAAGATTTCTTAAAAGTTGCCTCTCCTGTATGTCTAGTTGGAAAAAAATTGCAGAATAACTAGTTATCCTACTTTTTATTATATTGCCCTCTGAGTTAAGCAATAATGTTGCTGTTTCTTCACAACTGAACTTAAGGATCACTAACACATTTTTCAATTCCCTAGTTTTTGTAAGTTTCATAATAACCCCATCTACTACCCAAGTAAGCCACCATCAAGGTTCTGTCTTCCCAAACTTTAAATCAGGCTCCTATTTAGGTCTCTTTCATTACTTGACAATCAAAAGTCTGGATTATTCTGAATGAGTAAAGAACCCAAAATCTTCTGCCTGGAACAGGTTAGACCAAGCATGTCAAACTCACGGCCAGTGGGCCACATGCCTAACTGAGGCATGAGGCCCGCCGGCCACAAGTTTGACATGCTTGGGTTAGGCCTTTAAGTAATAAACAACAACAAAACCCATAGAATGAATGATCTTCAATAGTAAGTTGCACACATTTAGGTCACCTACCTTCTTTCACAGCACCTTTGACAGACCAATTTAAAACTATAGGGTAAAGAAAGATAGGGTCCTCTGATCCTGAGAGTTCAGTTGAAGTAACTAAGATTAAAAATATTAATAATAAGTAATACATTCTGTTTAACATCAATAACCAAACAGGAAAATTCTTTGGAGGAGACGAAAAATAGGAAAAAAACTCAAGTATTCTTTCTAAATTATGTGCCTTAAAAGTATCAACTATATCCTATCTTAGAGATTAAAAATTTCAATAATCTCAATTATTTTCTTTTCATTTCCCCCACCCAAGAGCCAATGAGTCTGCTACCAAATAGCTAAAAATTTTCCAAGGCACAGGTTTCTGTTATCCAACAGCTGTCGTATATCAGCAAAGCCCAGACTCAGAAACATACCAATTATATTAACTCCATTTTTATAAAATTATCATTTAAAGACAGTAAAGCATAGAATAATGAACAGCACAGCCATTGGAGCCATATTGCCTGGGCTCAGCATATAACCATCTCTAAATTATGAGATTTTGGGAAGGTACTCAGCCTCTGTGTGCCTCAGTTTTCTTATCTTTAAAATGGGAATAACAGCAATGCCTTCTTTGTATAATGGTTATATAGGAATTATGTGAATTTTTAAAAATATATTTTATTGATTTTTTACAGAGAGGAAAGGAAAGGGATAGAGAGTTAGAAACATCGATGAGAGAGAAACATCGATCAGCTGCCTCCTGCATGTCCCCTACTGGGGATGTGCCTGCAACCAAGGTACATGCCCTTGACTGGAATCAAACCTGGGACCTTTCAGTCTGCAGGCAGACGCTCTATCCACTGAGCCAAACCAGTTGGGGCATTTTGTGAATTTTGATATATATAAAACAATAGTAGTTTCTGGCATACAGGAAGCAGTAAAATTAGTAACATTACACTGTGCTTCCTGGTAAAATGCTAGAGTTTTTGTGTTTGTTTGTTTTGATAATATGAAAAGAAATAATTCACATTTCTAGAACACTTTACATTTTAAGGAATTACATTTTTTATAGGTAACCAGACAATTACAGCTTTCAATAAACTATGTTTACTGGTTATGTGAATAATAGAGTATTGGGTTCAATTCATAAATTCATAAATTCTATAAATATAACAGACATGGAGATTGATGAAATAGAGAAATCCACGTCAGGGAATTCTGAAGCACCACAACCACCCAGATATAACTGAGACACACAGTAAGAGAGTTAAGTTAGGGACACAGAAGTCTACAGGTATGCTCAGTTCCCAAAAGATTATGGGGCCAAAAGTGGAGCCTCCCACTTAAAAGAAACATAGGTACGCTCCTGTCCTTCTGGAAGATCTGAAGTACCTGCTTTTTAAGAATGTGATAATATTTATCACCAGAAACTAAATCAATTGCTTATACAGATTTCCAAATTGCTAAATCCCAAAATTCCAATCATTGTGTTAACATCCTATCTAATAAAGAGGAGATATGCTAATTGACCCTCACACTGTCACAAAGATGGCGGCACCCACAACCAATAAGTAGAGAATATGCTAATTGACTGTCATGCCCTCAAAGATGGCAGCGCCCACAGCCATAAGATGGCAGCACCCAGTTCCCTCAGCCTTGCCTGGGTGGCAGTTGCACGGCAAAGCCGGGCCAGTCTGGGGGCAGGCCCAGCCTTGCCACACACCTGCCTTCAGAGTGCCCCAGTCCCCTCAGCCCCCCAGCCGCTCAGGGCCAGCTTGAGGCACAGGTAACCAGGGCCGGCCAAGGCTTGCACTGCTGGCAGTGGCAGCAGCAGAGGTATGATGGGGGTGTTGCCTTCCCCTGATCAGCAGGTCACCTCCCACCCCTGAGGGCTCCCAGACTGTGAGAGGGGGCTGGCCGAGCTGAGGGACCCCCCGCCTCCAGTGCATGAATATTCATGCACCGGGCCTCTAGTATAACTATAGAGCACAATGACTTGAAATTAAACTAATCTTTCACTTGAGTAGACAGTGTTTCAAAGCACTCACACATTAACACCTCTCATACTATCCCTTTTTATTTCTCAGTTACCCTTTGCTGTTAGAGCAGTGCTTCTCAATTTTGCACTCTCCCTCCCCAAAATATTTGGCAACATTTTTCTCCCAGTTGGTTGTCACAGCTGGGGGCAGCGGGAGGGGAGTCTTGTATGCTATGTATCTATGGATAGAGGCCAAAGTGCTGCTCAACATCCATAATGCCTCCGACAGTCCCCCACAACAATTATCTGGCCGAAATTGGCAATAGTGTCAAGGTTTAGATACCTTGCTTTAGAACTAGAAGAGATAGGCTCAAATCCAAACTAGCTATGCAATCCTAAATAAATAAATAAATAAATCACTTAATCTTTACGAGTCACATCTGTAAAAAAGTAGTTAGCAATCCCTTATTAACAGAATATTATTAGGATTATAAATTTAAAGTTAAATTTATTACATAAAAGCACTATGTAAACCTTAAAGGGTTTACCCAAATGCTAATCTCTTCTTAATCCTTTTAACAAAATATATTCTTATTTAAAAATATATATATAATGCTCAACACAAGTATAAAGAAAGAAAACAAAATGACTACATTGCTTTGTCAGTTTGAGAAGGTGTGTCTCCAACAAGAGCAGCTGTTCATTTATTTTTTCAGGTGATATTGTCTGCTGTAGCCTCTTGGTCCTGGAACACTTCATGGAACAACCCTAGAAACATTGGTTACATTTCAGAATGTACTTCAACATGTTTCGGCAATTATCATTTTCAAATAGCATTCTTGAAATTCTGTTTTCATACTTGTAAATAAAACTATGATCTACATGGCTAAACAACGTGAATTAATAAATGCCAGAGGCAAGGGGGGCTTCATGGGGACATGTGCGGGGACAGTGTCCTGAGGCAAAGCCTGGGTGACATGCAGGGGCTGGCTGACAGCCTCTGAGAGTGAACACTTGGTGGGAAAAAACCTTCAAATCGCCTCCAAGTTAAACTCTCTCTAGGTAAAGCAACCCCCTTGAAAAAAAGGATTATGGCTAAAAAGTTTATCCAGTTAAACTGTGCTGATAGTTGACGATTTTTGTGGCAAACAAATGCTTCCGTGGAAACTCAACACATAATAGAGATAAAAATGGAACTACTCTGATACAGCCACCCCAGTCCCTGAAGGGGCTTCAAGTAATTCCTAGTGCACCTCAGAAACCTGATCAACTAAGGGACAGTTCAAATTTGATTAACCAAAACATTTAACCATATAGTTTCTAGGAAAGAGAACCAAGCAGGCTCTTGTAAGCACCAAGCTTGGGAGACAGATACTAAAAAGTTGTCTCCAACATTAGCAGTCTTCTAAAGAAGACAATTTAAGTGTGACAATGAGTTTGGGAAATCTACTTTGAAGACTGTAAAAAGCTCTGACATGTTCTTACTACATTCAGTGAGGCACCCAGGATAATAAAATCTTCAATTTGGGAGACTTTACAGGGTTTTTAGTCCAATATCCAACTGGGTGCAGGAAGCTCACTATCAGCCCGAACTGATGATCAGTACAGGTGATAGGGAGCTTTCCAGTATTCTAGCATGAATTCATTTTTTAATCACAAAAGAAAAGGAGGGAAAATCAGCTCTTCACGATATGTAACTTTTCTTTTATGTAAATATAACAAATTAAAAACTGTTTTTAACATGTTTACTAATAACACACAATCTCTTAAAAGACTCAACTAAATATAAGCTTAGAGATGAGGAACAAAAAAACAGTTACCTCCTCTTGTGTTTCTTCTGGCTCATTAATAATACCAAATAGAGATTTGCACTCTGATGTGATGTCCAACATCTTTTTCCCATAATTTATAATAATTACTGCCAGGTCATATTCCTTCCATGAACGCAGAATCTAAGTTAAAATATTTACTAATCATCACTGTTGGAAACTCTTAACGATTCTCAAGTGTTTTGCATCATTTTTCATAAATTCAAAAGTCCCATTAATGTTTTGGGTCTAAGAATTACCATTTCTGTTAAGGAAACTGAAAGCTAACCCCCATATCATATTCTCTAGAATTAAAACTGCTTGATTCCACTATTTTGAATAAGGGACAAATAACAGGAATCTCATCAACAATGAATACCCCGTACCTCTGGGACATATAGCCATATGCGTTTAGTAAGTTAGCTATTCAGAAAATGTTTACACTTAAGAGATCCATGTTAAAACAAAATCATTCTTAGAGGCCACATAACCATCACCTCTTGTCTTGAGTTGCTTGCTTTCCATGTGAAATGGCAAAATTGCTGATAATGGTGTTGTGGGGGAGGGGCATTTACAACCATAAATGCATTACAAGGCACTCTGGTAGTGGGCTGATCTAGAATTAAGCTGTTTGGGGCAGATTCTCTATGAACCCCAGGAGAAGCAGACACTAATCATAAGAAGGGGAGTGGCCCACTCTCCCACTCCCATCCATATTTCCTGTTATTGCTATTCTTTGCCTTCTCTACCTGGTCCTTACCTATCTCCCTAGTGTAATCTTTGACCACTCATCTTCTTGCACTTTAAGTTTACAAAATATTGACCCAAGTATAAATTCTGACCATGGTTTCAGGACTGCATGCTTTTTTACAGCTGAGCCACTTCCCAGAACAGCTTCCCCGCTTTATTAGAGTAATGTAAGGCTATTAACGTAACCTGGTCATTAAAACCTGGACTCTAGCATCAACTCCAAGAAAGCTTCCCTGGCCAGCAATCTAATTTGTATGGAGCCTGCTGCAGTGAAGGGTCACATGACGGGAATACACTCACTGTGAACCCCATAAGGCAATTCTCTATGGGTAGAAATAAATTTATATGAATTTATTATATGTAGATGCATTCGGTCAAGTTGAATAAGTTAGTATTTACAATGAGTAACAAGTGTTATTTCCCATGCAGGGAAAGGATATCAGTAATAAGTGGACCCCCCCCCCCCCCCCCCGCACAGATTTCGTGCACCGGGCCTCTAGTATAGTAATTAATAAGTGGCTGAACAAGAAAGTGAATAGCTGCTTAAACCTGATAAGACTGACTTAATGCAAGGTGTAAAAACTGGAAATACTTCTGTGGGACTAGTGCAATAGTGAGTGATAAAGTAATGCTGACTGTGGAACCAAGGATGGGAAGGAAAATGGTGAAATAGCATTTGAAGAGGTAGATGGGGTTAATCATGCAAGGCCTTGAATGCCAGGCAAGGTGGTCCAACCTCATTATAAAATTGATACAAGAGGAAGATATTTTTGTTAATAGAAAACACAAATAGAGTGATGTTTGCTCTCTCCTCAACTTTGCTTTCCGACATATTTAGGTCCTCCACTGATAGAGTAGTAGGTAATCTTTTCTCCAGTTATAATATGCCAGTAGAAAACACTAAGTGAAAAAGAATATTTCAAATCAAAAGAAAAAAAGAACTAATTCTACTTAACACATCAAATGAGAAGAAATAAAAAGACTGGGCCAGATGTTTAGCATAATAATTTTTTAACAATGGCAAAATAATGAAACATTGAAGACTATGTGTCTCAGAAGTGGCACTTCATTTGGAATTCTGGCATCTTTTGGAAAAACTACTGGCGCTTGTAGAAGAAAGACTAAGCCATCTGAAAAGAGTAGCAATTTTTTAAAAGTAGCAGAGAAAAGAAACTGTCATTTGACTAATTGGGCTTTGTAATAGAAAAGCCATATAAAAATGTGTTTATATGCAATGAACACCTGAGATCTGGGACTGCTGGTCATGCTAGAGCAGTGATGGTGAACCTTTTGAGCTCGGCGTGTCAGTATTTTGAAAAACCCTAACTTAACTCTAGTGCCGTGTCACATACAGAAATTTTTTGATATTTGCAACCATAGTAAAACAAAGACTTATATTTTTGATATTTATTTTATATATTTATATGCCATTTAACAAAGAAAAATCAACCAAAAAAATGAGTTCGCGTGTCACCTCTGACACGTGTGTCATAGGTTCGCCATCACTGTGCTAGAGGAAGCTTCAGGAATGACAATTCTCAGCATATCAATTTGGGAAGACTAGCTCTAAGAGCAAAATTCTATTAACATACAGAAAAATCCTAAATTAATATATACTTTACTTAAAAAAAATAATCGAGCCCTGCCTGGCCAGGTAGCTCAGTTGTTAGAGCATCGTCCGATAGGCCAAGGTTGTAGGTTCCATCTCTGGTCAGGGCACATACCAGAAGCAACCAAGCAACCAAAGAATGTATAAATAAGTGGAACAACAAATCAATCTCTCTCTCTCTCTCTCTCTCTCTCTCTCTCTCTCCCTCCCTCCCTCCCTCCTTCTCTAAACATATCCTCAGATACGGATTAAAAAAGATAGATTTGGACTATTTGGCTCTCCGATTCTTTCTCTTGCCTAGTAGAAGCAGGACTGGCTCCTTTGACTAAGTGCCCCTTTGATTCTTAGGTAATCCTATTCCCTTCTCACTCTACACAGTGTCCCATTTCATCTGTTTCTATCGCTCCAATGGAGCCCACATATTAATGACTCCTTTATACGTATTTGGCCTCTTCTGAACTCCAAGCCTACAGATACAATGATGTGATCATATAATAGCCACCTCTTTGAATATCCTATAGGCCCCCAAATTCAATATATTCAAAACTCATGATCTTTTCTCCCTTTTCCACACAAAATTGCTCCCCATCAACACATAGCATTGTATTCACCCGACTGCCCAGGGCAGATAGCTGGATTGTTGTTGACTCTTCCCTCTCCCTGTTTTATCCCCCTACACTCAATAGGTTTCCAGGTTCTCAATGCTCTCATTAATAACTCTTGAATCTTTTCCATTCTCTCTCCCCTTTCCCACACTAGCTTAATTTATCATCTCTCACCTTCGAACTCATTCCCTGCCTCAGGTCTTACCTCCCCCCACACCCCCCCCATCCCTCTAATGATGAGCTGTTACACAACCAGAATAATTTCTTTTTTCTAAAATGCAAATCTCATTATATCATTTTGAGGGTTGAAAAACCTTTAACGGTTCCTCTTATTTAATCTATTTATCTACTTTTTATTTCTATGTGTTTTTTCAATTCTGTGTCCTGTTGAGAGAGATTTCCCCTGACTTCAAGGCCATACATCCTTGAATCCATTGGGATTTCATTTTTTGTATGGTATCAGGTAGGACGCTTTGTTTATTTCCAGACAAATTGTCAGTTATACTAGCACCTTTTAATAAATAAACTATTATAATAAATTAATATTTTCTTAATGAATCAAAATACCATTTTTGTCGTATGTTAAGTTCTTCTGTAGACCTGGGTCTGGCTCTTGCTGGATTCTCTATTCTCTTCTACTGACCTTTGCCCATTTTTCTACTAACATTACTTTTTACTGAAGTAGATTTATGGTAAATTTTAATATCTATTGAGGACTTTTAAATTATTCTAATCAGTTTCAGAAACACCCCATTGGGATTCTTATTTGGACTATATTACATTTAAATATTATTTTAGGAAAGATTTATATTTCTATGAGAGGAAGTCTTCCTGTTCAGAAACTTGATGTGACCTACCATATGTTCAGATCTTTTTTGTGTCCTTTGGTAAGATTTCACAGTTCTTTTATTTATGTTCTTTAACATTTGTTAAATTTAAAATATTGTTCATTATAAGTGCTATATTTTCTCCTCTCCATTTCTAACTGGCTACTGCTAGTTTTGAAAAACTTAACATTCTATAAGTGTTTTATATATGATCACTTTATAAATTCTTTTTCTTTTAATAACTTTTGACTAGATTCTCATGAAATTCTCTTTTTACTTCTAGTAACTTTTTACTAGATTCTCATGGGTTTTTGAGACCTCTCCAACTACAAATAAATTGTACTCTTCTATTATAAAATTAATTTCATATTCTTATCTATTGCATGAGACAGAATCTCTACAAATAATTAATCACACTATTATGAGTCAGTATTTCTTGTGTCTAAGTTTTTAAAAAATGGCTTCAGAAATTTGCCATTATCCCACCATAACCGGATAAGGACACATATGTAATACCTTAATCAATAAAGAAATTGAAAAAAAAAGAAATTTGCCGTTTAGTAATATAATTGTTGTAAAACTTTGGTAAATGTCTTTATCATTACATTAGTTCCCCCTTACCTGTGGTTTTGCTTTCTGTGGTTTTAGTTATTGTAGTCCAAAAATATTAAATTTCCCCAACCATAGACATCATGTACTTCGGGCGTCCAACCATTGACATTGTCTTGGCTCAATGCTCCAGGATCACCCCAAGCAGATGATCCTATTCTTATTTATCATCAGAAGGTCAATAGTAACCTCATGCTACATCTCAGTGCCAATGTCATTCACCTCACTTCATCTCATCATGTAGGCATTGTATCAACTCACATTATCAGAAGAAGGGTGAGTACAGTACAATTAGATATTTTGAGAAAGAGAGAGACCACATTTTCATAACTTTCATTATAGTATATTGTTATAATTTTTCCATTTTATAATTAGATATTGTTGTTAATCTCTTACTATGCCTAACCTTATTATACGTATGTATAGGAAAAAACATAGCATATATAGGGTTCAGTAGTTTCAGGCATCCACTAGGGATCTTGAAATACTTTCCCCACAAATAAGGAGTGACTACTGTATTCAATAGCTTCCTTTCATTCCTAAGTTATTTTGAAATTTTATTAGGAAGAGTTGTTAAGTATTATCAAATGGCTTTGTAGCATTTTTATATAACCTTATTTTTTTATCCTTTAATTTGCTGTTATAAAACATTCAAATTTTGTTTAATTCAGAGTTGATCTTTAGTATTTGACAATAAGACTGTCCTAAGGCCAGAAAATCCCCAGATGCCATCAAGAATAAAAGAAGGGTGGTCAGACAGAGCAGAATTGAAGAACACTATAGAATGTCTCTCTTTGTTCTGATTCATGTTGTGGGCCCTGAATTCTTCTTTTTTTTAAAAAAATGTTTTTATTCATTTTTTAGAGAGAAAGGAAGAGAGAAGGATAGAGAGACAGAAACACCTATGAGAAGAAAATATCATCGATCAGCTGCACCCTGCACGCCCCCACAGGGGATCAGCCCGCAACCTAGGCATGCGCCCATGGCCCCCACCCCAATTCCAGGTGGACGCTCAATCAACCACCGAGCCACACTGGCGAGGCTGAATTCTTCTTTTTCAGATATGAAAATTGCTACTCCTCCTTTATTTTTGTTTGCATCTTCCCAGTACTTTTGTCTAACCATTTATTTTTCAACCAGTGTTTGCCACACTGTTTTATGAGTGTTTCTTGACATGAAATACATTTAAATCTGACTTTTTAACCCATCTGCCAAACTGTCTTCTAAGTCCATTCACACTTAGTGAAGTAATTAATATACTGTATTTTATTCCTTCCATCTTATATACTCTTTTTCCTTCTTCTAACTTTTGCTGAATTAAGCATTCTTCTTCCCTGTCATTCCTCTGTTCATTTTTCCTTCCTATAAATTTACAAGTCCTACTGTGCTGTAAAGTTCTGTTCATGGCTACATATTCCTCTGGGCCATCTTTGAATATATTTATTCTATCAAAAGAAAATAATTTTATACCATATGTATTTTATACTAGATATAGATATAGATATAAATATAGATATAGATATAGATATAGATATATAGATATATAGATATATAGATGTATATTTTAAAAAACTCACACACACAACATTCATGCATCAAGATTCTCTAACTGCTCACCCCTCCCTCAGCCCCAAAGAGGATTTAAGTTTTAATTCTAGGTTACTAATAAGTTTTCCTTTCAAGGATGATTCTTCTATTTCAAGAATCCCTACTTAGCATTTATATTAGAAAGTCCTAGTCACATCATTATTATCTATTTAATTTTAATAATATGTATATTGTCAGATTCATTGCTCCCATTATTCCTCTCCTTTTTGTATTTCCCTACCTTGGGATTTCTGTTCTGAGCCAACTGTCATTTGATAGAGTAGTTCCTTAAGTGTTTTCCTCAGATAAGTACACAGGCAGAATACTTTTTAAATGCCTGCACTTCTGAAAATATTTATTTTGCCCTGAGAAATGAATGATATCTTTCCTGGTTATTAATTTTTAGACCCTCAGGATTCTACAAATGTTGCTCCATCTTAACTTCTAATGTTGCTGATAAAAAAAAAGTTGTAAGCTAATTAATTATCTTCCATTGCAAATAACCTATTGTTCGAGTCTCAAAACTTCAAGATTTGTCCTTATCCTTGGACTTCTGGCATTTCACCAGCATATGACTACACATATGTTCTTACATTCATCCTGCCTCGGACTCAGGGGCCTATTACTTCTCCATTTGTTCCTTTTTTACCACCAAAACTCCTTTCATTTCACATTACGACTTTGGAATTTATCTCTCAACAATTCAATACTACATCTTCAGGTATTTGGTGAGCTTGCAGATTTGACTCAAGAAATACCATAACCATAATCTGTTTAATTTTTATTAAAAACTCAAATTTGTTCATTGCGAGAGATTCTTGTTTTGTGTTTTGATTATCTAATGGCACCACCTTGAAAGTTTTCTTTCTTTCTTTGTTTTGTTGTTGTTTTTAAATCATCTCTGGTCTTTTCCAACACGGTGTGAGTAGATAACACAATTATTTTAGTACCTGGTCTGCTCTTTCCCCTTGGGGTTCTAAGTTTCCTTTAGTGAGTTATTACTTTTCTCATCCTGCTTATGGCTTATGTTCCCTCAGCATCTACCCAACCAGGTCATAGAGGCCTCTCCAACAGTGTAAATCAGTGAGTGATGGAAAGAATATGATTTTCTGCTCCTGAGGTCAGGCCATGAACAGCTGCAAATCATGACTTCTTTGCTAAGGTAGAGGTTAGAGGTGTCTCTGTTTCTTCAGTTCTACAGAAGCAAACTTTAGTCCCAACCAAAGTGATGGGCCAAATCACTATGCAGTATTCTTCCAGATCCCTGACCAAATCAGAAAGGCCCTGTGAGGACCACATAAAACAGGCAGGTAGAAACAGCCCTTCTTTGAGGAGATTCACTAAATTCAGTCAACCAAACCTTTGAAGAAGCACCCAATGCTTGTTTTTGAGCCAAGCAATGACTATAAGGAAGCCTACCTCTCTGCCTCTTGTCTCTTGGTTCTTTCTGGTTTCCAAAATGCCTGAGGTCCCATATAATGCCTTCTTTTCATCCCCCTCCTCCCCAAGATACACCCTCCATGCTTTACCAACTGGCATGCCTAGGCTACCTTAGATCTAAAATGCTTTCTGGGTATTATTTTTTAAAGTAATTCCTATAAAAGTAGCTTCACTTTCTAAATCATTACTGCTCCTAAATTTTATGACACAAGACAAAGAATAAGATGAATACCTTTGTTGTGTAGTAGAGACAACAAGCTATCATGTGCTGTATGCTTTCATAACTTGCCATATGTTTCTTTGAGTGGATGACATTTGGTAGTCCTTGCAAAACCACCAAACACTTTATCAAGATCTAAAAAATAGAAATGCAATGGTTTGTTGAAAAATATTATCCTTACACATTATAAAATGTTCTATTCAAATCATGCAAGTTTTAAGGCATTAAATTTTATTGTTATCAATAATGATTGATAAATTGTTTATCATGTATAGAGGAATGTACTTCGAAAGAAAATTGGTATGTTCAATTTTCAGATCAGTCCCTCATCTAAAGTAACTTAAAAACCTGTGGGGAGAATAAAATCAGTACATGAATAACTATAAAACAAAGCATATTTTATCAAGTGCCATAAAAGATACAGACAGAATGTTACATGGGCATAAGAAACACTAAGCTCATATCCAGGCATAGGAGGTCCTGGAAAACCATATGGAGAAAGATATACCATATTAAACATATACTGATACCAGGTACTTGGAATACTAGTTTCCTTCAAAATTAAAACCAAACATTCATATCCCAGGAAAACAATTAATTCTGATGTTTACTTCTATTCTCCTTGCTTCATACTATAAGTAATACTACCATCAGAAAAGTTGAATTGAGATTGCATCAATCTATTCTTTATTCAGATTATCTCAAAAGAAAAATTAATATGTTAATTTCTTCAAACTACCATTCCAACAATAGTATTACTATTGTCACAGTTCACTTACACGTTTTTTAAATGCTTCTTTAATTACTCCCTTCCACCAACACCCTCTCCTGCCCTACCAGATCATATCCCCAAATCATGTAAACATTAAGTTGTGTCCTTTTCTCCTGCCTCAAATAATTGTGTGTGTGTGTGTGTGTGTGTGTGTGTGTGTGTGTGTAACTACTAAATGTACATAATAAGAGGGTTGATGTTAGGTTACAAAATAGGATTTATACACACTTTTGTGAACTGTGCATTTCTCCTTCAACCATGTCTTGTGAAAAAAAATCCCTCCAAGTCTACAGGTTTAGCTGCAATTCATTATAGTATTTCTAATGCTGCATAATTATTTACTGTGGATCAATCATAATTTAGTCAGCCACTTCCAGAATCTCCATGTTGCAGTTTTAGAATTGAGATTTTGCAGTGTGGCCATCCTCCTGCTACTTCACTTTCTCTTTGTCTGCAGTTTTATGGCCACCACCGAGAGTGCCACAATAAATACCCTCATACAGGCTCAGTGTCCAGTAGGAGAGGCAACGGAGGCGCCAGCTTTGCGATGATAACCAGTGAGGATGAGGCACCGTCCTCCAGGGCACAGTAAACATTCTAAGTCAGTGACAATTATGTGGTACTGGGTCCCCAGCAGGTAGAACACATGGATCCAGGAATGAAGGGGTGAAACTTGGAGAAGCATCTCACCAACTGGTGATTTTATCCTATGGGATAAATTACTAGTAGATGGACTGCTGTCAGGTATACTTGTTTTTAACTTTAATTAAAATTAGATTTAGTTTCATTAAAATTAGATTGCTTTACCAAATCCAATGCCTATAACAATTCACATTCCCCCCATTAATGAATGAGAATGCCTTTGCCCCACATCCTCACTAGCAATAGGAGTTACAGATCTTTTCCATCCTGCCACTGATATGAGATTGTTCATTTAATGCGCACATATATGAATAATCAGAGTTGGGGCAGCTTTCATATGTCTCTCAGCCACGTGGATTTGCTTTTCTGATAAACTACCTATTTGTATCCTGTGCCCAGTTTTCTGTTATAATAGTGTCAATTTGTAAGACTTTTTGTTATGTATGCTTATCATTCATCAGTGTTAGATATATTTTTTCCAAATCCATAAACTTTGTACTACCTTTATTATGGTCCCTTTTTTCACACATAGATTGCTGTATATACAGTCAAATATGTCTTTTTTTTCTTGTTGTTTCTAAGAGTTCTGTCTTGCTTAGAAATGGTTCCCCAACCCTGGATTGCACAGGTAATCTCTTGGGATTTTTTTGTCACATTTTTAGCTTTGGTCTGTATTTACAATCTCAATATTATTAATATGGCACAAATAGAATCAAATTCAACTTTTTTTTCAAATGAATATCTAGGTGTTTTACTACAACTTACTAAAAATATCCACTCTCTTTCCACTAAATGGAGATGCCAATTCTGCCATACATTACATTCTCATACATACTGAGGCCTACTTCTAGAATCTTCTTTCTGTTCCACTCATCTTTTCCTATTCTAAACAATGCACTCCATTCCTCGGTTTTTCCTCACAGCTATAAGCATTCTGAGCTGTAGCTAAAGGAATCGTGAGTCAGTAGGATCCTAAAGGATGACAGTGGACTATCCTGAACTCAACCAGCCTGAGCCCCAATCACAGCTGCTGCTCCTAATGTGGATTCTTTGCTAGAGCACATTACAAGGCATGCATTGATATGGTTAATGTTTTCTTTTCCACTCTCTAGGAAAGAAGTACTAGATGTTCCCATTCACACTGGGCAGATAAGAATATACATTTAGAGTCTTGCCCCAGAGCAATGATAACTCTCCTACCTTCTGACATACTTTATGAAAGGATATGAACTTTCTGGGTGATTCTCAAAACAAAACATTAGACCACTATATTAGTAACATTATGTCAATCAGACCTAATGAGCAAGAAATGGCAAGTGCACTAAAGACCTGAATACGATGCGTGCCCTCCCGAGGGTAGAAATAAACCCTATGAAGATTCAGGGCCTGACACATTAAGTAACTATCTGGGAGATGCTGAGACACCCCCTCCAAAGTAAGTCTGACATCTGGCATCTCTCATCTCTGAAACAGAGAAGACAATGACAGGTAGACACCTTTGGATTCAGGAGGAAAAATATTCTACACTTGAAAATACTGCTTCAATCCATTTACAAGTGACATGGAAGGCTGCCAACTATTAGCCTAGATGTTGGAGGCATATCTCTTGAGCAGCTGAACTACTAGATGTGGGGAATTCCGGAGGAGGAGGCATGTCTATACTAACAGTAGAGGCACTCCGAGGTGAATATTTGTTAACTTCTTTAAGCTCTCTGATTAATTTCCTCAATAGTGAATGTAAAATTTTTACACTTTGTGTAAGTTCACTGATATCATCTTGGCTCTCAAAATCTGAGCCAATGATGATGATGACAATGATGGTGATGATGAGTAACTTTATGCACCATCAGCAGTAAAATCTTCCTTCTCTCCTTATTTCCCTGTCCTAGGCAGAATTCTAAAATAGTCCGCAAGTCCCTGCCCCTGATGTGTAAGCTTTGTCTAATTCCTCCCCGCTGAGTGGAGGTAAGACCTGTGAAGGTGATGGTGCAGTCACTGTCATGACTGCATTTCATTATATAAGACTCCTCGGGCATAGCAGAGGAGACTCCCCTGCTGGCTTTGAAGGAGCAAAGTGCCATGTTGGGAAGGAAACTGGTAGTCAGCCTTCAGGAGCCAAGGACCTCCTATCACATAATCGTAAGAAAATAAATTTTCTCAACAACCAGTGAGCTTGGGAGAGGACCCTAAGGCTCAAATGAGATTGCAGCCCTGATTTCAGCCTGATAAGACCTTGAGCAGCCCAACTAAACTACATTCAGCTTCCTGGACCATAGAAACTGTGATAGTAAATGGGTGTTGTTTTAAGTCACCAAGTTACGGTGATTTGTTAGGTAGCATGAACAACTAATATAATCCCTTCAGCCAGGGTATCTTCTAACTTCTCCATCACTGAGACATCAAGCATGTTTTCTTGGGTCATCCACCAATTTTTCTCCCAGATGATAGCTTAAACCATTGCTTTGAATAAATACTATTGCTTCTAACATTACAAGAACACAAAAATTGAACTGAAATTTAAAAACCTGGAAAAGTATTTAAATATAGACAGCACTGGGACTGAATATTTTCAAAGAAACACATTTTAAGTCCTTATTTATGTCTGCCCAGACATATCATTTAAATTATTTAAATGTTTTTCAGTTAACTCATGACAATTCATAAAATACTTGTTATTTGTACTTTATAAGAGATACATTGTTTTTTCTTTTCCAAAATGCACTGTTGAGTTGCCTTTGTAAAAATACCCTTATCTGGGGGGAGAAGAGGAAGAAATACCCTTACCTGTATGACAGGTACCAAAACAATATTGTGATAGATTATAGGTGCAAGGAGGCCATAACATTGAGTCACAGATTGAAGAGCATAACTGGAATCATTTAGGTAGTTGCTAAGTTCCAATGCCACTAACACTCTCTCACATTCAATTAGTCTAGCAATCTGTAAAGAAACAGATATTGTTACACAAATTAATTATCAGGTACTTCACTAATGTGTCTAAGGAAAACAAAGGTAGGAAATACGATCCCTATGGCTTAACAGGATGAACGTTGGCATAAAGGAAAATCTAAATTCAGGAACAACACTAACTCCCAAATAATGCTATACAAGGATAACACAATTTTACAATTAAACTTCAGAATTTTTTGTAAAACAATACAAATACCACTAGTGACAGAAAAAGAACCAATCTTTGTAACTGGTAAGATAAAATCTTGGCTATGTTTTAATGTAAGAAAAAACAGTTGTTGCAAAAGCAAAAATTATAATAAATAATAATTAAAATATAATCTCTCTGTAATATTGCCCCCACTTGATGAACAGAGTCCCATTTCCCTTCTGAATTTGTGAGAAAATAGCAAATTTTCAGTAGAGCACACTAATCTCCTGTTATAATGCTCCTACATAAGTAAAAATGATAGTAAAATGTGAAGATAGGCTTTTGTGATTAAATGACACTTAAAAATAATAAGAATCTTATCTTACTCCTCCTTTCCCTTTCCTGAGGAAGATTTCATTATTTTGCTATGTATATACATACAAGATTATGTACAAATAAAACTGTATGAGTGGCAACCAGAATTTTCCATACAACAAATTATTACTCGAATACTAGCCTAGCATTCTGAAAATCATTGAAGTACTTCAAAATTGATGCTGAAAGAAGAAACTGAATATGATGTATAGTAGGAACAGACTGATGGTTATAAGTACTTGGGCTCTGCAAGACTGTGCACTTGCCTTGGACAAAGAATCATGTTTTTTTCACTTTCATATTCATAAAAACTAGTACAAATTCACATAACAAATTATTGATTAATTAATGAATAAGTGCATGGGTAGAAAAGAGCAACTGCAAAAGAACCTAACAGCCAGGCCAGCATGACTCAATGGTTGAGCGTTGGATTATGAATCAGGAGGTCACGGTGCGGGATCGATCCCTGAAAGGAGGCATGCAGGAGGCAGCCGATCAATGATTCTCTCTCATCATTGATGTTTTTATCTATCCCTCCAACTCTCTTCCTCTCTGAAATCAATAAAAATATATTTTTAAAAAAACAACCTAACCAAAAAAAAAAATGGCAAAAGCCTCCATATATCTAAGGTGAAAAAAGTAACTTCAATCTAAAAAGAAAAAAAAATGTAGGATTGTTATTAAAAGCAAGAGTGTAATCAGGTTGTAGGTGTACATAGGACAATGTTTATAAGCTCCCTGAGACTCTACCAATAGGACATAGGTTAAATTCCTGCCTCTGTACAGGAATGCAATGTTATAACTTAAAAAGAATTTGGTAATTGATATGTACCATCATGAAAATATGTCCAAGATATATTATAAAAATGTTGAAAAGTCAAGGTGGAGAATAACAAATGTATCATGATCCCATATAAATTGAAAAAAAGAAAAGATAAGATAAACCTGTGAATCCTACATGGACTATCAAACAAATCAGCACAAATACACAAGGGCTCCTCAGTCCATTCGCAAACCAGGACTTACATTCCCCAAAAACATGAAGTTGAGACATCAAGAAACAAATAAAGGAAAACTGGCACATTTTTAATCATTTTTAACTCACTTACTTGTTGAGCAGGAAAAATCTCATTGCCTTTGATATTATCACAGAAAAGATTTTCTTCTTTAATTTTAATGTCACTTGTTACAAAAATATTCCTGAGAAAAAGGCTTAAGAGGATTGAAGAAGTCTCTGCCAAAATCTCTGAATGTAATCTGCAAAAAGGAGTAAATGACATTACAGGTTTAAATATAAAAATGATTTAGCATGTGAACTTGCCTTTTTAGATTGATTTGTTCTTAGTATCTAAACAATGATCCCAAGTCGTGGAATAGCTACTCTGGTACAGTGTTAAGTTAAAAACAAAGACTATCCTTAACAAGTTCACAACTAAAAGAATTAAGCTGTCATAGATACATAAAAATAACTATTGTCAAAGCTTTCTGGTTCTGATATATAAAGTTCTATTTTATCAATATAATGAAAACACTATAGATAGTCAAGTTTGGAAAATAGACCCATTAATTAATGAACTTTATGAAAATGAGGGCCATTTATAGTAGAATTGGCTGGGGGTGGGGTAGGGTCGAGAGAGAGAAACTTTTGCATTATTCCTAATTATCTTTTCTAAGTTGCAGTCAACAGTGCCAACCATTGGCAAAACTGGAAACTCTACAATCATCCTTTGCAATATTCCCTCCCTTACCCCTTAGTCTTATTTGATAGCAAACCCTCCCTTCTAAGATTCTAAGTTTCAGGTTCATCTACTCTCCATACACCCTATTCCTATAAAACAAGAAAGAGTCTAGCATCAGTAATTCACACCTGATGAATGTCTGTTTTATCACTAGGTTAAACTCTAAAATTATCTTTGCCAGGAGAATTTTAGTTCTCCTACTCTCTTTGTCCTCATGCTAACCATCAGAACCTTGACATATGCAGTAAGTCCAGGCTATCACCTCCTCCTGGCTCCATCTCATTCTCTGCCCAGCTCAGACTCTGACAGTCATGTCAATAGTGGCTTCTGTAGCACTTTAGATTCTGCACCTCTTATTTTATGCAATAATCAATTTGCCTGCCCTTGTATAGATGTCACTGTCCAATTTTTCTATTGTTTATTCTCATTCATTCTTTTTTTTTCATTCAAACTATCATTTTCTGAACACTTACTATGTATAAGACACTATTCTAGGATCTGGGATATAAGGATGAATCAAAAGTGGCCCTTCAACACAAGGAACTGGGCTCTACTACAATTCATGTCATGTGACAGCAACTGAGTCATTAGTGCCTCTCATCAACACTTTTAGTTGTCCTGATGTCACCTTATTCACATTCCCCACAACAAATGTCCTAAACCCCCTGTTGTCCATTCCATGTGCTCCTATGTCCTTCTGGCTCTAGCATAGTATCATCGTCATCTGCATCTTCTTGTATCTTCAGTCTCTCCCTCTCTACTGACTCCCTTCTTTCTACCCTCCAAAATCCTTTCCTTAAGCTTGCCCTCCCCCTCAAGATTCTTCCCACTTTCCTCTTCTCTTTACCACCAAACTTCACATGAGTAGTCTGCCTGCTACAATTCTCCATTTTCATTTATTCCTCAGTCAATTGCAAAAGTTTTCTGTCCCATCATAGAACAAAAATCACTATCTTAAACTCCACAATGGCCTCCTAATTGCCAACTCTAAAAGCCTCTTCTTAGCCCTAACTGGTTTGGCTCAGTGAACAGAGCATCAGCCTGCAGACTGAAGAGTCCCAGTTCAATTTCAGTCAAGGGCACTTGCCCATGTTGCTGGCTTGATCCCCAGTAGGGGGCTGCTGGCTTGATCCCCAGTAGGGGGCATGCAGAAAGCAGCCAACCAATGATTCTCTCTCATCATTGATGTTTCTATTTCTCTCTCCTTCTTCCTTCCTCTCTGAAATTAATAAAAATATCTTTAAAAAATAAATAAATAAAAGTTTTTTCTTAGTTTACATCCTACCCTGTCTCTCTGTAGTGTTCTATTATGCAGCTGCTCTACTTGACCTTGCACTTAGCATTCAGTACTGCTGGCGTGTTCCTCCATGGTGATGCTCTCACTGCCCTTGGCAGTATACTTTACCAAACTTTCACCTCCTGGTCTGCTTCTTTCCAATAGCCTCCCTTGGTGCCATTTCTGCTTCTGTCTCTTAAATGTGTGCACACCCAAGGTGCAAATTCCAGCCCTCTATTTTTCAGCTAAATAGTCATCCCCTGTCAAAATTTCAATGATGACCTCAATGAAAATTTCTAAATCTGCAGCTCTAGCCCTAACCTCTCCTTAGATGTCAGCACTAAATATCCAACTACCTACCTGATATCTCATATCTATAAAGATGTCCTGCTGGAAAACTAAACTCAAAATATTTTAAATCATATTCATTATCTTCGTCCAAAAACTTGTTCTACCGGTCCTATCATGCTCCGTTAGTAAATGTAATAGGCCTCCCAGTCAGGTGACCTTGGAAATCCCAGTCAACTTTCACTCCTTTCTCTCTCTTATCCTTACAAGTGACATAAGATATTCTCTTCCTCCTCTAAAAATAATTCTCAAATCCATCCTGCATAGCACCTAGGACATAGTAAATTCTAAGTCTACATTTTTTAATTAAATGTAATTATATCTAAATCTGAATAAGGATCATCAATGTCTTTACTCAACCAGAATTTGCACTTTAAGCTCGTTATCTTTGATTCAGAAGTGAAGGGTTTTGTCTTCTTATTAAAGAAATTTCAGGCATTAACAAGCAGGTGAAGGGGAATGTTGTTTTTCAAACTTGTTGAGACAGCCTGAAATCATACCAATCCTTGTTTCTTAAGCTTCTCTTAAATTTATTTTCTTTTTTAAAAAATATATTTTATCTATTTCAGAGCGGAAGGGAGAGGGAGAGAGAGACAGAAACATCAATGATGAGAGAGAATCATTGGTCAGGTGTCTCCTGCAGACCCGTACTGGGGATTGAGCCCACAACCCGGTCATGTGCCCTGACTAGGTATTGAACCGAGACCTCCTGGTTCATAGGTCAATGACTCAACCACTGAGCCATGCTGGCCAGGCAAACTTTGTTCTTTTAAGAAAAAAAAGGCTGTAAAGCAAAGTATGGCCTGTGGTTTTATATGTGGCTTCTACTGGCCTATTTGCAGTTGCTGGTGGTCTAATTCTGGGAGCTCTTCAAGCAAAGAAAAGCATTTATAACCTAATAGTCTACCCACCCATCAGACTCAAACCTTTAACCGGAATTTGACCTTTCTCTGTTATAAAAATTCCTGCCCTAGCTGGTTTGGCTCAGTGGATAGAGCATAGGTCTGCAGACTGAAGGGTCCCAGGTTAGATTCCGGTCAAGGGAACATGCCTGGGCTTCAGGCTCAATCCCCAGTAGGGGGCATGCAGGAGGCAGCCAATCAATAATTCTCTCTCATCATTGATGTTTCTATCTCTCTCCCTTCATCTCTGAAATCAATAAAAATATATTTTTTAAAAATTCTCAATGCTATTTGTGCTTTATAGTATAATTGACATTACCTTGGTTAGTGTTTGGTATTTTTTTACATAACTTTCATCAACTTATATTCAGAATGCATCCATATGCCTGCAGTGTTTTTTCTGATTCTAACAAAGAAGTTTCTAACAAGGACTCAAGACCTTGAAATGTATATACTCATTAAAAACTGATCAGAAAGTTTTATATGGGCTATCTTAACATGAAATTAAAAATAAATTAATTCTAGGCTTCACACCCAACATTTAACTTCAAAAGGCAAATTAATATTTCAAAGGAGTATTTCTAATTACCTTCTCTGTGTAATAGTCATCATACTGCTTAAACAAACCACAGATTGTTCATTGTGAGGTGGTGAAGTGACAAAATAATCCCAGACTGGTGAGAAAACTTTCTTAGCCAATTCATAGTTACCAATCTGATAGGCAACCTACAACAGAAAGCACATTATCTTATGAAATATTTTTATTTTTGAAAAGTACATTTTAAACAAGAGTTCTGCTAGGGTCCTATAACGTACTCATTTCATATGCAGTCATTCACATTTGCGGCTCTGGTCTGCAGTGCCACAGTAAGGTAATGATGGCCATCGGCAAGGGAGACAGACACATTTTGAAATCTCTTTTATTTCTGAATTGCATAGAAATTTGAAACTCTGTAAGGATGTTTCAAATTCTCATAAGCAAAACAAAGATCAGATCTGAGCCAAATTAATTTCATTTCCATCTATCTCAGCAGCGCACTCCATTTATTATAGACACTGTTATAATGAACAATCTGTTCCAAGAGAAACAATCAGATTTCCCAAACCAAAAATATGAAATATACTTCATTCTTTTCTGCTTCTGACTGACACTTTCGGAATTTTTGTACAACAAAGGGTTCACAGCTGAAAAGAGTGAAGAATAAAACAGAGATGCTTCCAAGAAGCCATGATATATTTTAAATTTAACACATTCAACTTTAGGCAAAATAACTGCTTTTACTCATATAACCGAAACATTCAGAAGAAAAAAGTCATCAACTTACCTATTTCTTTTGGTAGAATATATTTCTTTAAAGATATTTCTAAATATCATTCTATTTTTTTATGTATAGCAATATGAAATCTCACCATAAGTTATATGCTGCTTCAAGTCCTTAATGGAAGCAGATAAAATATAAAGTATACTAGTAAATTCATTGAATTAAGGATGTAAATGACATGTTGCTAGGTTATATTCCACTTCCAGGGAATAATTTACAGATCTAGAACTTTTTAAATCTGCCAGGTCAACATTCAAAATCAACCAACCAATAAACTTTTATGAAGTTTCTACCGTGTGCTAAGCACCATAAAAATAGATTCTTCAAAGCTGAAAATGCTCTCATATTCCATGAAACTGTAATCAAGTTATAGACATAAAACACATGAAATCACAGAAAAATTACAAATGATAACATAATAGTTGTGGAGGCTTAGAAAAGAAGAAATAAAGACTTCAAGGAGGAGGCAGGGCTTAAGTTGACCCCTAAGAAGAGATAAGGTTCAGATGAGCATAGCTTAGGCAGAATCTGAATAAGGTCCATTAATGGAAATCACCACAGTGCAGTTAGGAGAGACTGGAAAGGCAGGCCAGAATTTGGAGAAAAGTGGGCAATATGATTGGACAGGTAAAGTGGGACATGGTGTCAGAAGGTCTTGAAAATAAGGTAGAAATATTTAAAGATGTCATGCATTATTGTATTGACTCCTCACCCCAGCTCTATTAAGTAAGCTCTATTACCATCTACGTATTTCAGATGAGGACAATGGGGCATTGAATAGTTGAATAATTTGTACAGAGCCTGACACTCAGTAAAAACAGTGGAGCAGAGACTTGAAGTGGAAACTGAGTCACTTTTCTGGGCTGCATTGTTCACATTAAGGATTTGGACTAAGTGGTCACTAAAACACCATCTAATTCTAAGATTTCCATGGGAAATAGTAACAGATGATGTATAATGGGGTTGGTGAAACTGTAATTGAATGTTCTTTCCTTTTGAAAAATAATGTTATTTATTCAATTAGTGAACACTGTGAAACAAGAAAAGATAACTTGATAAAACTATGGTTTATAAAATAACCAGTCTTTGTGGGTTAGCAGAGGAGTGCGATGATACGCGCATGTTCAAAGATGGTTAACTGGTAGTGATGTGCTGAACAGATGATAGAGGGGATGAGGTTAAAATGAAAAAGCAGCACTAAAGACTGATGTAATTATGAAGTATAGTATAAACTTAGATACATGACCTTCACCTGGCTTCCAGAACACCACACTCTTGATTTTCTTTTCACTACAAAGGCCACATTCCTTTTCAGTTGCCTGTACAAGCTCCTCCTCTTTCCCCCAATCTCTGTATATTGGCAACTCAAGGCTTCAGTCTTTGAACCTCTTCTCTTTTCTGTCTGCACTTATTTCCTTGGTGATATCATCCAGCTCCATGGCTTGGGCACATGAATACTCTCAAATCCCTCTCCTGCCCAAACCTCTGTCTCTCTTAGACTCCAGATTCATACATCTAACTACTCAACAATATCCAACTACTCTCTGAATATCCAATAAGTCTGATAAGTAAGAAATATCTAATAATATCTAATATCTTACTTCAACATACCCTGAGCTGAATTTCGGATCTTCCCTGCCTCTATCTACACCACCCACGGCCTTTCTCAACTCAGTTCATGTCAACTATATCCTTGCAGTTGGTCAGCTAAATATCTTAGAGTCATCTTTCAGTTTTCTCTTTATATTCGTTCCATCAGGAATTCTTGTTAACTCCTCCCTCAAAACATATCCAGAATCTGGCCACTTCTCATCACATCATCTACTATCACTCTGGCCAAGCCACCTTCATCTCTCATTCGATTATAGGAATAGAGAGGTCTCTCTGCTTCCACCCTTACCCTCTTATGGTCTATTTCCAGTATAGCAGTCAGTGTGAGACTTTGAAAATATAAGTCACATTATATCGTGCCACTACTCAAAACCCTCCATTTCACTCAAAGAGCCAAAGTTCTTAAAATGGCCTAAAAGTCTTTTCATGATCTACTCCCCTACCCACCCATTCAGCTTTACTTCTCTGACCGATCCTTTACTCTCCGTGGGTCCCTCTACTCTAGCCATATTGGCCCCCTGGCTATTTGTAAAACATACCAGGTGCACTTCTGGATATCTTAGGGCTTTTGCTCTAGCTCCTTCTGCAGAATGCTCTTCTTCCAAGAGTCTTTCCCACACCTCTTTCAAGTCTCTGCTCAAACCTCACTTTCTAAGTGAGGTCTTCCCTGAGCACTTTATTCAACACTGTAATCAACCTTCCATTCCCCCACTTCACATTTCCATTTCCTTTTACCATACTCCACTTTATATTTCCTTAGAACTGCCCATTTCCTCTAATAGAAGGACCCAGCAATCTGTTTAACTAGCATTCCTGATCACTGATTCATGCTCAAGTTTTGAATAACTAGCCTGGAGCAATGCTGGCACAGAGTAAGCACTCAGTAACAAGGTGTAAATGAATTGAATAATGTGTTGAATGCATCCTTTTCCACAGAAGAGGATACCCAGAGGTTGCACTGTACTATAATACAATTGACTGGCCCAGAGTGAATGCCTGACCTAAGCTGAGTGTTTTATAGCCCCACTTCAAAATAGGATGGACCCCAACCCTAATTTTGGTTCTGAGGTTAAGGCTGATGACCTGGACACACTTGGAGAATTTGAGAGAAAATTTATTACTCACACAAGACTCCCAAGGAGAGTTTGGCAGGCACACACAGGTCTGGGCTGGCTTGGACAAAGCAGAAGAAATGGGTTGGCCCTTGATTAGTGGCTGGGCTGCAGGAATAAGGAAAGTTCCTGCCACCTGGAAGGTTTAAATTTCCTGCTGGCACCAAAGATAAGGTAAGCCCACAGACCTCTCTATCAGCCTGCCTTACTGTGTGGCCAAAGGAAAAAAGAGGGGTGAGGTTTAAGACCAAGTCAGTGGTCAAACATCAAAAAAGAGGTCAGATTCTTTATTATATTAGGCAAGTCAAAGTCTCTCTCCCAGGAATTTGGAATTAAGATTAGGAGGCAGCTCTGTTTACAGCTAAATTTGAGGGATATATAAAAATTAATGAGGTGCTATTTTTCCTCCAAAGATAGAGAGGTAAAGAAATAAAACCTTTAGAGAAAGAAAAATAAAGCATATTTAGAGGGAACCAAAGGTATGAAACTTAGAGCTCTGCAGCCTTCCCATGGTGTATTCCCCACGCCAGGCTGGCTCCCCTACTTACAAAGTCTTAACTGAAACCATAAATCAAAATTATCTAAACAAGGGTTGTTATATATGTTTCAAAGAAAGAAGAAATGACATTTAGCATAGAACCTGACACAAAACAGACAGTGAATAAATAATTCTTCAATAAGCAAATAGGTATAAAACGAGTAGTCATAGAGGATAAGAGGGAAAAGTTGAAATTTCTTAAAGAGCTTAAAAGTGGTGTTAACTATCTTTTTTACCTGATAGCTTTTTCTTTTATTATTTGAATAGTCATAGGCAAAACTCTATTAATCAAATAATTTCAATGACTTCATATATGAAGTGAAAAAAAATGTATGAACTTTATTTCCCCTTCGCCTGACACCACTGTGTTTACTGACAAAGCATTCATGTCCCAGCATCAAATTCTCTTGCCAACACTGATCATCAAGACCCGCTGAACAACACCAAACCCAGGCAGAGACAAGATGGGAGAGATGCAGGCTCTAGAATAACTGGGCACTTGTTAGACATCAAACACATGACTTCCTTGGAACCTGACAGAGCAATAAAAATGCATGAGCTGGTTCAAGTGTCAGGCTTACCATCTGCTACCCAGGTAACCTTGGGTAAATTAACCTCCCTGAGACACCTTTTCTGGAATTAACTGGGACTGGCAGAGGAAGAATCAAATTAATCTCAGGCTCCTCAACTATAAGATGAAAGTGATAATACCCCCTCATAGAGTAATTATAATAAAGGGAATAATGCATTTTTATTTTTTTTATTTTTTTAAAATACATTTTTATTGATTTTTTTTACAGAGAGGAAGGGAGAGGGATAGAGAGTTAGAAACATCGATGAGAGAGAAACATTGACCAGCTGCCTCCTGCACATCTCCTACTGGGGATGTGCCCACAACCAAGGTATATGCCCTTGACCAGAATCGAACCTGGGACCCTTCAGTCCGCAGGCTGACGCTCTATCCACCGAGTTAAACTGGTTTTGGCAATAATGCATTTTTAAATGCTTGTCACACAATAGTTTTTGATATTCCACGTTTCCTTTGTTCAACTAGCCACTGTACCCACTCACTATTGGATTTAATAGTTCAATAATCCTGCAGTATATGGCATTTTGTATATATCCATTTTACAGATAGAGAAATAGAGACCAAGAAATTTGTCTAAAATTCTGCTCACAGATTTCTAATTTTCTATATTTTATATCACATTATCTAGCCATTCCCAACTTAAAGGGGAAGAATAAAAAGAAATGAGGCTTTAAAAAAGAGGGAAATCAGAAAATATCTACAGAAAATATATCATTCATATAGGTTCCTCAAAACAATTTTTCAAATAGCCTGAATTAAGGGAATACCTAGTAAAGAGTCACCTGAATTTATTAATGTCTAAAGAATAATGTTGAGCAAAAGTGCAACCTAAAATCTCAAGCCCCAGTTAATAATAGGCAGTAAGTGAAATATCTCCATAACTTATTATAAGAATATTTATAATATTTTTTAAAGAACAGAACTATCCTGAAATTAAAAACCACTCTCATAAAAATAAATCACAATTCCAAGAGAAAGGTCTATTTTCTTGCTAGAACCTTTAAACTTTTGTAAATAAGGAGATTTACTAAATGAGAAAATTTTGCTTTAGCCACTTAACGTTATGAGGCAGAATGCTCATAAATTGTTATAAACTAACTGAAGTACTGCAAATATGGTATCAATAAAGACACACAGGTCACTGCCTTATGACATTTCTCATTATCCCGGCAGTATAGCTGAGACTTCGTTTTATTAATTTTCAATGAAAGTTCTGCCAAGTGAATCCCAAGATTCAAACCACTCCCTGGAGAAAAACTAGGCCTTGATAAAATATTCTATTCCTCTTTTTGAAATAACTCCATCACTGCAAATTAGGGAATATATCAGATCCCAAAGAAATCAAAACATCAGAAAACTATGAGCCAATATGATGTGCTAAACCAATGCTAGACAAATCCTAGCAATTCTCTCAATTTAATTTTCTTTGAAAAATATGATCATATAAAAAGCCACTAAAATCTTCACTTATAATACTAATCAACTATTAAGAGAAAAAATAGCACAATAGAAATGTAATAAAATTTAGAATAGCCATCATCTCTATAGTCAATAATAGGTTTAAAATTAGATGCTTGAGACTTAGGTCAATGAGTCACACTCTTCTTAGCATCCTTTTCACTGGTGACATGCTTTAAGTCAGGTAACCATTTCAGCAAAAATGTTAATTCATGAATATATCCACAACTAAATACAACAATAATATTTATTAAGTGCCTACTGTGTGATAAATGCTCTGGTTAAACATCTGACATGAATAGCTCCACTTAATACTCATATTCGCTTTAGGAGGTAGCTACTATTATCATTCCAACTTCACAGATGAAGGTTATTTGCCCACTATCACGTGGCTAGTGCGAGAAGCTTGAATTTAAACTCAGGTCTGCCTGTCCCTATTAACTCAGAAATTTCACTTCTATAAATCTATCCGAAGAAAGTAATCATGAATACAACAAGATGTGCATCACAGCTTTGCTTATAACAGCAAAGGACTGGAAGGTCTTTAAATTTGTCCAACAATGAAAAATTATTAAACAAGCCACGATCTAGCAATAAGATAGATAATACCATGCAGTTGTTAAAAATTACGTTTTAAAAGAATAATTTAATGGAATGGGAAAATGTCAGTTATATATTAAAATGAAAATATCAGAATATACAGAAATATGATTAAAATTACATAGACATAATTCATATGTATGTATGTGCATGTATAACACCCATATATATACACACAGATGAAAGTATACCTCCTGTTCTCTCCACATTGGCACTACTGACATCTTGGACTGGATAATTCTTTTTATATATATATTTTATTGATTTTTTACAGAGAGGAAGGGAGAGGGACAGAGAGTTAGAGACATCGTGTGCCCGCAAAAAAGTTGCATGCCCTTGACCGGAATCAAACCTGAGACCCTTCAATCCGCAGGCTGACGCTCTATCCACTGAGCCAAATCAGTCAGGGCTTGGACTGGATAATTCTTTGTTATTGGGGCCAAGCACTGTCCTTTACATTGTAGAATGCTTACCAGTATCCCTGGCCTCTACCCACTAGATACCAGTAGCACCCCTCTAGATTGTAACAACCCAAAACGTTTCCAGACACTGCAAATGTCCCCTGGGGGCCATAATTGCCCCAGGTTAAGAACTGTTTCTCTGGATGATAGAATAACAGATAACAATCATTTTTTTTTCTTTTTTCATTTCAGTATTTTCCAAAATTTCTAAAATTAATGTTATATATTTTTTTTCCAGGAAAAGGTGTTATTATAAAAAGCAAACTCGTAAGAGAAGGAATTATTCCTGCTTTATGAGATTAAATTGCAATAATGGAAAACATGTATTACAGGAGCTTTAGAACATCTGCTATGATTTTTTTCCCCATCAGAAATTACTTAATAACTGCTCAATGGAAAAACACGTAAAGAACAAAAATATGAGCAGAAATCTCTTGTACCTGCGTCAGGAACATCCGAGCAGTAACGGCAGAAAGAGGTGGATAAATCAGAATCGGTTTAGTTGTCTCCCCAACAGCATTACCGACAAGCTGCCCATTAGAAGAATAAGCAGCAATTGCAAAGACATATTTTTCATTGGTTTCCAAACCTTTCACTTCAAAAATGCTTTTACCATCCGCTGGTATCTATTAACAAAAACATTCCAAGTTATGTATGAAAATTAAAGTAATGTAAATTTAAGTATATAGTTAAGTAAACCTTATATATAAAAAAACCTTTTCATTTACTGTTAGATTTTAGTCAGACTCAAGTTGAAATTAGAGAAATTCACTGATATGATAATGACTTCATAAAGGAAAAAACTGACATTAAATGAGATGTTTGGTAAGATTCCTTGACAATTAGAGGTTCGTTTTGTTTTTATTGTCCATTTGACATACCGCCTCTCCTGAGTTTGGGAGACGATTATTATTTAGTCTCACTTTTCCATGGCTCCCTTCTGCTTTGCAGCCCAAAATGCGGTACCACGACACCTGCCGAGGAGAGAGACAAGCCCAGCATCTGTAGTCTGTTTAACAAGGCATTCAATTTCCTTTATCAGAATATGGCAAAGAAATGAAAATGTAACTATGCAAGTTTTAAAACATGACATCTAGGTTTACAAAAGTACTTAGGTTTAATCTTTTTTAAAAAAGGCAAATATAGGCTAGTTTACCTGGGACTAACAGGATAAAATATTATTCATTATTCATTATTTTAACTACCACTAACTGAGCAGTTCCTACATGCTGAGTATTGCTAGGAAATTTACATATGCTTTCTAATATTCATAACATCACTATAAGTTGGGATTACTATTGTCATTTTGCTTTACAGAAAATGAAGACACAGAGACGTTTAATAACTGGCCCAAAGTCAGATAGTGTCAGGGAGTGGCTCCAAAGATGACTTAACTTTGATAGGAAAAAAGACCAACACTGGAATGATTTTCATATTTTATTTAATAATATATGACAAAAAAGTAAGTGGAAAAAGAAGCAAGATACTAAATTATAGTATTTAATGTAAAATATAAAAATACATGTTAAAAAAAAGCCTGGAAGAAAATGTTCCTAAATAAGAATGGTGGTAGATTTGGGGTAATAAAGTGGTAAGATTATGGGTAATTTTTTTTCTCCAGTGCATGCATTTTCTGATATCCTTTTGATAATTCTTAAATATAGGTATAAACCAAAAGCAAAATGCACATTCTACTAAAACAACCAAACTTAAACTTGATTAAATGCCTAGACAATGGCCCTTCTGCCAAAATGTCAAAATAATGGAAATCCTTTATTGTAATGAACTATTCTCACTATAAGGAAAGGGAGCAAGTTGATACCCAGGGACCAGCATTATTAGGAGCCATACTGACCAGGGGTTAAGAACAGAGGAATTGTCATCATTGTGGCATTCCCTTTTCCCCATAGATTCCCCTTCACAACATCTCAACTCCTAAATTACAAGGAAATTGGATGACAAGTGAAATGTAAACTTCTCTAAGGAGCAAAGGCTTCTCATAGCTTAGTCTGCTATCTCTTCTTCTGGGTCAACAGAAAACCCTAATTGTGCCTTGTCTGTTCAAGTAGTTCTCAACTCAGACTATGCAGCAGAATCACTTTTTAAAATACACTTTGTACAGAATCAATCATTTAAAAAAATTACATACACCCAAGCCTGCATGGCCTCAGTGAATAAGAATTTCTGGTGCAGGTGGCCAAACTTTGTGTTTCCAAAAAAATTTTCTCAAGTGATTAAGGAGCCGTCTACAAAGGCAGGAGAACTCTAAGGACAGAGAGTCCTAAAAAAACTTGGAAGCTGGAGGTTGGGAAAAGAAGTCAGACGAATCTCACACAAAAATGAGAAACTAACTTTCCTTGACCGCCCATGCAAAAAAATGAACCATTTTTCGTAAAGAGGAAAAAAAGAAAGTTTATGCTTATGATTTAAACCATTATTGCTCTAAGCTAAGCTCTATTTATCAACCAGAATTTGAAGGGTAAAATTCCCTCTAAAAGCATATTTACAAGCAGGCTTTATATTTTGTTCCACAGATGAAAACATCTTAGTTTATATAATTACTTATAAGAAGCAATGTGTGATTAGAATCTACATAAGAGTAATGACACCATAAACAAATCATCACTAACTTCAGAAGTAAACATGCATAAATAGCATCAGCACTTTCAACTATTAAGACAGATTTTAATGAAACCTTAACAGTGATTTTGATCAAACAAAAGATGGCTGAATTCTCAAACCAGAAAATGTATTTAAGCCCACAGCACCATCTAGTGCTGCTCAGTAGGAAGCAGAAGGTAATTTCCTAGAGTATATAACTCTGCTAATGTATTACATACATAAACTTAATATAATGTGGCCCGGCCAGCGTGGCTCAGCGTTTGAGTGTTGACCTATGAACCAGGAGGTCACAGTTTGATTCCCGGTCAGGGCACATGCCTGGGTTGCGGGGTCGATCCCCAATGTGGGGCGTGCAGGAGGCAGCCGATCAATGATTCTCTCTTATAATGATGCTTCTATCTCTATCACCCTCTTTCTTCCTCTCTCAAATCAATAAAATATATATTTTTTAAACAAAAAAACTTAATATAAAGTGGTAAGTCCAACAAAAAAACTTAATATAAAGTGGTAAGTCCAACAACTACAAGTCAAATATGGGACTCATGTCTTCCTATTTCCAAGCATTATGAAATAAAATAGTCACTAATTTAAAATGCATAAAAAATAAGATTTTGGTAAAATAAACCAAAACATTTGAAAAACAACAACTAAATCTCTTGGTAAATCATCCAGTCTTAGTTCTGCACTAAATTTCTAAAATCAGTGACTCCCTATTCTTTCAACATATCCAGAAAAATCCAAAGTTGAACTTTAAAATGGCTAGCAATTGGAATAATGCATTTATTATAGCGCAGTTAGACATAAGAAAAATGATACTTCTATTCCCCCAATTATAAGGCATTGGGAAGATGGTATTACTTCTCACTGATGTCCATCTATCATCAGTCTAAAACTCCTCAAAGACTAGAACCATGTTTTATTTGTGTTTATACCTCAATTACCATACACTGCTTGATAGATGATAGATACTCAATGCTCATTGGACAACATTTATGAAAAAATAAAAATTAAATCATGTAATCATGGTTACATTATTAATTGCTTTTAGAAAACTTTACTATGTATATTTAATAAGCTATGAGGGGAAAAGTTAATATACCAAGAATATTATATAATACTTCATTTAATTTTCACAGTAAACATATTTTACAAATGAAAGCACAACAAAACATAAAACACCTCAGGAAGTATAATCAGATTTCCTAGAGAGTCCTACTGCTAGCAGGTGGAGCTGGAATTTTTAAACTTGCATCTGACTTTAAAGCCCATGCCCTTCCCACTATACCAAGTCAATGTAATCTCATGTGGAAGTCCTAAAAGAATCAAAGACACAACTTTAATTTTTATATAACATCGAAGAGCATGTTGTTGATCATCCAAAAGAGGAAAAGGTAATATTTAAAATATAAATTAGGTAGAACCAAATGTTTGTGAGGAAACTAAAATCTCAAGTTACAGTAACATTTAGGCTGAGTTCCAAGGCATTGAGGATGGAAAAAAAGAGCACATTCTTCAATACATACATAAAAATGTGTGACTTATAATATAGCTGGAATTGTCATTTGTATGTTTGTATTAAAAGCATCCCCATTTACTTGGAAGAACTTTGGAAAGAACCACTAAATTCACCATCCCCAAATTCATCTCCATCATTGACTCTGAGAATAACATCTACCCTCTTCAAGTGTCACACTAGAATGTCAGCATATGACTCTGTCATGGTGATGAAGATACTTACAAATGCTTCTCTACTGTTTCTCTTTATTATATATGTGGGTATCGCAGGACTATAAAGAGCATAAAGGGAACCAGCATAAAAAGGAAAAGATCATGAAGAAACTAAGTATAATTACTACATTAGAATATTAATCCCAGTGTTCGGTGCTAATAAATAAGACTAGTCAGGCCCTAAAAGCAATAAAAGTATCAATCATTATAGTCATAAAAGTACTTATTTTGCATTGTCTGAAGTAAAGATAATAGTGGACAACATACCTTAACATCTGAAATAAATGGAGCAGGTTTCAACATCACAGAACAATGAGTTCGGGATAGCAGGATAGGTGGAGGAGGGATTCTGCTTTTCTTTTCTTTTGAACTTTCCATATTTTTCAGATACAAATATTGAGCATTTTGTTCTACTTCAACCTTCTCAATTAAAGAATATGCTTCCTATAATAAGGTGTGAAAACAGAAAAATATATTTCAAGAGCTTTAATTTCACTTATATTTGTAGTAATATTAAACAAAACTATCTACACTAATAAAAGAGAAACATGCAAATTAACCATCACACGGCCACTCCTCTACACCCACAAGCCATGCCCACCAACCAATCAGGAGTGAGTATGCAAATTTACCCAACTAAGATGGCGGCGGCCACAGAGCTGGAGAGAGCAGGAGGCTTGGGTTGCCTCCGGCGATGGAGGAAGCCAAGCTTCCCGCCTTCCGTGGCCCGCCCTGGCCTCCGCTCAAGGCTACAAAGTTTCAATTATAGAAGATAAATGAATCCCAGATACCTGCTTCCAGCCCGCCCTGGCCTCCGCTCAAGGAGGCGCTGAAAAAAAAAAAAAAAGAATAAAAGGAGAGGCTGGGAGCTTGGGTCACGGGAGGGTGTGGCCAGCCTGAAAACGGCCATCAGCCCCTCACCCAGGCTGGCCAGGCACCCCAGCGAGACCCCCCAACCCTGAAGGGGGTGTGGCCAGCCTGAAAACAGCCTTCAGCCCTTCACCCAGTCTGGCCACACCCCCATGGGGTGAGGATCCCCGCTGGGGGGCTTGGCCAGCCTGCAAACAGCCATCAGCCCCTCACCCAGGCTGACCAGGCACCCCAGGAGGGACCCCCACCCTGAAGGGGGTCTGGCCAGCCTGAAAACGGCCCTCAGCCCCTCACCCAGGCTGGCCAGGCACCCTAGCGGGACCCCCACCCTGATCTGGGACACCCTTCAGGGCAAACCAGCCGGCCCCCACCCATGCACCAGGCCTCTATCCTATATAATAAAAGGGTAATATGCAAATTGACCCTAACAGCAGAACTACTGGGAATGACTGGTCACTATGACACACACTGACCACCAGGGGGGCAGACGCTCAATGCAGGAGCTGCCCCTTGGTGGTCAGTGTGCTCCCACAGGGGGAGCTCTGCTCAGCCACAAGCCAGGCTGCCAGCTGCCAGCAGAGTGGTGGTGGTGGGAGCCTCTCCCGCCTCCTCAGCAGTGTTAAGGATGTCCAACTGAAGCTTAGGCCTGCTCCCTGCTGGCAAGTGGACATCCCCCGAAGGCTCCCAGGCTGCCAGAAGGAAGTTTGACTGCCAGCTTAGGCCCGCTCCCCCGGGGAGTGGGCCTAAGCTAGCAGGTGGACATCCTTCGAGGGGTCCCAGACTGTGAGAGGGCATAGGCCAGGCTGAGGGACCCCCCTGAGTGCACAAATTTTTGTGCACCGGGCCTCTAGTCTTGTTATATATAGTTCTTTGAGTCTTGGTGGTATACATATTTTAAGCACTGAATGATTTTTCAGAAATTTAAAAAATAGCTACTAAATAAAGCTAAGTAAAAAAATAGTTATTAAGGCAATAGTGTCATATATATGTCTAATTTGTTTATCATTGTTATTATATATTAATATGAGACATTTCATTTTTTAATCAAATCCTCTGAATATCTATCATCATATTTCATTATCCTTAAAAAGTTCATAATGCAGTCATCTACATTTATACTAGTGAACTGTACACCTATTCTTAATGCAACTTGAAATGTAACTCTCAAGCAATGAGACTATTAGTATATGTGGTTTTTAAATGAATATTATTCAGAGTTTCTTCCTATTAGCAAGAAGAAATAAAGCAGTTAAAAACACTTATTCTATATACCTGAAGGAAAGGCAATCAAAAGAAAGAAAACATGGGAACCAGAAGACCTAAATGATATTCAAAATAAGACTAAATATATGGTCAATAATAATACATGCAAATGGGTTAAAATCCTCTTTTAAATTAAATTAAAAGCCAAAAGCACTCTAATTGAGCTCCAAAGCAAAAACCTATGTAAACATTCAAATTCAATGTATGATAAAGAAGAAATAGCCTTTCCAACAGATAGTACTTGGACAATTAGACATCTACATGGACCCCTACATCACACCAAATACAAATATTAATTCAAAATCAGTTACAGATCCAAGTGTGACAGCCAAAATATTCTTAGAAGAAAATGGAGTCAATCTTCATGACCTGGGATTAGGATTTCATCAAAATTAAAAGCTTCAAATGATACCATCAAAAAAGTGAAAAGACAATTGACAGAATGAGACAAAATATTTACAAATCTTACATCTGCTAAGAGGCCTGCATTTAGTATATATAAAGAACTGTTATAAATTCATATAAAACAACAAACAACCCCACTAAAAATGGACAAAGGGTTTGAACCAACATTTCTCCAAAGAAGATACACAAATGGTCAATAAGCCCATAAAAAAGTTTACATCATTGGTCATTAAAGATGAAGATATAAAATCAGCAAACTGACTCAAAAAAACAAAACTTGAACACAGGAATAATGATAGAAGAAACTAAAAAATATATCTGAAAAAATACTTCCCCACAAAAGTGTCAGGCTCAACTAATTTTCATTTGAAAAATATTTCAAAATATCAAAGGAACTAATCATTCCCGGTGCCATTTTTAAAATTTTCTATCTACCACAGATAGATAGCCACAGCTTGAATAATTTACAAATTATTATACTTTGATACAAAATCTGAAATATGACTGCACTTAAAACACAGAGCAATCTTCTTATAGTATGATACTGAATCATGAAGAAATAGAAAATATGAACAGACCAATAACAAGTAAGAAAATGATCAGTAATCAAAAAACCTCCCACTAAAGAAAAACACAGGACTGGATGGTTTCACTAGTGAATTCTACCAAAAATGTAAAGAATAATTAATGCCTTCTCAAACTCTTCCAAAAACTTGATGAGAAGGGATATTTCCAAAATGACTTTACAAGGTCAGCATTATCCTGGTACCAAAGCCAGAAAAGGATACTACAAGAAAATTACAGACCAATATTCCTGATGAACATAGATGGAAAAATCCTTAACAAAACATTAGCAAACCATATTTAACAGTATATTGAAAGACTCATACACAGTGATTAAGCAGGATTTACTCCTGGGATTCAAGGATGGGTCAATATAAATATGATTCAAATCAATAAATGCAATATACCACATTAACAAAATGAAAAAAAAAATATGATCATTTCAGTAGAGCCCAAACAGAATTTGACAAAATTCAACATCCTGTTATGATAAAAACTTCTCAACAAATTGCATACAAAAGAATATACCTCAACATAATAACGGCCATATATGACAAACCCACAGCTAACATCATAACAATGGTGAAAGATAGAAAGTGTTCCCTTTAAGATCAGGAATACGACAAGGGCACACACTCTTATCACACCTATTCAACATGGTACTGGATATCTTAGCCACAGCAATCAGAAAAGAAAATGAAATAAAAAACACCCAAATCATAAAGGAAGAAGTAAAATTGGGGGAAAGGGGAATGCTGGTCAAGGATACAAACATTCAGTTATAAAATGAAATAAGTTTTAAAGATCTAACGTACAGCATGGTGACAATAGTTCATAATACTGCACACCAGAGGCGTGCAGTGGCTGGGTGAGTGGCTGATGGCTGTTTGCAGGCTGGCCAAGCCCCCCAGTGGGGACCCTCACCCCATGGGGGTGTGGCCAGACTGGGTGAGGGGCTGATGGCCATTTTCAGTCTGGCCACACCCCCCGGTGACCCAAGCTCCCAGCCTCTCCTTTTTTTCTTTTTTTTTTTCAGCGCCTCCTTGAATAGATTTTAAGAGTTTTCACACACACAATAAAAGCAACCATGTGAGGTGATAAATGTGTTAATTAGCCTCATTAGCCTGTAATATGGTAATCATTTCACAATAAATATATCAAATAATCACAATGTACATTCTAAATATATTAAAATCTCATTTGTCAATTATACCTCAATAAAGCTGAGGTGGGAGGCAAAGCTCAATAAACTCAGAAAGCTCTTTCTTTAAGCATGAGAAAAAATAGTAATTTTAGACAACAGAGAAAATCATGGCAATCGTGAAGCACTAAAATAGCATCCAGGAGGAGACACAATGCCACTATTCCTTTTTATTCTGAAAGTTCTAGCAAATTTAATAAACACCTCAGAAAGAAAATCCTGAGGATGAGGAGACAAAATGTCCACCAAATGTCAAATGCATTTCTCTCAGATAAAAAAACCCGTGCTGTTTCCCCTACAGAAGACACGATGAGTTTAAAGCTTTCATTTGGAAAGCTGGACTCAAGCTCAAAAGAAAGGCTAAGACTGGAGATAGGATCTGGGAGTCATAAACATCAGAGTGATATTTAAAGCTAAGTGGGTAAATCCATTCCCTGTGGGAGTGCAGACTATAAAACTATAGCATCATACTTTTTCCTTAAAATAATGAAGCTTGGCCTAAACTGAGGTCAGAATTAACTTCTCATTTTTATTTCTATTAGAAACGGTGGACTTAAGGTCTAAAATCATTTGTCATGATTAAAATTTATCTCTAGTATTTCATGGTGTTTTAATTCCACCTATTCCGTGCCAGAAGACCTTGAACATTTTCCTGCACTTATAGTTCAGGAGCCTTAGCCTTCTGCACAGGACAACCGTTCCTTCTTGCGAGAAGGGTGATATACGATAACTATGCTTCCAGAGCCTACGTGCCAGAGACCATACATGTTTACAATCAAAAGCTACTTGTTTAAAATATATTTCTATTGATTTCAGAGAGGAATGGAGAGGGGGAGAGAGAGAGAAACATCAATGATGAGAGAGAATCATTGATCAGTTGCCTCCTGCACACCCGCCCCGGGAATTAAGCCTGCAACCCAGGCATGTGCCGGGACCACGAGTCGAACTGTGACCTCCTGGTTCATAGTTTGATGCTCAGCCACTGAGCCATGCTGGCCATACAAAAGCTAATTTACGTACACATGGTGCTTGGTGTAACTGTTGAATCACAGAAAGAATGAATCAGTCAATCAATCAGGGAGATAAGATGGCATCTGTTACCTTCCATTATCTCCACTTTTTCATTCATTCAATCAAACTG